GTAAAAAGACTTATAGATGGCTACATACAATTGTTCTTTGCGAGAAAATGTACCAAGTGTAATAAAGAGAAGAGTAAGAGACTTTGTCTTTTTTTAACTTGACTTAGATAGAGGCTATATTTCTAAATTTTATATATTTTAAACGATTAATTTTTAATCACATTCGCCACCATTTAACAAAGCTACTTGATTTTTGGGCTATACCACAGTCGTAATTGAATCATTTCTCAATTACGACTAGCTGCTTGATAACGAAGCACCTATTGATTTTTATTAATATGTTCAAAGTCACGAGTAGAACACGCGCGAGATATATTCGTTAACTTGTTTACAATTTATAATTTCTCCAAACACCAACTGAGAGGAAAAAGATGGCGCTAGCAGCGTAGTTTTGAATTTAACACTAGGGACACTTCAGCTCCTCGTAACCACGGCTACTGCTTTGCAGTATAAAATAGGTTAAAACGTCGGTTGTAGTAAAATAAATTGTAAACAAGTTAACTAATAAAATACTGTCTATACATGCGAGTAGTGCACATTTAAATAAAACACAGTTAAACTTCTCCCCGTGACGGCTGCTGCTAACCATCTGAAACGTCGGGCTGCAATTAAAATAATGTTCAATAAAATATAACCATTATATCTCGTCTTTTAAAGCGTTAACGTGTCTTATTTAAAAGTTAACCAATAAATTTCGAGTTTTAAACCTTTGTGAAGTGTTTTTTAATGTTCAAGGTATAATCATGGTTTGTAATTCCAATAGTATTATACTAATTGAATAGTATTTTACAAAACAACGTACTACCGTTTGCCAACATCAAAAAGAATTACGATTCCCCGGGCCATTTAATTACGTATTTACAAACGCTTATAGAACAATGACCGATAAATATACACTGTCTGTTTGTCGCTTGTCGGTCTGTGGCTCCGGTATTTTGGCAGCAGGCCTAGAATCATAGTGATATAATACTCGGCGAGACGAGAAGAATATTAAGTATTTTAAACCCTACTTTGCGGGTTATTTCACAGGTATGCAATGTTTACCTAAGTAATATTGTATACTAGCTGTGCGACTCGTTTCTTTTAAGGTTCGTTTCTTCGTAGCTCGCGACTTGTTTCATTTAAGGTAGCCAATCTATGTTGTAAGTGCTACTTTCCCGCAACACTCCCATGTATAGGTGTATGTGCAGGGACACCATTCAGCTTTTGTCGTACCTGGAAGTAGGCACAACGCTGATTTTCAGTGATGCCCCACGTTTGGGTTCAGTCTGTGTATTTCCAAATATCCAAAGACAAAATAGGTTAACCACTTGTTTAAATGCTTGATATAGGCTGGGGTATCACTTACCATCAAGTGAACCATAAAATTTGGAGATATTTATCCTTTTAAATAAAATACTTTAATGATTTTAGCAGCAGCCGAAACGTCGGGCCGAAGTTAAAAATCATTTCCAAATAAGTTTAACTAATATATCGCGTTTTAAACCGTTAAAGTGTTTTATTTAAATTTATCCTGGTAATTTAATAATGATATTTAGTAATGTAATATTATTATTATTATTTCAATGAAATGATTTGTAAGAAAATATTCATAGCCAAAATAGATGGACAGCGCGCATCTTAATAAAATAGTGTTATAAATGCCTTAAGGAGTATCTATCCCCTGCTTGTCCTTTATATTAAAAAAATACGCGTCAATGTTAAAAAAACATACTTTATATATTTTTTTATGATTGAGGAGGACAGGCGACTTCAGTCATATAACGTCTAAACAAGATGCGCAGTCGCATTTAATTTGGCTTTGGATATTCGGTAATCTACAGACTGAAACCGAAACGCGATTAAACTTTACGGCTTATTCATCTGTGACCCGGACGGTATTTGATATTCCTACCATCCAATTAATTTCCAGATTTCCAGACGACGTCCATGTGTTTGATAAATTATAAATTGTGTTGAAAAATGTAATGTGGAAATTCCGGATTATAAAATATTAGTACTCATTCATTTTTACTGATCTATAATCATATCGCCTCCACTGAGTTGCAACTGTGAAAACATTTTAGAAGATTTATCACGCCATTGTCTAACGTATTTTGAGTTTACTGTGACAGATGTTTATTTTGGTAACATCGTTTATGCGATCATTTCAGTACACCTAAGAAATCTGCCTTTTAATCTCGAAGGTCGTGAGTTCGATAGCCGACGTATCTTTATAAAAGACTGTAATCTTATAATCATTTTTTTTCCAAGTAAATAAATTCCTAACAATATATCATACAATCCTGTTTTCCCACAAGGTGCACAGTGAGTGAAAGCCAGTTTCCCCCTCGTGGGGCATGGGGCGAACACATTTCTGAGTGCCGTTTTAAGGAACCGTTCTTTTTAACAGGCAAGTAGTTGATCAGACTTCTGTGCCTGACTGAAACAATTATTTGTTACCCTGGGATTCGGACCCAGGACCTCTCGCGCTTAACGCAATGCTAGGCAATACGTTTAACCATTTGGCTACAAAGGCGGTCACATGATGCATAGGGCGAATATATTGCTCTATTCGTTTTATTTACAGGGAAATAATTGATCAGAAATTTGTGCTTTGTTCGACCGAAACAATCTATTGTTTCCCCAAGATTCGAACCTGGACATCTCTAGGCAACACGTTGAACTATTTGGCACCCCTACTATTTAAATGAAACATATTTAACGGTTTAAAACGAAACATCAGTTACGCTTTTAAAAGACGCCCCGACGTTTAGGATCTTTAGAAGCAACCGTGGTCACGGAGGGAATAGTGTTTTATTTAAAGTAGTCTCTCGCGTAAACTAAGACAATACCTTAATATGTAGAATGAATACTAGGTATTCATAGAATTAGAAGTAACGTTGATTTAGTCTGAACTCTTGTCTAATCTAATATATCAAAGTGGATTTTAAACACTTCTTTTGAACTAACCAGGATAGGTAAAAAATTGATTTAATATTCTTCGCTTAATAAAAGAATAATTAAAATAAGACAGTATTAAATACTCTCTGTAGTTTACGCGAGTGGCAAACATTTAAAACACATTAAGGGTTAAAAACGCGTCTATTAGACGAAACGTGAGGCCGTAGTTAGAATAATTCTGACTAATATATATCACGTTTCAAACAAATATTCGCGACAGTATGTCTATCTTTTAAGATTATCTACAACAACGACAACGGGGTAACAACTAGGTGTAACATATAACACATGATGCGCGAAATAACCATTTCACGTGGACGAAGTCGCGGGCGCAGCTAGTGAAGTAAGTTACAGAAATTCGTTGTTGAAAAAAAGTACGCCATTGACCATCAGCTAGAATAATAAACTTTTGATTCCAGATTTTCCCCACTCTGACAGTATATTGATAGTTTACAAACAGACTGACAGATTCAATTTTTTCAAATATCAATGTATCACTTTCGCGAACTATTATTAAAATTGTGATGATGCAGGTGTTGACTTATGACGTCTATTAAACTGGCGATAAAATGTTTAGTCTGTATTTAGGTTAAACACTTCACATTGACCAACCGTTCTATTAAAAACGTTCACAAACTTTGCTGAATATAAAAGACTTTGTTCTATAATGCCAAAAAAATAACTAATATATAAGCTGAAGCGTTTATTTTAACGCGCTAAAGACCAGTGGGAAATCTGGAAAGGGGAATACCTTCCTCGATAAATGTTCTAACGAACGCAACAAGTATTTTTCAACTCGAACCCGTAGTTCCTGAGATTAGCGCGTTCAAACAAACAAACTGTTCTGCTTTATACATATATTAGTATAGCTTGGCTTGCATTTTAATGGCGATAGTTCAATTTTATGAGGAGTTTCAACCGCAAGACCTGTATTTTTATAGGTCAGGTGCGTGAACAAAGGGATTTAAAAGAATACTATTAAATGTATATTTGCATAGATCGTTAGGAATCCATAGAAACGGCCTATTATAATCACTAAATCCGATCATCCTCCAAATAAAGGGAAACCCTTCGTGAAGGCTGTATACTGACCTCCTTTTACAAGTTGTAATATTTCATTGTTATTATTGATACATCATTAAACTAAATATCTACATAGAAAGTTTTAAAAAATGTAATAAAACACTTAGAACGGTTTAAAACATGAAAGGTATTAGTTAAACTTGTATGTAAATTACACGAGTAGTACCTACACTTGTAAATAAAAAACTGTAAGGGTTTAAACCGCGATATGTATTAGTTAAACTTGTATTATATTTACTACGGCCCGACGTTTCGGATCCTTTGCAGGAGCCGTGATTGCTCCCTGAAAATTGGTTTGACTAATGCATCTCGCTCTTAAAACCGTTAAAAGTGTTTCATTTAAATGTAGGTACTACTCGCGTAATCTGCAGACAATAATTACATGTTTATAATGTTAATTTATTTCTCAAATGTAAAAAGTCAACGCACAATAAGAAATGATTAGTAAATAGTTTTAAGACAACAAAAAAAAAACAAACAAATTCGAGAATTACATTTCTAATGTTTCACTTCTTCTGGTCCTAAAGAATGAAATAAAATTGACGTTAGAATTGAAAAACGAACAAACTTCACGATAGTGTTTGGAAGACGAACGATTTAAATAATGCAGACATAGCTTATATCCGTAAAAAATTGTATTATTAAAAACCCAATTTTAGATTGAAAAATTTAACGACACGGCCGGGACTTGAACCGACGTCCACAGCCATTCGTGCATTAATTGTTCTATGTCTAAGGTCTCGGTTGATAAATTGGTTAGAGAAACAGCACGGAACTCTGTTTGAGTCCCGCCCGTTTCATTTCAGTCCAAATCGATTTTATCTTTATATAATTAAATAGTAGTAATTCAGCGATAAAACGAGATTTCTTAACAGAATATAGCCGTACAGCTCAAGTCTACTTACGGTCTGGACAAGCTGGTGATTAGCAGTTACGAGACACATATAGCTTAAAACCGTTGTTCGTAATAGTACCTGATTACAGCATTTTCTTGGGCAGTGTACCATATGGTAAATGTGGCTCACCGGACTCAGCGGCGTGGGTATGCTCGACGTTCTCAGCATGCTGAGCTTCCTCCGCTGTTCAGCGCTGAGAGACGCCCGCCGACTCCTGTCGAGATGGTATTCCGTGGAATCAGCGGAGTCCACGCTTAGACCGCGGAAGAGTTGCGGGCGGAACATTTTGATGACGCTAGATATTAGTGTGTTATAAGCTTTATTAATCACGGAATTGTGCTGATTGATGGTGAGGTGGAGTCAGTATATTGCTTGATTACACGATTTGCATGAAACGCAAAAGTTGCTCACAAATATTCTATAGAAAATGACACTAAGTTCTTTGGCTGTTCCTATTAATTTCTTATATACCTATCTATCGCGTAAAATGTGTACTTCGAACCCGCGAGACTAAATAATTAAAATAGTAATTGAAAAAAATACAAAGTTTATTTCAGTAAATGAAAATTGATATTCGATATTCTATTAGTCTTATATGAACTTTAAGTTTAATTACTTTAATTAAATATTAACAATTGATAGTTGAAAATAAATGGTAGTATTTGTACAGAAAGCAGATAAGAGTTTTGCAATAATTAGCTCAAACTTTTGAGTTGCGATATTTTCAACGAAAATATCTTGTCTTTCGTCTAGGCGTCTCCTAATGTCTGTTCTTGTGCCAAGACGTTATCAATGTTTACGAAATTACAGTTTTTATAATTTGAGAATTGTTTATAAACATAAAAATTTCATACGAAACCTTGCCCTGCGATAACCCTACATCAAAACTATTTTTAAACAAATCATAATTAATTAGTGATGTAAATAAACCGAACCATATTTTAATGATATTTATTCATATATATTGTATGTATTTAGATTTTATAAAGTTATGATTTATGAAAAAAATGTATTTCACCCAAGTAAAGCAAAATTAAAATGATCGATTTAATTGTAGAGTAAAAACAATTATTATTGTTATTATGTTAAAATCTGAAATAAGACTTAAAATGAAGAATTTAGATTATAAACAATACACTTCATTGATAAAAAAAAGTAATTTTACTGTGATGATCACCTTTTTCTTTCCATTTTGTAAAACCTTTTTTCGATTTATTTTTTAATTAATCAACACTGTTATCACTGCATTATTTTATGTCACTTCGAAGGCTTCGTTTTATAAAAACCACAGATACAAAATAAAAAATAATAAAAAGCACAGATTAATAATAGCGAGTAGGCACGTCAAGTTTTGGCGGCAAAAGTGAAAAATTGTGTTACACGCGTTTGTTCCGTCAATAGGCGAGCACTGAATTAGTTTCTTCAAAAGACACTTGCTAGAAACTTTTGATCTGAAGCCAGTTGGTACATTGCACAATTATCTATCTGACATTTAAAATTGGATCAGAACGCGTAGATTAGCGCGGTCGATGAAAGTAGAGATAGCAATAGAAAATGACGCGTTAAATTGTAGCGCCATTTTTTCTGACGTAAGTACTTTTCTTTTGTTTGAGTAGGTAATAATTAAATAAGACACTGTAACAGTTTTTGACCTTTAAAATATATAAGTGCAAATACTGTTCGTTGTTTACGCGAATAGTATATAAAACACTTTAGCTGATTAAAAGCCGAATTATATTAGTTAAACTTATTTATAAATTATATCTCCCCGTCACCACAGTTGCTTCAAAGCATCTGAAACGTTGGGTCGCAAAAATCAGATGCACACAAGTTTCACGTCTATATTTCGCATTTTAAACTGTCAAAGTGTTATTTTAATGTGTACTACTCGCGGCAACTACAGATAGCATTTAATTCCTATTTTAAATTAAAACAATTTTAAATTTCATTACAACAGATATTATCTATAACTAAGTAAATATTTGCTATATTAGCTTTATACATTTCAATTACAGACAATGGTTCTGGTTTTAAAAGCGGCTAAATTCAATTAATATTTACACTTCACAGTTTAAACTTAGGTTATTAATCAAAGAAAGAATTAAGTGATATATAGTAATAGTTTAGAGTTAATTAAGGAAAAAAATAGTATCCTTTAATTTTATTTAGCCAAAATGTATCACGAAATACAAATATAATCAATTGTGATTGTGTATTCAAACTTTTTTAAAATATTATCTGTAGTCTGTAGTTTTTAATGTATAATATTCGTCTATAGTTTACTATTTGAAAATCATTTTCAAATATTTTAACTAATATATCGCGTTTTAAACCGTTAAAGTGTTTTATTTAAATATAATATTCGTTACAATTATAGGACAGCAGCTCATTTATCAAGTACAAAGATGTATAATTAAGACGTTTTCAACATCGCACGCGAAAATTAGTCACGAAACGTATTAGCCAAGTAGCTAACAATATGAGATTCCTAGTGTTAATGTTTTCAAATCTAAATCAGGACGGTCCTATTCAACAGCTTGGCGGCGATACAGACGACATTGTAGACGAAAATAAACACTCATGACGTTTGCGTTTGTTTTTAATGTATTTTTTTGTAATCATGTTTTTTTCCTTTTTATTATGGAGGGGGACAAACAATTATGGCAATTATGGCGACTTTATTGTTATTAAGACATATATCCCAGCCTTATAGGTATCTAACATCTTAACAAGACGCGCTGTCGAGGTTCGATTTATTTTTCAAATTCAATAATTTTAATTGCCCTTCAACACATATTTATCTACAAAATTATGTAACTTATAACTACTAAATTAAATATTAAAATAGATAAGGATGGCATTCGGTACGAGTCTCGGCTGTGTTACTGAATGCTTGTCACACTCAGCAGTATAGTATTTTGGCTTTGAATGTTGGTAAATCCACAGACTAAAACCGAACCGAGATAAAACTTGACTGCTTTGTTGTTGGTGACCCGGACGGACGCTCTAATGATGGTAATGACTAATAATTAACGGGAGGAGGGTTCGATCCCCACCGAGTCCAAAAAGATTCTAATCAATTTATAATTTTTCTAAAACATATTGGACATAAAAATCTGGTGGTAGAAAAATCCAAAAATCCCGATTATGAACCACCATCCGAAAATGAAAAAAGCATTAGAAATTTACATGACACATAGTTCTCAATCATAAAAAATACTAATTATTACTTACGTTATTATTAAATAAAATGAAGGTAGTTCTATTCGGATTTAAATAGGAAATTTGACTTTGTGTTTAACATCAAATATTAAACTAACACATATTCAATTATTACAAGGTAGACTACTCCAATAAAATATCATGTCTGTACTTACCCTCAAACTTATTACACTTACAAATATAAATTTACGAACATTTTATAAGTTAAAAACATTTGACCAATGACTTGTTTTATATTATTACTTGGCAATAAATATCACGATATAGATCGTTACATTATCCAAAATTCTAATAAATCATTTGATATGGCACTTACTCTCTCATATTCCTGTCTGTGTCGTCTGAAGAAGTTTGAAATACCATTTAAGTACATTTTTCAAGTTTCATAAAACACTTTCACTTATACAGTTATCAATTTATTCACACAGATAAGAATTAAACTCGAGAAACGAAAATTGTTGACAGCTGACAGAGTGGACTAAGACGCGAATTGGTTTGTTTATTATTCGTTGTACATATTATGTCTTCGTGTGGGTAATCAATGTACAGGCTGCTTGAAATTTAATTGCAACAAACAAAATCACCCACCACAAGTTTAAAAATCAACAGCGTCATTGTATGAATTAATTAAGTTTTGTTTGTAGATTACGCAAATAAAACTCTTTTTTTAAGGTTTAAAACGGAATATGTTAGGTAATTTTCCTTTTTTCAGGTAATTGAATAGCTTAAAAATATATTTATAACACGTATTACCTAAGTGTATCCTTGAAAAAATCAGGGATAATACAGACTATAAATGGGCAACTTAGTAGAAAGAAATAAAGCACAAGACCTCAAATCGTAAGTTGAAATAACATTGCGCGATTTAAAAAATTGAACGGTGATGTAGGTGTTACACGGTCGTTGAATAATTGGTTAAAACAGCACGAAAGCATAGCGTTTCGTGCTGTTGCCGGTTCAAATCTTGCCCGTGTCGTAAAAACTAATTAAATATTTACAACAAGTAAGTATGAAGTTGCAAAGAAAGAAAATTTTGTGCTTAGTCTTAAACATCATTCTGTGTATATTTGATATGTGGTTTAAACCGCTTCTATCCTGAAGGAACTAAACCTGTTAATTGTTTTTAATTTTATATGAACTTCTGACTGTACATACTTTAGACTAAGAGCTTGACTTAAGCGGGGGAAAAATTAAAGGGTTTTAATTTTAGCTTTATTTTCTGTACTTTGAAACTAGGCTTACCATTCAAACATATTAGTGAGCGAGTGTCTTTAGAGATAAGAAAGTGTGTAGAAAGAGTTACATTTATTGTTTGAACCAATATCAATTTCTCGTTTTGCTTTTAAAATTTTGTGTACATTTTGCAAATTATACAATAAAATAAATCCTATCTATTCTGTTTTTCGTCTCCTAGACTATTTAATTACCACAATGTTGCTGGAATGAATATATGGTTATAAATGTGAATAAGTATGTACATTGTATATTAGACCAGGATAGAAAACAAATGTTAATAGTATTTAAATAAAACACTTTAACGGTTTAAAACGCGAAATACCTATAGTCAACTTATTTAAAATTTATTCCACCCAACTTTCCGGGTGCTTTGCAAAGTTGATAGTGTTTTATTTAAATGTGACAACGAGTCATTCACTGTCACATGTATATCAAACAACAGTTATATTTTTTTTCTTGTGAAACTAAGTTGTAGGTCACAAAACAACATACTGTATTAATCAATAAAAGTTCTATCTTAATCTATTTGACCCTTTGTTGCACTTATGCAAGTGTTGTTTCTACGCTGTATATTTCTTATGTAAGCAAGAGTATATCACTAAGTAAATATAAATAATAAAGTAAAGTCTTTATACGTTTTAGTTTTTAAGGTTAATCAATATTAAAACTATGTAATAGAAATAATAGTTTGTCTGTACGTTTAATAAAAATACTAGCTGTGCCAGCGACTTCGTCCGCGAGAATCGTTCATCCAAATTAGTTTTTGCAAACCCCGCCGTTTTTACAAACTTAGCTGATAGCCACGACGACGATCGCGTCCTTCCGGTCGTTCTTGCAAGTTAATCTTAAAAAGATAGATATATAATGTCGCGGCCATATTCGCCCATTCAAAGAGGAATCTTTCTATCATACATATTTTTTAGGTACCTTGAATTGTTTTCGCAGCGCACGCATCTGAAACCCACAGAGATGAAAAATTTCCCCCGTTTTGTTCACATTGCCCGCTGTATCTTCGCTTCTATTAGTCACAAAGCGATGTATTATAGCCTACAGCCCTACATTAGCCTTCCTCGATAAATTTGTCAATTCGAATCCGTAGCTCCTGCGAATAGCGCGTTCAAACAAACAAACAAACTCTTCAGCTTTATATATCAGTATAGATCGATCGAATCGAGCGTCGGCGACAAAGGCGAAAAAGATTAGATTTATTTATCTTACCTTATCTATCTGTCTGTATATACATGCCAACCTACGCAAATTCATAAACGGATTCGGATGCTTTATAGCAGCCGTGGGCGCGGGGGGACTATATATTTCTAATATACTTCACGTTTTTAAACCGTTAAAAGTGTTTCTTTAAAAATATATCGTGTTTTTATAATAGATGCGGGCACACAAGATTAGGGTTCTCTTGATGCCATAATGATACTCCAGCCATATAACATATAAACCTATTGACCTATTTTTCCTTTGGATGTTTGAAATTTACCAGACTGAAACCAAAATGCAATTAAACTTCATTTGTTTGTCAATTGTTCATTTGTTTAAGCTTAAGGTTAACACTTACAAATCCATTTAAAACTAACAGAGGGGTCGTAGGGTAAAAATAAGCTTTACACTACGTATTCCATGTAAGTAGTATATTTGTGTAAAAACTGTAATAAACAATATTCTTTAGATCCTTTGTCTGTGTCATACTGGGCAGAAGGCTGTAACCTTTCCATTAAGCTCCACCCAAGGATCTGCTTTAATAATGACGTCGAAGTACCTGTATCCTACACCACCTCGGAGTACAATGGGTATGTTTTCTTTCGTTTCGATCGCTAGGTGTGATATCTGTGGACCAGAAAACTTTCAAATTAGGAATTATTAAAAAAAAACAAATTTTAAACCTAAACTAAGGGTATTTTTAGTATTAAAACTGTTGATAACAGTACAAATAGATTGTATCATGCAATAAGTACCTACTGGTTTTGCAAAAATTGAATTCTTTACACACTTTGTTTTATATGGCTAGAAAGATGCAGGTAACTGAATTAAAAAAATGAAAACAAAAAAAAATATGTAGGTAACTGCATAAACACGTGAATGTCAATATAAAACTATTTTTACATTTACTAGCAGTTCTCCCATCAATACCGTAGAACGAACGAGAAGAACTGGCAAAAACTCGCTGCCAGTCCTCTTATCGCCTCTTAAACTGCGCATGGTTTTATTTTTTTTCCCGCAACTGCGCATGGGTACACAACTTGTGACCTGTTACTCACGACTTCGTCCCGTCCCGTTCTTGCAAGTTAATCTTAAGAGATATACATATAATGTCGCGGAAGGTTTTTGAGATCATTTATAGAAGAATCATTGTTGTACACAATATTTCCGTTTTTGAATCCCTTTTCGCAGCGCTCGCAACAGAAACCCTGAAGATGATTTCTCCGTCTTTTTTTTACATTTTCCACTTTTTCTTTGCTCGTATTCGTTCATGTTTTATAGCTACAAGCTTTTCTCGACGGTCTAACCAACACAAAATAAATTTAAATTCGAAAGTTAAGTCGTTCTCGAGATTAGTGCGTTCAAACAAACAAAGAAACTCTTCAGCTTTGTAATATTAGTATAGTTTATGTACTCACAACACAATCAAACACTCCTTCACAATGCATGTGGTGTCCAGTCGGCTTAGCTGCATATCTAAACCTCTTGTTATAAATGCGTCTATCTTGCTGATTCCTGCTTCCCTGGTAGATATTTCTGTACGGAGATCTGACGTAGTCACTCGTAGACGACGGCAGTGGTTCAGGGTATGGATAGCCTTTGAACATTCTTCTATAATTCAATCTGTAATTATAAGAAGAGTTAAAATAGCTATTAAATATCATGCATACGAGTATTTTGCAGTACTCTTAATACAGAGTTTTCGTCAAAGATGGACAAGGGGGCTGCACCCCTCTTATGTTGTGTATTATGTTTGGGTTATTTTAAATTGGTGCCAAAAAGCGAATATAGCGGGTTTGAACCCTGTTTAAACTCTGTTGATAGACTGTTGCGTTGAACGTAGGATAGGTACTCACATAACTGGTCTGCCTAGTCCATAACCATGTTTTTGTTCGTACTTAAAGCTCTGGTCAGCGGTCACGGTGGTAGCGAATAGAATGCAAGTAAAAAACAGTTTCATAATTTTCACGCATCTGTTCACCTTTTCATAAAAACGTTTAACGTAGGAAATTTTACGACAAGCGGCCTACCATAGTCCGTAACGATAAATTTTTATTGCCTACTGATACACCTACGTAAACCGCATAAAACGTAAAATTTTACGAAATATTTCCTAAAATAATTGCATTGTTATGTAATGCTATTGAGCTAGAATTTACAGCAAGCTTTACCTCGATTTTGTACTTACGTCCTAACTTACCTGTATATTTTAAAACTTAACGCAAGCTATAGTTTTAAAAAGTTATGTTTTATAGGCAACAAAGTTATACGAACAGTTTGAAAATATACATATTTTTGTTGCCTTATGTTTTAAAACTTTAATTAATAACATAATTTATTACACTTTGCGAAATATTTTATAGTAAATTTGATAGTAATGATTAAAATGAATGTATAGATAGGATTTTGCGATACAATAAATTCAAGACAGAAGAAAAAATATAATAAATAAAATAATAAAGATAAAGATATTTGCTTTTTAAAGCTTGGTGTAGGCAATATAAAAGTGACTCCTTGGTTGGTAAAAGCATTACACATTATTATTTTTGTTGCAGTCTGTGGCCAGCAGCTCTTAACTTTCATTTTTATCCTTTACTCTGTCAATTGTCAAGTGCATAAGTTAAATTTTTTCACAACAATCAGAATTTTATTTTATTGGATTTTCAAAACAAAATTGTGATAATGAAATTCACAACATTGAATTATTGAAACACTTCATTCTAAATTACAACCGTAACTCCGTTCTTCTTAAGTACATTACAAAAACGGCAATGGATGGTAATGTTATTAATATCTTATTATACCGTGTTTTAAGTGAGGTTTATGATAATATTAAGTATTCTGTTGTTCCAGGGCCATCCGCAAAAAAATCTACCTCATTAGAAACACTCGTCATTCAAAACATAACCAATTGGAAGGACTTAACAGCAAAACTAAATGATATTATTTCCGCCGGCAAGAACTATGAATACGATGTTTCGTCATGTTTAAAAGATTTAATTATAAGTAAAGATGAGTCTATTGTACTGTTGAGCGTGCAGGCCATTTCGGAGCTAGCAAAATGCGAGAACAAACGTGAAACTTACGCACAAAAGGAAATTATCGCACCAATACTTGATATTTTATCGAAAGAATGTTCTATCGCTAAGTATGATCTTATTAAGCAATGCTTAAGAGCTTTAGGGAACCTTTGTTGTGACTGTGATACATCGAGGAGAATTGTACTCGAAAATCATGGAGTACAAGTAATGAGGGATTTACTCATTAACACCATAAATAACACTGCATTTGACGAGATTAAAATACTCAACTGTAAAGCATTATTGAACTATGCAATCGGTGGACAGGACTTCTCAGGTCCGTTGGAAAAATGTGGTGTAGTAGAGCAGATGAAGAAGATATTAACAATAGAAATAAGTAAGAATGATATGAACGATGACTTGGTCTCGACTGTACTGCTAATACTAAGTGTGATAAATGATAATGAACCGGAACTTTTGTATGATGATGAGGTTAATGTTGCTGTTTTGAATGTCCTGAAGGAGACAGCTAATGTGGATATATCGGAACTGGCACTGGAACACTTACATTCACAAGTCCGGGAGCATGGTAACTAGTTTAATTTACTATCTACTATGTTTGATAAACAAATTCAAAGTTTGGCATCTTGTGTAGATGGTATATGGCTGGGGTATTTCACCCCCATTAAGTCAATTCCATGCTTGTATGTCCTCCCCTATTAAGAAAAATGATAATAATCAATAGAATGAATGAATTACTATTTTATAGGCCGAAAATCTTAAGTATATTTGAATAAAATAAATATCTCAAACACTTTTCAGATTCTGTAAAAACACTCCTTGCAAAAGAAGGTGGTGTACAGTTAGTTTGTGGCCGTTTGGATTACTTAATACAGAGGCATGATGCTGGAGATCTTACTGCAGATGACAGTCAAGTTGAAGTAATTGTTAAACAAGCGTGCTATCTGATTATTCTTATACTAACTGGTGGTAGGTAAAACATTAGTTTGATTTGAGCAATGGCTGTACTACAAATTATATGAGAGTGAAAGAATTAATATTTATTTCTCAGCAACACGTCAATTACTTGACTGATGTAAAAGAAAAAAGATTTATGTAGTCTTCATAACTTACTGTGCATGTGACTTTAAAATGTTGTGTGTGCCATTACATACACTAATGTAAAGAAATTAAATGTAACTGTCTTCCAATTTTCTTAAACAAATTCTACATCCCAAGTTTGGTTTCAATCTATTTCAGATGAAGCAATGCCCCTTCTTTACAAAGATGGTGTAGGTGATGTTTACTTGACAATGGTGAAGTGGCTGGATTCATCTAATCATCACCTCCTAGGGACAGCACTGCTGGCAATTGGTAACTTTGCTCGACAGGATGAATATTGTATACAAATGATGATGGATAAAATATTTGTCAAGTTACTGGGTGAGTATCAAAAAATACTATTTTTAAATTGTGCCTTAGATGCTTTTACTCCTATTTAGCTATAAAAATTATATTACAGATATCTTTGAAGTATACCACATTCTTAGTTTAAAACAGAAGGACAGTGACAATCTTCCAATTGATAAATCAGTTCTGAACCAAATCCAACACGCTTCACTATCAGCTGTAAGAAACTTAAGTGTACCAAAGGATAACAAGAGGGTAGCTGCTGTACAGGGCAAAGCTGCACCACTTTTACTTAAGGCTTTACCAGCTGTTGAAGACCACCATGTGGCTTACAAGCTTCTCGCTGCCTTGAGAATGCTTGTTGATGGACAAGGTGAATTTTTACTAGATATCAGAAAGTTCTTGCTGGATACCAGAGTTATAGTTTTTGCTAGATACCAAAGAGCTATAGTTTTTGCTAGATACCAAAAAGCCGTAGTTTTTGATTTGGTTCTGTATTCTGTTTGACAGAAGATTAATAAAATAGCTTCCTTAGAATAGTTTATATTGGTTTTCACTATTTATAGAGCAAGCTGTTCGTTCTACGCCCTTGATTTGAGAACCGGTAGTAAATATAAGGTCAGATTCTTTAGTTAGCTACATGAATAAATCATTTTTGACTTCTATTTTTTTTAGAAAGCGTTGCACGTCTCATATTAAACGACAGAGCTGCGTTAGAAGCAATAACGCGTTGGGGCGGGTCTGGGGAACACGCCGGCGCGGCGGGGGAGGCGCCACGCCTACTAGCTTGGACGGTGAAACATGTTCCGGAGCGAGCTGACATTTTACAGGTATGCCCATATTACTGGGTGCTACTGCTAAATGTACTGCTAGATCATATTGTGTCTAGAACTATATCTGTAGACACATGGTCTAGCAGTATATGTTGCAGTTTGGTTACTAATAGTGCTTTCTAGTGGAGTCTCTTTTGATAAACAAAATTTCGACACAAACCTGCAATTTTTTGTGCATTGAAATATACATTTAAATTTGAATATATTGTTAATGACTTTAAAAAAAATAAAGACTTAAACCGGCATCCACAGCGTTCCGAGCTGTTGCTTTTACCAATTGAGCTACGGATTCCTTGATCACCTTCAAAATCAATTGTTTTTGACACATAATGATGTCCTATTCTCGTCATTTTTATTTCAGGTCGAAGGCTGCCTCCTAAACATCGTCAACATGCTAATCGCCCCCCACTCCCTCATGCAGAATGAAGCGATCTTGGCCTTAACACTAATAGCCATCGAAATAATAAACCAAACGTCAAAATACGAAGAGGACTTTATCGCGCAGTTAATAAAGTCGGAAATCGGTAAGCACATATCGGTTCTCATAGAGACAAACTGCGCGAAAATGCCCATAGAGGTCGCGGAGAATTTGTTAGCGTTCCTCGACGTCACTTCGAAATGCGAGAAAATTTTGACCGACTACACCGAAACCAAAGTGCACAATGCTCTACAAAAGTTTTTGGATGCGAGAGGTGATTTTAACGCGCAGCTCAAAGTTTGCGCTTCGGAGATTATTAAGAAAATCTCGGATGCTAATTTAGAGTAGTTTTCAACAGTTTAAAACGGTTAAATTGATTCATAGGCTTTATCGCTTATTATTAATGTTTGACAAGATTAACTTACCTATTTAGTTACTTGTAAACGAGTTACGCACTTGTGCTATAGTCGAATATAAAGAAATTAAATTGGAAAAGTAAAATTTTATAGTATTTGAAAAAAATTTAGTTTGGACTATAGTACTAAGAATACCACGGGCTTTATTTATAAACGTCAAATAAAAAGGGGAAAAGTTATTTCTATGTCTTAATTGCTTTAGATTGTCAAATTACTGACTAACCTAATAAAATTTAAAGGTACTCTCGAGCAAATTCTAGATCTAAGACAAAACTATTCCGCTGCGTTTCTTAGTAAGCACTCGATATTTACAGTATTTTATCCTTTTCATCGGTAAAACTAGTCAATTTTTATTATATCAACTAGGGGATTTGTCAATGTTTTTGACTTAGATGTGTCTAACGCACAAATTGCTTTTTGATCCCAATTACAGCAACCACATTTTGGTAAAGTATGAGGGAATATTTTTATTATTTTTTTGATGTGAACATCAACAGAATTATTTATGATCAGTACACACTAGCTGCTATTTTACACTTGCGTGTTCATACTTTTTGAAGGATATCAAGCTTTTTAACTCTTTAAGTGTGTTTCTTCAATGTTTAAACCTTCCAGGTTCTTTATATAAGTCATGTCTAAGTATACGTATTTGTCTACCAACAGTACTTATATTTTTATATGAGTAGCACTCAATTAACGGTTTAAAACACGAAATATATTATTCAACGTTAATTATTTAAGCAATTTCCTGACGCTTCGGATGTTTTGTAGCTTTGGTCACGGGGTGACATAAGAGTGGCAAGGGAGATAAGTTAACTAATAGATTTCACGATTTTAACCGTTAAGTGTTTTATTTAAAAAAATGATAAGGTTAATTCAATAATAATGTTCTCGTTTTTAAAATTAGTTATTTAAACTTTTTTATGGTTTGTTCACACATAGATTTGACTAGTAGCTACACACATACAACATATTTTTTCAGACATACTAAACTGTGCGTAAGCACTGTGTCTAAATAAACATGTGATACTTTATCAAGCTATGGTTCAGGATTGGGATAATTTTATCAAAGGAATTGAAATCTTATTAATTCGTAAAACGATAAGTATGGAATTAATTGATGACAATTTCAGATTTTTTCTGTATTTGTTTGTTAATGTCTTGTTGTCCTTGGATATGTTAGATGTTTTTATCATGACGTTAAGATTTTGTCACATTGTGTGGATTCTGGTAAACACCTCTTCTAGTACACGTTATGGTTATAAGTATAGCACTATAGAAGAAATTTAAACTTACGTGACAGAATTTAAACAAAAAAATATAAGTATTTCAAAGTTATAAGATTAACTTATATATTGTAGAATTCTTTTAAGTACTTTTTCATATTCTTTGATTCTGGTACTAAATAATTTAAACTTTATTGCGTACAATTTGACAGATGTCATCGAAAAAAGTTATCTGCATTAAAAGTAATTAACACTTACTTAGTTACGAACTTATAAATACTTATCGCTATCTATATAATCATTAAAACAAAATTTACTACTATCCAATAATTACTAAACACTATTAAAAGTTTGCTTATCTAATAAGTATTGTTTACAAGTCACAAAGGCAATAATTTCGACTAATTCTAAAAATAAACTTCTACACACGTACTCTTACCATATTTAGGTCCAATTAAAACTAAATGGGATTGCCCATTTTAGGCCAGTAATGGACAGTTGAACTTAAATAAAGTACACCGGCCTAGGACATTTTTCAGAGAAGGCTTTTTACTTCATAAAAATACGTCTTACACGTCATTCTAGCTTAGCCAGTAAGTAATACTAAACACTAGCACGTACATTGCACAATCTTAGAGCTTTTCTATATAACGTAAGTTTAAAATGTAAAGATTTCGCATAAGACCGCTATTTTCTCACTGTTTTAGGATAGAAAAATCGAACGTTTATATTGAAAACTTCGTACCTTTTAAATAAAACAATTTAATAGTTTAAAACGCGATATACTTATTTTAGTTAAACTGCTGCTGCTGCAAAGCATCCGAAACGTCGGGCCGTAGTTTAAAAGAATTTTCAAACAAGTTTAACTAAAATATATCGCGTTTTAAACCGTTAAAGTGTCTTTTTTAAACGTGTACAACTCGCGTGAACTACAGACAGTATTTAATTTTATAACTTATTTTGTAATAACTTTGTGTATTCCCTTAATATGTTTCTAATAATTCAATTTCACTATCTTGTCTCCATCTCGATGAATATTTTAAATACAATTTCCTAGGCAAGGATAATAGTGAATCAGAAAGCTATATATTTCGTGTTGTTTCGTATTAACGTAAGTTGAACGTCTTTAAGCGAAGTTTTTATGGCCTATTTATTGCTGTAGTTTATGGACCAAATTAAATTAAGTATTTTGTGTAATAGTACCTTATTTTGTTTGTGTAAATCTACAATTAATTTCATTCAATTGCATACGCAGGTTCGACTCCTGTTTCACACTTGTTTATTTTACTTAATTTTTCTACGAAAACTGACCTCTATATATATTTGATGTTGTTTTTTATTTCCTAACTTTTTTCTAAGGTAGTTTGTTAAATATTTATTGATAACGTGGCGATCAATTTATTACTTATATCATTATCTATTTCTAATGTTCTGTGTAACATCAAGTTGCATTTATTAGTATAATTTTCGTTCGTTCAAAGTTAGTAAACATGTAACCTTTTTAGATCTGTATGTTTTTATTTTAAGTTCTGTGTTTTTTTTTGTTTATGATTATTTATTGTTTGTATTAATTTGTTTCGCCTACCTTGCACATCTCAATTTCTTAACATTTCATAACTTAAGGTTGCCTGGAAGAGATCGCTTGTTAGCGATAAGGCCGCCCATTGCTCGTAGGATTGAATATTTATTTTTGTAATAAAGAAAAATAAATAAATAATTTTTGCCTTTTGAAAATTAAAACGAATAAATCTTATTGCAATTAATTGTGTTTTCTTTATATTAATACCATTCAGTAGCGTAGCTAGGTGGACAAGGGACCCAGTCTACCTAATTCTAAGGCTCAAGAAAGAATCCTCATCTCTTTTAGCATAGTTTGAATTAGATGAACCTCCAAAATTATAAATAGCAACAAGAACGTTAAAAAATCCTTTTTTTTCTACGCTTATATCTTCTTAAAGATAAGATTAGAGGGCCCCTAAGTTCCGGGGCCCTTGGTGCACTGCACCACCTGGCCCTACGATCGCTAAACCACTGATAGCATTAATCCAATAAAAATAACAAAGACACAAAATTTTCCGACCATTAAAGTCATATGAGTTTAATAATTAATGTCCTCTGTTTTACTGGTATGACAGTAAGTCAGTTCTGAAAGGATCCAGCTAATTTTTCCAAATACCAACTACAACAAAACAGATGGCGCTAGCGTAGCAACTTTTACTTTGCTATTATGGGCGACCTTTATCTTCAGACTCCCACGGCTTCTGTTAACTAATTTATTTCGCGTTTTAAATCGTTTAATATAAAAATAAAACAGCACAATAAACAAATATTTTATTTTTGACTTCATGTAGTATCATTGAGTTCTATGGCCGTCCGATCATGGATAAGCGTCGAGTGCTGAGTTATTGTCATCCGAAATCTTAATTCATCGTCTGATATTAAGTGATCCTGGAGAATTGGTTCTCGATTCCCGCAACCAGCAACTAAAACGAACAAATTATAGATACAGAGCAACTAGCCCGTATAGGGTTGGTGACCCAATGGTTAAAATATCTTTATAATCTTAATCATATAGACTAAATAGATCTCCCTGTACTAATAATACATAGTAGATTAGTTCTTAGAAAACATGGTGGAATTGTTTGAATTAAACATCAATTTTAGATGTGAAAAATATTAAGTTTTCTAACTATAATACCATCTTCAAAGATTTTGCGTGTTACGGTATTGCTTTGAAACATAAGACATTGAACCAAGATTGAAATTATATTGCGCGAGAGTTGCATGTATCAATAGATTGAAAATTGGTTAGATCAACAGCGGCAACAGCACGGAGTGCTATGGTTGCCGGGTCAAGTGCCGCCCGTATCGTAATTTTATTTTTGCAATCTAAAAGCTATGAAATAAAAAAAAAATAGAAAGGTTTTTGATTGGCCGCCTTCTATAAGAATAACAATATGTGATTTTGTTATTGCTTCCGAATGAATCCCCTCCTAAGAGATGCCTTTTAATAATTTCACAGATCATTTTATTTCTGTGCCCAACCTTGCATTACACAATAGATTTTCACACAGATACAAAATTATCTAAAAAAGGCAACTATTTGAGAAGCGTAGATTGTTGTTTTTACCTGGACATTTCATATTCTTCTTCTGTATGATGTTCATAATGACTTCTCGCTCATAGATGTGACCACATAATGAGTTCCTCACGGGATCTGTTATAGCTTTCTTAGTGAATGGGTCGTTCTGGAAAAAATAGGTATGTTATAGGAAATATTTCTATACTTATATATGCAGTTGAAGAGTTTGTTTGGTTGAACGCGCTAATCTCAGGAACTGCGGGTTCGAATTGAAAAATTATTTTGTTGTGTTGGTTAGAGCATTTATCGAGGCAGGCTTTAAAACATTGCCCTGTGACTAATAGAGAATGAATCCTCTTTAAACGATCTAAGAAAGAGTTCGCGACGCTATATGTCTATCTTTTAAGATTAACTCGCATGAACGACGGAAAGAGGCGCGTCTCACGTCGTAGGTAATAGTTTACGTTTATAAAGATGAAGAGGTTTGCAAAAACGAATTTGAATGCCCAAAATAACGTATTTCGCGGACGAAGTCGCTGACACAGCTAGTTAAATATATACATTTAGTTGTTGAGTGACAATTTAAAATTGCATTATTTTGGAACTGTCTGATGTCACTCACTTAAGTTTGTTCATATATATTTTATTTGTGTTAAACATATATACATCTATTTATTCTTAAAATAAATATAATATTCTTAAATTTTAGTGCAGATAGTACTTGTTTCTGTAGATTACAGGAGTAGGTACATACACCTTAAAATAAAGCACTTTTAAATAATAAATGAAAGTAAAAATGTAGATAGCAAAGTGTCTTTCATAAAGATATACTTGCGTGGAGTTACAAATTACTTACATATGTAGTTTGAGATTCTGTGATCGCTATGTCTGAATCATCCAAATTATCTGAAACAGATTAAAATTTATTACTAGTATTGCCTAGGACTCTATAGAGTTCTCCTTGTTTATAGATTATACAAAATCAAATTTAAACCCTAACAGCTTGTGAATGCCTCTATAGCGCAATTGTTGCCTTTCACTGCATTTAACACCGAAAACACAAGAGATCCTGGGTTCAGATCAGAGGCAAATGTTAAATTCAAGTCATAGAAGTCAGAACAGTTTCTTGTTTAAAATAAATCAGTGAAATGTGTTCACCTACAGGCATAAACTTTTTGCATTTTCAACTAAAAACACTAAAAGGTCTTTCTCTATATTAAATACTAGCTGTCTCAGTGAATTCGTCTGCAAGAATCATTACTTTGGGCATACAAATTTGTTTTTGCAAACCCCTAATCTTTATAAACTTAAGCTCTACCCATGACGTCTCACATCATCACGATTTCACTTGTATTTGTCACAGGGCTAATTCTAGGCCTTCCTGAATAAATGCTCTAACCAACATTACTGGTTTGAATTTTTCAATTCAAACCGGTAGTTCCTGAGATTAGCTTGTTCAAACAAACATACTCTTGAGCTTTATTTATTAGGATAGATATCAGTCAACAAAAGATATTGTATTATCCCAAATGAACTTACTTCTAGCAGATTGTAGGCCCCTCTGAATCCTGTTGTTAAATTCTGTCATGTAGGGATGTATGTCTGTATTAAGCCTCTGTCCAGCCATGTTATCCAGGTTTGCATCAAATACATCATCTAGTTTATCTACATTTGTTGTATCTACTTTTGCCTTTAAGTTAATTAGTTATAAATTAAATAGTGTCTGTTCTACAAACACATTGAGTAGGTAGTAAATATATTTTGTTTTAACATCAGACAACATTTTCTGTTGGATTTGGATTGGATTAAGGAAAGCTAAATATTTTTCCTTTTTAGCTTATAGGTCACATATTAAACAAACCTTTTCTCTCTAAGCGTCACATATAAAGCTCACCTTTGCTATATCCAGAGCTTGTAAAGCTACATCCTGTTGAGCTTCCATGAAGCAGTAATCTTTTACAATCAACTTTAATTTCTCATGTTCAGTGGATCTCTCGCTATCCAAATATTTAAAAACATTATCTGTACACAAGTATAAACTATTTAGGCATTGTTTTCGTAGTTCTGCTAAATCTGAATCACTCATAGTTCCTCTGTACTGTATATAACAATAATATTTACAGCCTTTTAATATTTTTAACTTAGGCTTGGTTTTGCCGCTAATTTTGGTATGTTTTTATTTTGTGTTAAGTAGTTGTCAATTCGATATTTGTCGTTGTGTCAACTGTCTGTTACTGTCACGTCAAATGTCAAGCAGAATAAAAAGAAAACTAGATTTACGCTACCACAGATGTAAATCGATATAATACAAAATAATTGGAATGTATCACCATTATTTTGCTTCTTACAACGAGTCTAAAGAGAGATAATTAAAACAAGATATTTAAATAAATTATTTAAATTAACATTATCTATGTAATATTAAACTTACAAGTATTTACAATAATCATAACTTAGAGAATCAATCATCAAGTCAAAACATATTCTAACAAAATTTTAATACTCAAATAACTGTATTCATGATTATTAAATTAATAATATAATATTATATGAATAATATTTTATTCTTACTTATATATATATTATTTTTTCAAACATTCATAATCCAACAACAACAAGCTCGTGTTTACAAAATCTAATCTAAGTTCTTTATATATCAAGGGATCTGACATGAATTATATCAGAATTTTAAACTATTAATAGCTGATTGGTGCTTATAGTATGCACATACTTTTCACTACTATTTTTAAGGAGTCTTCACACGGTCACACCAACATGGCCCAAAGCAGCAGACAGCTGCTTAAGCTGCGCGCGCATATCCGCCGCTGACAGCGATCGCCGTGCCCCGATCACTTTGAACGCGTTTAGATATTCCAATTCTGAAAACTGTGGCCCCCTCTCGCGGACAGACGCTATTATTTCCTGTTTAATGAATATTAATTAATATCCATTACTAATTTGAATGTTACGCAGTAGAAAGAGACAAAAGACCATTTTCGTTGTAGTAAAGTGCTGTCTCTGTTACCCGGTCTGTAGTAGGACATGAAAAAACATGTAGTTCTAAATTTTGGCCGCCTCTGTTAATGTTTAGAGCTGAGACAGCTCCTGGGTTCGAATCCCGGGGTTAAATTGTTTCGGTTGGGCAGGACGCAGAATTCTTCAACTACTGTTTGTAAAAGAACCAATTAGTAAAAGGGACACAGAATTGTGTCCTGGGAGCCTTAAAGAGAGAATGGGGATTTCAATTTTCTACATTCTGGCGATTATATGTAGACAGAAAAATCTCATAAAAACTAATAAGTATCTGAAAGTTTGTTAAGAATTCACGTCAAAGAATTGAGCGAATATTGATAAAAAGCATAGATCACGTGATTAATTACCTCCGGCGTGCATGCAAGCAAGTGTAGATAAGCATGCGCCGCATGGAGCCCGTCGTGAGGGAGCTGCAGTGCAGCAAGGCAATGCCGCAGTGTGGCCAGCCTATCTGCTGCACTGCCCACTGCCGCTCCGCCGGCTGCATTTCTTTCCGACTGCCATCGCCAAACAACTGCCGCGGACATCATTTCGCCAATGCCGTTCATTATGTACTGAAGACAATTACTTCGTTAATTTTAAAAGTTATAAATAAAAAATAAAACACAAATTACTGGCTGTGTCAGCGACTTCGTCCGCGAGAATCGTAATCTTTTCAATTCGAACCAGTAGTTCCTGAGATTAGCGCGTTCCAACAAACAAACAAACTCTTCAGCTTTATATAGTAGATAGATTCCATAAAAAAAATAACAGAACAGAATAACTTGCTTAATTTTTTAAATTATATAGGACTATACAAATTTAATTAATTATAGCTTGGTTTTTGTAGGAAAACCTCTTTTCCTTTTACTTTTTTTTTGAAGTAATTTTTTAAAAATAAAAAAGGTTAAATATCTATGAGATTTTATGCACAGCTTTTAGAGTTATGGCAATTTTTTAACCTAAAGAAGTATATTAAAAGTGCAAACAATTGTTTTTGGATTTTATCTAACTACGACCCGACGTTACTGGTCCTAGACATGGGTCCCGTCGAGTCCACGGCTGCTGCAAAGCATCCAAAACGTCGTATCGTTAAGAAACATATTTTGAGTTTTAAACCGTTAATAAATAATTCATAAAATTTAAGTACATATTTAATTTTGAAACAATGGTTTTGAACTTTATTCTGTCAAAGACTTATGAACGACGAAGGAATAGCCTACCGCAAGTCTCGAAGGCGCCAGTAGAGTGGAGGCTCGCTCGTGGAATCCCAAAAGACTGGAGGCAAGTCGGCCCACACCACCCGCTTCGCCCTCACTGTCCGTCCCGTCCCCACGATCGTCCCACTCTTGGCCCAAATAGTGGAAGCATTCTATACGCATCTGGACAAAAAGCGAAAAAGAAAATTTAATTTATTGCTTGGAGCTATAGCTAGTTCATGAGTTCAGTAAGCTAACAAAATAAAATGTTAATAATTAATTATTAGTCAATATTTACAACAATAGTTAAAAACACTCGCGAATATAAAGACTTTGTTCTATTAATTTATGTTACAATTAATTTTTATTTCTATAATTTTGTACTGTTGTTCTACGTAATTACAATATGTGCTTGTTAAATACTCATGCATGAGTGTAAAATTATATTGAATTTTATATGAGGCCGCTAGAGTCAGAGTAGCCTAACTGCAATTTTATGGCTTGACTTATTTATATTTTCATAGTCTAAATGTTAATTTAGAAGAGCACAGTGACCGAAAACTGTTAATATAACTCTTACACAAATAATAGAAAAATTCATTTTCGCCTAAGTTAATTGAGCATTTATACTTGCCTCCTTATTGAAAATCATGTTTTTGTTATTAGGCCACTCTGCCTCAAGCAGTCTCATATATGAGTTGTTGATAAGTCCTATAGAAATAAATAAAGAAAATGACGTCACCTCCAAATGTAAGAAGAGAAGGCACTTCTGTGCTATTTCGTCAAAGATAGACGCGGCTGCGTTGAGGTCATTCACGAATTTATCGGTGAGGTGCAGAACGCCACCCGCCCCGGGGGCACTAAGAGAGCTCGGCAGGTGACGAATGTTGGAGCTTATCCATTCCTAGCGGGACAAAATCATAAATATATTTATGGCGCTTTCATTGTTTTATAACGGACTTTTTTATATCTATACCAATATTAACATGACAAGTTTGTTTCTTCATCAAACTGGTTCGGATAAAAATAATCTTTTTGTGTTGGTACGATCATTTATGGAGGAAGTCTTTAGTTAGTTTTAACTATTAAATATCACGCTACAACCAATAGAAGCGAAGAAACAGTAGTAAATGTGGAAAAAAGGAGGGAATTAGTCATCTTTTAAAGTTCCCGTAGCGTGCGCTGCAAAATCGGCTCAAGATAGTAAAGAAATATGTATAAAAGAATATTCGCGATACTTTATATATCTTTGGATTAACTTGCAAGAACGATTTCCCGCTACCAACATCGTGGGTATCAACTATAAGTTTACAGGTAGCAAAACTACTAAGTATTCTAGTATTTAATAAAAATGGCAACACACAGGCTATTACGCAAACATCACGTCACTCTATATTTACACATATTTTGTCTCTCTCACACATCTGCTAGTGTAAGAGACAAATAATTTTATACTTTGGTGTAATTCTCGGTACAGTAAACCTACCATAGTCTCCGCTAGCAAAGCTAGTTCTTCCAACAAATGAATGTCCACGACCACCTCCCTTATCGACACTTCGCCATCTCCGAGGGAGGTCCCCAAGATCTCAGCTTCACGCTCATATGCTGCTTTCAGTTCCTGAGGAAGAATCGGTTTAAGAATGTATTTTCTCATAAGAAGACGGAAAGTTTTTGTCTTATTGCGTACAACGTGAAAATTATGACATACGTTGAAATTACATTGCGCGAGAGTTGCACGTATAGGTTGAACAAAATTCGACGATGACGTGTAGTTCAATTGGTTAGAGCCGGACCAGAACGCTGTGGACGGCGGTTCAAGTCCTGCCCGAGTCGTAATTTTTTAACTTATAATCGATTTTTTATTTTTAAATGACTTTTTAAAGTTTTAAACACGAAACATATTACTTGACCTTATTTACAAATAATTTTAACTAGCTTCCGGCAGCCGTAGTTTCCCATCGTGTATTTCGCGTTTTAAACTGTTAAGATCTTTTATTAAACAAAACAATGCGTAATATTCGCGCAAACCACACCACCACAGATAATAATTAATTATAAGTTTACGCAAGAAGTACCGTATTAAATGTGGTATGTAAAGTCCCCGCGATTCTTATTCGAGGTAAGAAAATGTTTTTGTTTATTTTATCTTGAAAAAAAAAGGTTTCCAATGAAGTAATAAAAATATATACAACTACCATATTCACAAAATTGATTTTTTATAATATTAAAAAGTACACATAAGAACTATGGATATATTAACCTGCTGCGTAGGATGCGCGTCCTTCTGGTCGTGCAGGAGCAAACGGTAGTTCGGTAGCGCCTGCAAGAACCGCACGATGTCATCATCCGCCAGCCAGCGAGCAGCACGCGCGGGCGGTGCAGGGGAGAGGCGGGTGTGTGCAGCACGAGAGTGAACCGCTAGCGAACCTTGAAACAGTTTGTCTTTCTAAATAATGGGAATAAAACACTATTAATATAACAAATAATACATTACAGAAAACACGAATCACAATTCCCATTGAGGTGCAAAACCATGTCTGTGTCCGTTTCACCGGTCGGTTCTTTCACAGGCAAGTAGGTGACGAGGCGACCGAAACAATCTTTCTTTCAAATAAAACACTTTAACGGTTTAAAACGCGAAATATTAGTTAAACTTATTTGCTAAATGATTTTTAACTTCGGCCCGACATTTCGGATGCTTTGCAGCAGCCGTGGTCACGCCAGTTTCGCCAAATACCAACTTCGACGGAACAGATGGCGCTAGCGTAGCAATTTTTTACTTTCACGTCAGAGACCTCCTCCATTAGTCTCCCCGTGACCACGGCTGCTGCAAAGCATTCGAAACGTCGGGCCGATGTTAAAAATCATTTTTTCAAATAAGTTTAACTAATATATCGCGTTTAAAACCCTTAAAATGTTTTATTTAAATGTGTACCACTCGCGTAAACTATAGACAGTATTTAATCTTTTTTTCGTTCCCCCGCGATTCGACCCTCGGACCTCCCGAGCTTAACGCAGCACGTTTAATCATTTAGTTACAGAGACGGTAGCAAATTATTTAATCCTTAAAAAAAACTGCAAATACCAAATTGTAATTACTTTAAGTGAAACAAGGGAATTTTTACTCTACATATGCTTACCTATAGCGGCCTCAGTGGCTCTTACAAGAGCCAGCCCCCCACATGCACCGGCCACGTCGCGCTGCGCCGGCGCAATCTTGCACTGCGTTCCATGCGCGTGCGCAGCAGGCGAACACCGCCCGTTGCTCTCACTAAACCACTAAATCATAATAAATGAATGTTTTGATATTTTTATATGTCCTCAACGTCCACAGCCTCTTTCAATCATCTATCAGAAAACACACAAGAAATAATTAATATGACAAAACAACGTTTGCCGGGTCGGCAAATTATTTAATAAATATTATAACATAGTTATTACAATCAATTTTAAATAAAACACTTTAAAGGTTTAAAACGCGAAATATATTAGTTAAAGTTGACAATTATTTTAACTACTTCCCGACGTTTCGGATGCTATGCAGAAGCCGTGATCACGCGGAGACACAAGCTCGTGTTTATTTAATAAAAAGTTTCCTAAGAATTCAAACTTACACTGAGTTATTAACAAGAGTCCTCTCCCTCCAAGCCGCTGCTTCCTTCATAGCAGCATCGATCTTCGCACGAGCTTCCGAAACAAGTCTTTCACTCTCCCCCCAACGAACGTAGTCGGTTATAAAGGCGCGCAGTGAACACTCACCTCCACTATAAAACGGTTAACAATGAATACTGTCTGTAGTTACCATGAGTACAAATTTAAATAAAACACTTTAACCGTTTAAAACGCGAAATATATTCGTTAAAATAATTTTTAAATAAATTAAGTTTTATACTGTTTAAGTGTTTTATGCGGTAAAAATAAGGTTAATAATCAACGGGTCGTGGATTCGATCCCCACCAGGTCCCACATGTTTCTAATCGATTTATATTTTTTCTGAAACATGTCATGCCTTCGCCTGAAAATCCAGATTTTGTTTTGTTTATTAAATGGGTGGCGGCTTCAGTTTCAGTCCAAGTGGATCCAAAGCCAAAATAGGTCGACAGTACATCTTGTTTAGATGTTATAGGCTGGGGTATTTAGCTCCCCTATCAAAATAAAAAAAATTAAATGAGTATTATTTGCTTATGAAAACTTACCCAGGTCGCTCCAAATGTGCACACAAGGCGTGCAGCGCTGGTAGCACTGCATGAAGTAACGCCGGGTGTGGCTGACATACTAAGGGATAGCGGTGTCGACGCGTGAGTGGGCTATTGGCGACAGGTATCACAGCGGCTAAAATTTTAAACAAAATATATTGGTTATTTAATTTTTAGGCTAGTTTAAAATAAGATTTATTTAGAAAGAACAAACGTAAGTAAAACTAAATAGCCTTTGGGTACAAGTCCCTTATATTGCACTAAGTAAAAGGCTTTAGTATAATTATGGTAAAAGTTTACTTGGTCGTAAAGTAAATTCTTCATCACACGCAACTCAATAACCTCTGTATTATGTTTATTCAGACACTTGCACTCAAATTTTATGGTCCTTCAAGCCGGATGGTAGAAACTTTTAAACTTTCGGCTTTCGTGTATTTAATTATTACTTTATACGTTATTGTAAACTATACAACTAATAATAATATTACCAGTAAGCTTGAAGAGCTTGTCTCGGCGTCTCTGCGGTCGCTTTTTGGCAAAATAATCGGACAGCTTAAGTTCCGGTGTCGTGGCATCCGCAGTAAGCGTCCGAGCACCGGACAAATTCACGCTCTCGATCTCCAGATATTCAGTCAAGAGGAGTTGCATCTGAAACATACATCATAATAAAATACTGTCTGTTATTTAGTAGTACAGATGTGTACACATTTGAATAAAACAGTTTTAACAGTTTAAAATATGATATATATTAGTTATACTTGTTTGCATCTGAAACGTCGGGCCATAGTCAACATAATTTTCAAACTAGTTTAACTAATACATATCGCGTTTTAAACGCGTACTCCCGTATCAGTGTTTTATTTAAATACATCACAATAATTAAGATAATAACTAAAAACCTTTTATAGTAGTTAGATTTGCACTATTGTTTTAATTTTTACATATACACTAGGCTAAAGCCTATTTCAATTCAAATTATCATAGTCTATTTTTAACTTATTATAATCTCTTTTTTATCTTATTAATAACCTTAAAGATAAACGTATTACAACATGGGCTGTGCTTTCACGTAACATTAGAAGAAGCACAGCCGAATGTTTTCACTTTTTTAATTAAAAAAAATATCGTAATTAAAATTTTTGCTTTATACTTGTTAGTTATAAACTTCACTCGCCACCGTAGATCAATAATCATCCGGATCGCTTTAAGCACGAGTGGTCCTGGATTCGTAATCCTAAAGAAACGATGAATTGTTCAGAACAGAAATATCTTCACCCTATGCTTAAAGAGGAAACAGGGGAAGCAATACATTTTTACTCGTAATAAGGCAGGTAAGTTTAGTTACAATTATTTGCACAATAATTACAATGTTGATAGCAACAAATATTTATCTTACCACTTGCTGTACGGCACTCCAATAGTGATTTTCGGTATGGAGGCATGTGTCTGGAATACGATGCCTTTGTAGCGACGCGCGCCATACCTGTATTAATCTGAAACATTTCATTTACTAACTATTATCTGTAGTTTACGTGACAACATCAAATATTTAATAAGTGATGCTTTCAAATAAAACGTTCTTAACGAATTAGAACGCTAATTCTTTTATTTTTAAATTTTATAAGACTAATTGTTAATTTAAAAAATGCATGTATCTTATTCTTAAAGTATAATTATATAGTTTATCACGATAACATAGTTAAAGAAAAAAATAGTTATTTAAGGCATAATTGTTTGATATGGTATGGGCAATAATAATTCATTTTGTAGTAGTTCTAGCCAGGTTCAAATTGAACGGAAAATGATTCGACATATGGACGTGGGTTCGATCCCCACCAGGTCCAACATGTTTCTAATGAATTTATAACTATTTTCAAAGCTGTTGGATTTTTCTGGAAATTTACATATTTATTGGGTGGTAGGATTATCGAAATCACCAAATCAAAGCCATTGGTTTAATCACGTTTCGTTTTCAATCAGTGAATTTGCGAATAAGCAAAGCCAACATAAGTCGACAGCGCAACTTCTTGAGAACTTATATGACTTATAACATACACCAGCCACAAGTCACGTGAAACCCCCCCCCCCCCTGTCATACAAAATATAAAAACAACATGTACCTTTTATTCCTCATACCGCAAGCTTTAAACTCCTCCCCTAAACAGGTGACCAATCGCGCCAACGGTCTACCCGTCTCTGTCGCACTCTCCGTTTCACCTACATCTCCGTCCTCCTCACCTTCATAATCCTCGATATCGTCGTCGATTATACGGCGAGAAACCGAATCGATAACATCTAAGAGTTCAGTCTGTATTTGGACTTTGAATTTCTGCAAGAAGTAATTAAAAGTATAAGACTTTAATTGATACTTTATTATTTATTACATGTTATTGCACATGAAGGCACTATATAATTTTAAAATCGAAAATAAATTGAAAAAAATTTCGACTCGGGCAGGACTTGAACCGGCATCGTCAGCGTTCCGTTAGAGCAACAACAGCAGCTTTTTTAATTTATTTTCGATTTTAAAATTGATAGTTGTATATAAAGGCAATGAAAGTAGGAGCTACTGGTTAGCATTGAAAAAATATTTATGTTATGGTTGGAACATAAAGATTAAAGAAGAATAATAAATAAATAAACATTTATCAAGTATCGCTTTAGGTTTTACATTAGAGAAAACGGTTCAAGATACTCAAAATATATGTATAAAATAATTATTCGTCTTTCAAGTTATCTAAAAACATATCCGCGTTTGTATGTCTATCTTTTGAGATTAACTCACAAACACCGTTTTTATCGTAATAAAATTTCATCGAAATACTTCAAAAGTAAGTAGTAGTAAGTTCTAAAACAGTTCATTGTATAGCATACAGAAACATTTTGCAAAGCTTTGACTGTAAATTTAATCTACAAAAAACTTCTTCTTTCTCTTTCTGTGTTTCTCCGATGCTATCGGGTTTCCCTAACACATAAATAATTTAAGGTGGATAATGGTGTAGTAATATCTCACCTCAGTAGCTTCCTTCAATTGTTCTAAAACACCTAACGCTTCGAGTGAAATCATCACCGTAGTTTCGAATGTCCTATCATCTTCTACTAACGAGGCTTCATATTCTGGAGTGATGTCCTGGAGGTGGGCGTCTGTCAACTCTTCGCTTTTCGTTAGCTCTGTGACAAACATGTAACAAACAGGTAACTTTTAATCTATACTAATATATAAAGCTGAAGAGTTTATTTGAAGGCGCTAATGTCACTAACTACTAGTTCGAAATGAAAAATTCTTGTTGCATTTTTGTGTTGGTAAGGGCACTTATTGAGGAAGGCTATAAAACCATCGCCCTGTGATTATTACAAACGAATATACGGCGAGAAATGTAAAAATAATATGGGAAAATTATTTATCCTTATGCGTTTCCATTGCGTAAGCTGCGATAACGGTTCAAGATACCAAGAAAATATGTGGGAAAGAATGATTTCTCTTTAAATGATCTAAAAAAAAAGTCCGCAACAGTATGTGTCAATTTGAATACTAACTTGCAAGAACGTCGGGACGCGGACGAAGTCGTGGGTTATATTTATAGAGATGAACAGGAGGTTTTGAAAAAACAAACATAAACCCAAATAACTATTCTACGCGTGAGAAAACGCTGACTCAGCTAGTACATAATAACACGTATTCAACTCACAGATGTTGTAAATGTTTCAGCATAGTCAGTCATGTAAACTCACCAGCTAATAATAAAGCAGTCCCTCGTCTAGAAGAAACTCTCCTATTGAGCGGTGCCCGTTCATCTTTATAAACTGCATCGCTTATTCGTCTTACTATTATGTCAACTAGGTCCAACTTCTTAGCCTGGAAAATGTTCATTGCTATCATGTGAAAAGTATTAAAATTATCAAACTATGTAATTTAATCTACAATGATTTTTTATAATTGCAACCATAGGACATTGAACCTTAACAGCCAAGTATTAAGGTTGAAAATACATTAAGAGAGGTGCATGTATCGATAGGTTTAAAAAATTCGACGATGACGTATAGGATTCGGTAGCTCAATTAGTTGGATCAACACGGAACGCTGTGGATACCGGTTTAAGTCCTGCTCCTGTCATAAATTTCTTTCAATGTAAAATTTATTTTTATTTCGCCCTAAGTTAGTTTAGCTAAGCCTAAAGAAAACGTGATATAAAGGAGGTTCCTCACCTCTAGATGTTGCGTGGTCGTAGAAAGTGCGTGCACGTGTGGTAGACGGGTACGGGCAATAAACAGCGCGTCCTGAAGTGCATTAGCGCCAGCCAATACTCGCCCTCGACCAATTAACTCGCGTGCTTCTCGCTCACAGACGACAACTCTTTCACTGTAAATCAGATTTATAGTATTAATATCTATGGATAACAAAATCTTATAAGTAGCTTAGTCCAATTGCATATGGGTGAAATGGTTAGATAATCTAAGCTGGGTAAGGGTGATCATCCAGACCACTATCTGTGTCTTCTACAGAAAAGATTAGTCTAGTAGCATTCTACATGATAAAAAAACCTTAATTTCTTGTTTTTCCTTTTTTATATACATATCTAGGTAAGTATATATAAACAGAATTATTTTACACAATCCTAAGAGTTATTTAACTTAGACTAGTCACAGATTGAAAATCATATTCTTAATATTTGGTAGGCATATTACATAGAATAATATGTTGTATTAGATATAATTACATATCAGTCAACATTCTCAAAGCGTGGTGATGTGTCCTAGCATCAGCCCAGAGACGTCGCAGGTCATCCCTTCTAACTTGTAGCAATGCTCTACAAGCTGATAGCCTTGCTTCTGCTGCTGAACAATGCTGTCCCCAAGAACTTAGCGCTGATCCTACAGCACTGAATTTCTGGAAAAAAGTTTTCAACATAATGAAAATGGCTTAATATTTTTAATAATGGTGTTCCAAATTAAAAAAGAATTATTTGAAAACAGATATGTTTTCACATGTTATTGCACATCTATATTTAAAAATCAAAATCAATTGAAACAACTTGCATTTTAAGCTAGAGACCTCCAGTTCGCTATAGTTCTATGTAAATATTGATACATTTTATTTCATTTCAAATTACGATATGGTAAAGATTAAAGTGGTCTTTTTCACACTGCTACCTCCACTTCTTATGATACACCATATTAATAATAAGTTTCACCGTATTACAATAATAAGTTCACACTTACAACAATTGCAAGCATATTTAAAATTAACTAAAATCCTATAACTTACTTGACATTTCCTTACAAAACAAATTGACAATGGTATAAATGAAATGATCTATATTATAATAAATGTGATCCGGGCAATTGGCCTAGAGATGGAAGTCTTTCAGAAGCCAACTAATTTCATGTATTTAAGATGTTCAGCCTTATCCAAACTAATAGAAGTACTATACATCAATATATTCTTTAGACATGTGATAATTACTCACTTGCATCACTTCGGTGATCTCATTAGCATGCTCTGAGACCAATTCGTCAAGCCGTGCATCACTTTTCTTATATTCTTTCTCGAGTTTGGCCCTTTCTTTCTCGCGCTGTTCATTAGTCTCACTACCAGATAGTGTTCGGATTACAGACATGAGAAGACCACTCTGGTAATAGGAATTTTACATTAATGTATAATACATACATTAAACAAGATATATATTGATATTAATATTTTTACTTACGGTTTCTTTGCCTTGTTTGACTCCCCGGGGAGGTTTAGTGGGCGGAGAAGAGGTCATAGTGATATCTCTTTCAAAATGTATTTAATTGTAATTATCAATATCAATATATTAATAGCAAATCAAATTTCGAGTACTAAACTCACAAACTCCAAGAAACACCTCCAGACCAAACAAATTCTTATTGTTTTTATTATTCACGTAAAATTACTTACATGTTATGACATATATACATGACATTTGAGAGGCAAGCATCAATGTCAAATCCCGAGACTTTGGACAATATTTATTATTATAAAATAATGAAATATTTTCTAAATATACGATGAAATTAGGTGATTTATAAATAATTGATTTTTAAACTTATTGCCCTTATTTAACATTTATAGATTTTAAAACAGGTTATTTAGCACAGATAGTAATATATAATGTGTTAATTGTCAAGTATTATTTAAAAGTTTAAAATTTAACCGCCTTTTATTCTAACTTAAGATTTCTTATTTTCTTCTAACAATAAAAAATAAAACTTTATATCAATAATCAACAGCTGTAATAAGTAAAATAGTTGAAAGGTATTATCATCAAAAAGTGCAAGTTTTCTTCCTAAATACAATGGATGAATCAATAATCAGCAATAAAACGGAAGTAGAAGACGTACAATGCAACGAAGTGACCGAACGATATAATTCATTGAAAAAACAATATGACAATCTAGCAAGTAACTTCGAAGCTTTAAATCAAGAATTACACGAAACAAGACGTGGCTATGAAACAGCTCTTGAAATGCAAAGTCACGTTCGCGCTGATTTGGAGTTATACAAAGTGGAGGAACAAAAACAAAGAGACGACCTGCTATCTAGCATAACGGTGTTGCAGGAAGAAATATCGTCATTGCGAAATAAAAGGTCAGAAATAGCAAGACCAATATGCAGCTCGAATTAATATGCTGAAGGCAGAGAATCATCGACTAAGAAAAGAAAAGAGCACAGAGTCAAGAACAACACCTGAAAGTGATACTAAGGAGGTAGAGCAAATCCAGTGCGAGTTATCTTCAGCAACTTATGAGTTAGATTTAGTAAAATCAGCTCTTGAAGAAGCGAGAGCTGAAGTGTTAACATGGAGGTTGAAGTTTGAGGAATTGATGGCTGAGATAAGGGAATTACGCGAAGCAGCTGATATTCGTAAAGAGGAAATAAAAAATGCAGAAGAAAAAGAAGCTATAGCACTAGCAGAGTTAGCAGAAACCAGGGCGATGCTCAATCAAATTGATTCAGGGGATCAACCACTTGGTATGTAAATTTTTTTAACAATCCTTCATCTATTTTATAAAATTGTCTGAATAATAGTAGAAAATAATCAAAAATATGAATAATAAAACTGTCACTATTTTAGCAGCTAAGGGAAACTCCATATTTGCTGAAGTTGAAGATAAAAGACAAGAAATAGCCAAGAATCTTCTTCAAATTAAACAAAGTAATGCTAAGGTTAGTTGCAAACCATTTATAATAAGTAGAACATAGAGAAAAAAGAGTAGAAATTGTGAATGGTAATGGTTAAAGATGTCTCCATATTTATGATATTGTCTTTGCAGCTTCGTCAAGAAATAGCCAACAAACAGACTGCTGTGGAGATTCTATTACATGAGAAGCAGACAATTTGGGAGGAGCAGGCCGGAGCCACAGCTCATCACGATCAAGAACTTATCGGTACTTAGAGCTATAATTGTTTGTGAAAGAATTGTTATAGATTGCTGTGTCCAAAAAATAGTGCACTATCCTTATCTTTAATTTGAATTAAATACTTTAGTCTCTTTTTGATATTTTAGGTGATATTTAATTTTCACTTGTGGGGTGTGCAGTCAACATGGTTCTGTGTTATTGTTATTGATCAGTTTTATTTTCAGGAGAGTTGATCATATCTCATTCAGAAACAAACAGTCAATTGTTCCCTTGGAACAAACCACTTTACAAAATGCTAAGCAACATGTTTAACCATGTAGGCTTGGATGGGCTTGGAGGCTGTATTTCATAATATGGGATTGCTAGAGGCAGATTATCCTAACCACAATTTTATGACTTGACTTATTTATATTTTTATAGTCTAAAAATGTTAATCGACATTTGACTCTGAATTTTATTTTCCTTTAATAAAATCATCATCAATTTTAATAAAAGAACCATGTTTTTTGTTATTAGGCCACTCTGCCTCTAGCAGCCTCATATAAGGGTAACATAATAATTTGTTTAATGTAATAGATAGCTACGAGCACCGCATTACTCAACTTGAAGCACTTTGCGAGCGTCAACGACGGGAACTCTGTCGTTGGTTTGGGAAGATCAGTGATCCAACTACACCAGGGTGGCTTCCAGAGTTAATTGAACAATGGAAGTGAGTATAATATATTCCTAGCAGGGTTTGAATGTGAAGAGACATGATACCGAGCTTTAGGTATGTTTGAAATCCCGTTTCCTCTCGTGGGGCATAGGGTGAACACATTTCTGTGTCCGTTTCACTGATCGGCTTTATTTACAGACTTCTGTGCCCTGCCCGAGCGAAACAATTTACTGTTTCCCCGGCTACAGCTACAGAGGCGGTATTTGGTATAAAAGGTTGCATTAATTACATATTAGATGAAATCAATATAAAACAATATTCAATTGACTGATAAATTAAATAAAACACTTAACAGTTGATAATGTGGCTATTTGGTGATTTATTTCGAATATTTAACCTGTCTAGACAATGTTGTACATATTTTTTATAAACTACCCCACCAGGCTTGAATGCGAAAAGCTTCGCAGAGATCTCTTAGCTCAAACACCTATAAGAATTTCGAGCGGGGCCCTAATCCGAGAGCTACAAAGGAAATTGGCACTACTATCCACCGATACATTAAAACAGTCGCCGGCGCAGGACAATAAAAATGAGATTAGTGTGTACAAAGTACCCGCAAAAGTGGAACCAAAGAAATTAGATGTTAGAAAGAAAGTTACTTTTAACTGATCGATGTGTGGGTGTTATGTTTTACGGATCACAGATGGCGCTACGGATAGAAAGCAATTTTTGGCTCGAAATGTATTTCCTGTAAATAGTTTTGCATGTAATGTTAATGGATAAAAATAATTTATAATATTAAGTATTTTCATTTTGCTAGTATAAAAAAATCCCATTCGCTTACTCAGTTGCACCATGAAGAACTTTAACGGAGAAACAATCATTTATAGGAGCTGTTATACATTTTCATATAATCTAAAATATACTTTTAAATTAGAATGATATAAAACTACATATTCGGAGTCTAATAAACTGAGGCTTTCACGGCCACTACTGAGTTTTTCGGGCTATTCGGCCGGCTTGAGCGAGAAGAGGTTCTCGACGTTTCGCCATCACGAGCGGACGGCATCTTCAGGAGATGTTGGCTCCTCGCTAGGATTGGTAGCAGAAACAATGATATGATATTCAGAGTCTATTTTGATTTCATACTACTTGCACTACTGTAATTTGAATCATATGTAACATTGTATCAAACGAAGTTTTAAAGTATTCATTGCTCATTTAAATAAAACCTCTTAAACCATTTGAAACGCAAAATATTGTATTATTTAATTTAGTCTCCTGTAACCACAGCTGCTGCAAAGTAAGGTTTTCAACGCAACTCATGTTTTATCTCTCGTAAGTTGGGGAATCCCCGTGTGCACCAGATAGTTCCTTTAACGCGTGCACCCGCGCACGAGCCACATGACGCGAACGGCGTTCCTGATCGCGTGCGTCGCGTTCTGTGCGCGCGCGCAAACGATCTGCGCCCGCGTCTTGTACGCATTGACTGAATGCACCTAGGGGAAAAATATAGGAATTAATTTGTATCCCAAAGGTTCACAAAACATCTCTATATCAAGTGTGTATTTATAACTCTTAAATATAAAACACTAAATATTATAAACCTGAAGAGTTTATTTCTTTGAATGCTCTAATAGCAACAAGCATTGAATCGAAATGAAAAATTCATCTTTTATGTTTGATCATATAATTTATCGATGATGGCTTTAGCCTATATAACCACGCTGCGATAAACATGATCGAAGAATTAGTTGCAAAGGTGGAAAACGCAAAGAAATATTCATCGTTGATTGTTTCCCTTGCAAACGCTACGAAAACGGTTGAAGAAAGAAATAAATGTACATGAATTACCAAATATCGTAAGCCAAAAAGCGATTAAATTTTACGGATTCTAAATCTGTTGATTAGCCCCGGATGGACTTGAGATTTTTTACCACCCGTTTAATTTCTAGATGAATTCCAATAAGTTCCAGGATATTATAATTTTTCTAGAACATATTGGACTCGGTGGGGATCGAAATCATGTGTTGACGAATAGCCATACATTACTACCATTATACTAACGACCCCTTCTAATATCACCGATTGATAATAAAAAAAATCACTTCAGCGACTTCGCCAGCGTAGAATAGTTATTTTCGTCCGCGTCCGGTTGTTCTTGCGAGATAATCTTAAAATATGGATACATACTGTTGCGGATTTTTTTATACCACTTAAAAAGCAATCATTATTTTCGACATATTTTTGGTAACCATTTTCGTTGCGTAAACAACGGAATTCCTCTGTTCCTTCCGTCCTATAAGACACAGCGCGATGTTTTATAAAATCCTTCCTCGATAAATACTCTCAACACAATAATAATTTGTTATTTCAAACCAGTTGTTCCCGACATTAGCGCTCAAACAAACTCTTCAGCTTTATATATTACTATCTCTTCTTCTTAGCGAAATTCCGTTTCCTCTCGTGGGGCATGGGGCGAACACATTTCTATGTCCGATTTCACTAATCGGTTTTATTTACAGGCAAATTGATCAGACTTCAGTGTCCTACCCGACCGAAACAATTTACTGCTTCCCCGGGATTCAAAAGCAGGACCTATCGCGCTTAACGCAATGCTAGGCAACACGTTTAACCATTAAGCTATAGAGGCGGTCATAATTTATTAGTATAGGTTACTTTAAATTGATTTTATGTGTGTCTGTTGGAAGATGTAAAACTAACCCACAGCATCCCAACACTTGACGACGTCTGATGGTGAGTCGGCACTATTGTAGCAATCTATGACTAACTGCTTACACTCGGCACACACTGGTTCTACGCTAACCATGTTCGCTGTTCTCATTTCTATACGATTCGTTAGTGCTTTAACTTCGTCCACGGTTAGTCTGAAATGAGTAAAACATAATTTAAGGAATCTGTCATTTAAAATAAAACTGTTTTTAAAGGATTGAAATACAAATTACTAAAAAGAAGGAGACATGATTATGGATTTCGGAAGTTAATTTGCATATAAGACATTTAATTTGAGGGTAGTCGCTTAAAATCTATACTAATATTATAAAGCTAAAGCGTTTGTTTGTTTGAACGCGCTAATCTTAGTAACTACCGAAATAAAAAAAGTATTTCCTGAAATAAAAAAAAAAAACATTTTTGTGTTGGATGGACCACTTACCGAGAAAGGCTTTAGGCTATAAAACATCGGGTTGCGACCAATAGGAGCAAATAAAGAAACAATAGTTACAAAATCTAGTAAAGGAGAAGCTTATACCAGAAAGTACAGTTTGCGATATACTCGAAGTTTAATAATTGAAGTCCAATTACGCTCCGTGGGACAATGGGTGAACACATTTCTTTGTCCATTTTTCATTTATCGGTTTTTATCTACAGACAGTATAGATAGTCGACCAAAGCAATCTACGATTTCCCCGGGATTCGAACACAGGATCTCTCGTGCTTAACGCAATGCAAACACGTTTAACAATTTAGCTATAGAGGCGCTCTTGAAGTTTAGTAACGACTCAATAAAAAAGGAAATTCAATAATAATTACGAGCGGCCGTCTATCTCGATCCGGGTTCAGTACTCGTTAGCGGAGTACCCAAGTATTTTAATTGACAGTCTTGGTCATCTCGTAAAATAACTCGCAAGAATTTAATAAGATACATCCCTATGGGCTATACATATAGATACAGGTAGAAGTATTGTAGAGGTTTACGCTACACAGAGTGAGGTTCCTCAAACTGTCGCGAGGTAGACGTATTTTCAGTCGTGAATTAGATAGTTTTGGAGTAAAATTATGATTTATATAAAAACAAATTTAGCTATTTAATTAGATAGATAGATTGAAATATAATAATATACCTCATTTTATATCGCGTCCTGTCGTTTAAGATACTTTGATCACTACGTTTAAGACGGCAACCTTGGTCTCGGGAAGGGCGAACACGTTGTTATTATATATTTCGCATTTTAATCCGTTAAAAGTCTAATCTTTGGATATGTCTGATTTGAGTTGAATACGAGAGTTATATTACTATATTTATTCAATTTTCTTTAATTTTTTTTTGAACTTTAAAAATTGAAATTCCAAACACGCCTTTAAGGAAATTATTTACCACTTTGAATCCCGAGTAAAAATGGCATTCCTTTAATTAAAAATGGTTGCGTAATGATCAAAAGGGTTGGGTAGTATTGGGTTATGCGTTAAACGTCCTGGGTTCGAAATCTTAAAAAATAATAGTTCTAAACGTGTGGGACACAGAAAAATATCCTCACCATACATAATTAGACGGAATATAACATAAGAGTATTATTATTGTATAAACGTTTCCTTAAATTGCACAATTATTCAAAACAACGAGGAAAGTCCAAGAATGCGGCAGTCGCCAACCGTTAAATCGGTTTTTTACCAAAAGCTTCGTTACCATAGTCTGACGAGTATGATAATTTTTACCAATACTACTGGTCTAGTGGTGTTTAATCCTTCGATCGGTATTCGTGGCTTCGATGCCTGTTTTTTAAGTTCCATACCCAAAGTGTGAAAACGGAACGCTATAAAGAATTTATCATTTTGACAGAACAAGAAGATTTACTCAAGAAACGCGAAAGCTGATTGAGTTTAAATTTTCCCAAATGATGTTACTGACTTATTTAAAGTAAAAATACAATATAAAAAAAAATACTGTGTGTAAGTTACGCGCGTAGTACACGTTTCAAGATACACTTACAATTAAACTACAGCCCGGATTTCCGGATTTCAGATGCTTTGCAACAGCCGGGTGGTCACGGGGGAAAAGTCTTGCAAAGCATCCGAATTAGAATAAATTAAAAATAAGTTAACTAGTAATCGCGGTTAAAACCGACAGAGTGTTTTATTTACAAATATGTAAATCCCCCTATTATATATGAATATATATATTTATGAGGGGATCCCTTACACAAGCGCGATATTGATTATATACTTACTTTATTAAAACTTTCATAACCAACAAACGTTAAAAGGCATAAACTACAAAAATTATTGAAGGCCTAAGTATTTTAATACTGCGACCTTTAGATTCGATATTTGCTCACATTAAAAACTCATTATTTTTCTGTTTATTGAGCAGATTCATAATTTAATGGTTGGACCTCTCAAAGAAACAAAACTCGTTGCAAATATCAATTCTCATTCTAAATTTAGTCCAAAGGTATTATAATAAACAATTCTGTCCCGATCACGAACCACCGTCCAAAGACAAAGCTGTGAAATCAGCGGTTGTCGAATATGTAAAGACGCAATAGGTCGACTGCGCTTGAGTGCGCTAAGGTATTCCACCTATCATAAATCGAAAACCATGACTTGTGTCTATACAAAACCGATCAATGAAACAGACACAAAAATGTGTTCGCCATGTTTCGAAAAAAAAATTGTATTGAAGTCCATTGGGGAATGGGGCCAAACGCATTTTTGTGTCCGTTTTACTGGCTCTTTCTAGGCAAGTATTTCTCAAAATTATGCACTGCCCGGCCGAAGCAATCTATTGCTTCCCGGGCTTGGCCTTTGACCCATCTAGGCTTTTAACCCTTTGCTACAGAAGCGGCCAAAATTATATATTGATTGTTGCTGTTTTCCTATACAGTACTACTATATATGTATATCTATCTAATATTTAATCTAACCCAAGTCGTTCCGAGTGAGTATCGTCCAAACATTTGAGTTTCTCCATGTAAATCTTCTCTTTGAAGTCGCCGAAGGTTGAATTTGGAGACGTATTATTTGTTGTTCCCGTTAGATTTGCATCTTCTACTAATCGTTCTACCTGCGTATATAATATTTAGTTTAAAATTCATCTAAAATATCTTTAGCAACTGTCTCAAATGGAACTGTGTCATAAGTCTTTATTTTCAAAAAGTTAAGCTCTGAGTTTTCAAGCAACTTTGTAACAATGTAAATTTAGACAATTTAAAAACCTAACGGTTTAAAAAGCGCTTTATTTTTTTAACTTTTTTTTAAATTTTTTTTTTTTTCGGCCCGCCGGTTTGGGGGGGTTTGGGGGGGCGGGGGGGGGGGGGGGGGGGGGGGGGGGACCCCCCCCCAGGGGGGGGGGGGGGAAAAAAACCCCTCCCCCCCCCCCCCCTTTTTTTTTTTTTCCCTTTTTTTTTTTTTTTTTTTTTTTTCCCCCCCCCCCTTTAATAATTTTTCTAAGAATACAAAAATATTAAAACGCAATAGAAACATTAACTAATTCAATGAAAACACTTTTAACGGTTTTAAACGTGAAATATACTGACTAACTCATTTTAACTGGCATGTTCTCTCGTTTTAACAGTTCTATACTCGCGTAAACTAATAGAACCAATTTTATAAGTCTTAAAGATGTGGACTAAGCTATTGGACTATCAATACAATTTTAGTAAACTTTAACAAGTTCATTGTGTTTTGAGAAGTTATCAGTTTTTAGTAAACATATTGTTCTGAGTATATTTTTGTTTTCACCATTTTATTCGATATGCTAATATGGTGATCATCAGTTTCATCTTCAGGGGGTGGTGGAGGGATAGGATTTGGTGGTCTCTGGAAATGCGTAGCGCGGACTGACTGGCTACTGCCCATTTTCTGTAAGAGATACCATATTTTACTAGCTTCTTATGTCGATCTGACTATCCATATTTTGTCTGCCAGTGCAAATAAGATTATAACAGTCTAAAACTTGAAATGTATTTGGTAAACTTATTAACAAACAATTTTCAATATGGCCCGACATTTCGGATACTCTGCAGCCACCATTATCACGGGGAGACTTAAGATGGAGGGTGTCTCTAATGTTAAAGTAAAAACTGATACGCTAGGCGAAACTGAACGGGTCTGCATCAAAAACGTCGTTAAAATAATTTTTAAATCAGTTAAAAAGCGATTTTTGATTGAATCATTAAAATGACGTATACTGGACACTGTAGCTAATTGTGTAGAGCACGAAACACTGTGGATACCGGTTCAAATCCTGTATGTATCGTAAATTATTTAAATCCAAAATTGATTTATACCACTCATTTACTTGAAAAATATTAAAGAATGCAAATAAATGCTTTTAATTTCGCGTTTGAAACCGTTAAAAGTGTTTTATTTAAATCAATGAGGATAATTATTTCTAGGAAACCAGTGAAGTTAGGGTATAGCGATATCGACCTTGAACTTTAGCGATGCCGGTGATAGTCATCTTGCTGTTTGTAGCACCATCGACCTTAGCTTGGAATCATATTTGCATACATTTAGGACCGGAACAGGAGAAAAGTTTATGATACCTACTATTTAAGCAAGTAGCTTTTAGTGTATAAATTTTGTGGTGCTAAATTTAAATAAAACTAAGCCGTTTAAATGCGATTTATATTGGTTAAATTATTTTTAACTCTGATCCTACAAGGACAAACCGTCAGGTCGTATTTGAAGATGAGGAAACGAATATAATTCGTGTTTTCCAATATATATTTTAAAAACTTTAGATTTTTCTAATAGCTCTTTAAATTCTTACTTTTATATATTATTATTTTTTCTACTCCTTTCTTACCCTCCCTCCCCACCAGGTCCAACGTTATTCCAATTGATGGCCTTCGTCTGAAAATTTTAATATTCAATGAGTAGTATTAATACCCAAATCCTCTCCGGGTGGGGATTACCGTAGTTACCGTCCACAGGTGTAGAAGTTTTTAGTCCGTAGTTTTATTGCTTTTCGGTTAAGGTATCAGGTTCGAATTGAATGGACTTACCGAAAGGCTATAATTCTTATAAAATACGTGATGGTTCAATACCCAAAAAATTTCAAATCATGATTTTTCTTTAATAGATAATTTAAAAAGAAATCATTTTATGAGACAGTATATCCCATCTTTTAAGATTAACTCGCAAGAACGACGGGACGCGGCCGACGTCGTAACAGCTTTTTATAAAGATAAAATGGAGGTGAGCGAAAATGAATTTGGATGCGCAACATAAATATATAATACGCGGACGAAGTCGCTGACGCAGCTAGTTTATAATATGGTTGAACCCCGCATCTATGGGTTTTACCGTGAGTTTTAAATTCATCTCTTTAATAAGCGTGAAATAGATTTAATAGACAAATGTCCTTTGCATGGTGGTCGCTATAAATCAGCTTACAAGGAGGCAGATATAAATTGCTTGTTTGCATTACAATAATTGGCAGGCATTGGCTTTTAAAATCGACTGAGAATCTTTAGAATGACATGTTGATTTTTTTGTCCTCATAGGGCAGCCAGCGTATTTATACTAATATTATAAAGCTGTAGAGTTTGGTTTGAACGCGCTAATCTCCGGAACTATCGGTACAGGGCGCGAAAAAACAGTGGAAAACAGGCTTCCGTTGCGTGCACCACGAAAACGGTTAAAGGAACCATAAAATATGTATGAAATAATGATATCTCTTTTATTGATCTAAAAAAATGTCCGCGACAGTATACGTCTATCTTTTATATTTAACTTGCAGGAGAGACGGGACGCGAACGACGTCGTCGGTGACAGATATAATTTATAAAGATTTGTATGTTTTCGAAAACAAATTTTGATACCCAATTAAAGTATTCTACGTGGACGAAGTCGCTGGCACATATAGTTCATATTTAATTAAAATAAGTTACCTACGTGTGACGTTTGCCGGGTCGACTAGTAATTGTGGTAAATAGAGATTCAACTAGAAATAAATTAAACTTTTTCTAATAAACTTTTTGTGATTCCAACAAGAATATTTATTTTTTCGTATTATATACTATATTTTTGTAATGATACAATTACTCTTGTATTGTGTATAGTCGTAGTTTTTAGTAAATTAACTAACACACTGTTCCTTTCAAATTGCAATTAATGCATGTATCTATAGATGTCTACAGTTGATATACTTATAGTGTAATAATTGCACACATCTAGTTAATTCAAAAAAATCGAAAATAAATTGAAAAAAATTTTCGACTCGGGCAGGACTTGGACCGGCATCGTCAGCGTTCATTCGTCAGAGCAACAGCGCGGAACGCTGACGATGCCGGTTCAAGCCCTGCCCGAGACGAAAAATTTTTACACTTTATTTTCGATTTTTAAATTATATATTGCCTTCATGTGCAATAACATGTAAAACAATATAAAAGTTTTCGAACATCTAGTTATCAATATTGTCAAAAAAAGGACTTGAGCAATTTCGTTTTTCGCGCGCCGGATCAATAGAAACAATTGAAGGTCTCCGGATATCACCAAATTTTATATTACAACAGTTATTCTTAGAATATTTCTGCGTATTTACCCGCAAAATGTATTACAAGGGTACGACTTGTAGAGTGATCGAATGTTATGAAACTCAACTTCCGTATCGAAAAACCTTAAATGAGTAACTTTTCGGCCGCACCTTAACATATATTTTTTATAAGTATTAGGTAAGTAACGTAAGTAACACTATAAAACACTTAACGGTTTAAAACGCGATACATTAGTTAAACTTATTTGAAAATGATTTTTAACTTCTCCCCGTGACCACGGTTGCATCTGAAACGTCGGGCCGAAGTTATAGTGTTTTATTTAAATGTGTACTACTCGCGTAAACTATAAACAAGACATGTTTTTTTAGCTGAACACTTTTCAATTTAAATTTGAAATTCAAACTTAGTATGAAACTGAACGTAAGCTTATACTTACACTGCAATGTGTATCTAACACAAAAATATAACAATGAATTTAGTAAGATTATTATTTATTTATTTATTTATTTATTTATACAAAAATTAGCAAGAGCCAAAAATGCAGTATGGGAAAATTAGTAGAACTTATCTAAAAATATAACTAGATGAAAGACCTGGATTATAAATATATATTGCCTAGTTACTGCTAGGAAATTATTCAAAAAGTACTTTGTGTTGGAGCATGTAAGCCAATCGTGGTCGCCGCTCCTCGCAAACTTTCGGTGCAACTTAAGTGCGCTCTGAACCCAAAGACCACATTCTCCAAACTCTGGATTTCGTCTGCATTCAAAAGAAGGAAGTAGTGCCACATGAATCAATTCTGTGTCCGTTTTCGACTCTCCCCGGTCTAAACGATATCTTTTTATACTGTTATAAAAAGATACAAGCATTCTGATGGAAGGTAAAATACCTCAGCCTAGTAACACGATGCGGTGTCGACCCATTTCGGCTTTGGACATTCGGAAGTTTACATGCTGAAACCGAAACACGATTCATCACGAGTTCATCTATGGATGGTTTGTGATCAGAAAAATAAACCTTTTGTACTTAAAGCACGTCTATTTTAAAAACTCTATGAAATCTCTACTTCTTGCAAATTCATTAAATTACGGGAAGACATTGGTCGTGAAATAGCAAACGCAAACTTTAACATTCCACATCGTTATACATTGAAGATTATTCACTAAACGAATTATTATTCCCACCCACAGCCTTCAATGTACACAGCCCAGAGGTCAAAAGTCGAGAAGATGCGCCGAACATGTTCCGCGGGTGGTCAGCGAGGGGTGCGGGGCGATGACGTCATTGGAGGCTGTATTGATATATAGGAGATGCGCACGCGACCATCTTACTGTTTTGACAAGTGCTAGTGTGTGCAACACGAGAATCGCAAAGAAAAATGCTGAAGTTCGGAACCTTTTTGACGATCGCTGTAAGTACATTCCTAAATAAAGGCCATTTTGTAGGTATTAAATATTTTAAGGTTATATATTAAAAAGCATTATTTTTTTATTAGAAATAGGTAAATTCTATTAGCTTACTAAAATCAAACAACAATGTCAAATTGTCATTAAAGAGTTACTGTAATCTAACAATGATTACTTTATATTTAATATTTAGAAAATATATTAATTAGGTGGTAGGGATATCGAAATTCCGTCCGGGTCACGGATCACTGTCCACATATAAAAGACTGTGCAGTTCAATCGCGTTTCGGTTTCAGTCTGCGTATTTCCGAATATCCAAAGCCGAAATAGGTCAACAGCGCATTCTGTTTGATGCTATACGGTTGGAGTATTTCATCTACCATAAAGTGGATCTTTTGCTTGCCTATTCGTCCCTTGTCATATTAAATTTTAACCTAAGAATTAGTTAAAAACCAGGTTAGTTTGAATTTTCCTAGAAGAAAACTTATTTATTAATAAGAAAAGTGTCCAACGCTTTTACATGGTCAGAAAAGTGTCGTTCTATCTCGGTAAGACAAATATTGTTTTGATCACACAGTAATATCAATAAATAGCTGTGCCAGCGACTTCGTTCACGTAGATATTATATGGCTGGAGTATTTCATTATCTTAGAGTCGCTCCTGCTCTACTATAAAAAAAATCATCAAAATAAATTTAAAGTCTATACTATTCAATACCTTTAAATACTATCAAATAATGATTCATGCTTATATTACAACTTAACACTAAGTTTTGATCCACTATGCTAATAACCTTAAGTACATATAAGGTTTTGGGTTTGAATTCGGTCGTAGTAAACATTTTGATGGGCAGTGAAGTTATGTTACAAACCTAAACTTGGTAAAAAAACAAACAGCCACAAATTTGTACCAGAAATAACGACATTCAGCATTTGTCAAATTAAAAATGTCAAACGTTTTACGCAGTCAAATAAGATTATTGATTTTTCTCGTATCCTTAATGATTCTACCAATATTGGAAGGTTAATGCCATGATGTAATTCTCATTATTCAATCAAAAATAACATGTGTGACAGCCTATAATAGTATAATTTTAACCGCTAAACCATGAGTGATTGATTATGTGCCTTAAAGATGCCTATTATCTTACAAGAGCGACGCTGTAGGTCAGGGGTGAGCAACCCACCGATAATATTTGGAATATCAAAGGCTATTTAAAAATACAATATCTACCCTCAAATGTGATGAATAAATAATACTTGTGTTTTTAGTTCTTTTAATATAATTTGAGTACATAAAAACATAATATTTTGGCAATTTTTTTAATTACCAAGCCATTATCAAAAAGTTGCTTATCCCTGATGTAGGCCATCATATTGTCAATGCTGTACTTAAAATGTTTTTTATTTATTGTATTAGTATTTATAAAAATACTTGATACAAATATAAATATATACATTTAAACGTCAAGAAATAACATATTAAAATAGTTTAAATAAGTTATAATGAATATTACCCCCTAGGATATCGGTCGACAACACAATCTAAAATATTATCACATACTACTGCTAGCGTGTGTTTATTTACTCTTAAAGGGGACTGTTTAAACGATTTTTGAAAATTTCGAAAGAATCAACAAAGCTTACAAGAGGATTTATTTCTTCCATTTGCTTTATTCCAAGGAATTCTATACAAAAAGATATAATTAAGATTCAAAAAACCGTAAACACTCTTGTGCAATATAACCTACTGGCTGTGCTAGCGACTTCGTCCTCTAAGAATATTTATTTTGGGCAATCCAAATTCGTTTTGGAAACCTCTTTATCTTTAGTAACTTAAGGTGTTACCCACGACATCGATTGCGTCCCTTCCTGTCGTTATTACGTTAATAAAGTTAATCTTAAAAGATAGACATATAGCGTCCCGTTTTTAGATAATTGAAAGAGGAATTATTCTTTCGCCGATCTTGAACCGTTTTTGCAACGTACGCCTCAATATCCCATAATGATAAATAATTTTCCCCGTTTTTTTCGACATTTCCCGCTGTTTCTTAGCTTCTATTAGTCAAAGCGCTATGTGAAAATAAATTTTCAATTCGAGCCAGTATTTCCTGAGATTAGCACGTTCAAACAAACAAAGTCTTCAGCTTTATATATTAGATAATAGCTTTGAGATTTTCTCGTTACAAAAACTTAAGCATTACACATAGGTATTTAAAAAAATGAGTCATAAAGAATGCATATAAACATTTACTCGTATTTTTATAATAATACATACAATGATGTTAATAAATTACGTTTTATTGATTGTTATTAAAAGGTATGGGATCTTAAATGTAGTAATAACTCATCATACGAATATAAAACATAAATTATAAAATAAAACCCATAAATTATGAAATAAACCCATAAAGTCAAAGATTTGCCTTAAACCATAAAGTTTAAAATATAAGTAATAATTTCTAAATTTCGAAGAATGTTTTAATGTAAGGTGATATAAAATTTGCAGCCAGTTAAATAAGATTTATAAGTTATAACGTAGGACTGGACCTGGAAGGTAGGTAGGTCCCTCCAAAATATCGATGTTGTGACGATAATTTACAGCTGTTTAAAAACAAAGATGTATTTAAAAAACACTTTAACAGTTTTAAACGCGATATATTTTTATAAGTGTATTTAAATGTGTACTACTTGCTTAAACTACAGAGAGTATGTAAAATTTTACTAAAGTAATGCCCGTATGGGGCACGGGGCGAATACAATTATGTGTCCGATTAGCTGATCAATTTTATTTCTAGGACCAAGTACTTATTGTTTTTATAGGATATAAATCCAGGATCTCTCGTGATTAACCATTGAGCTACGGAGAATGAACTAATATACCTTTATAGGAGGTTCGATTCCAATTTACAGCAATTAGGGTTTCATAATTGTTTACATGTATCGTTACATTGGTTGTTTGTAACATATTGTTAGGTACTTACAAAAATTATATATCTCGAATTATTCACAGTAATTTTGGCTTTCCTTGCAACATTTTTGAAATGTGTATATGTATCTGACAGCGAGTTCAATCAAATTTTACAATATAGACAACTTATATTAAACAAAGAGTTTAACTATTGTAATTCTTTACAGAATATATGAAGGTAGATAAAAAATACGTAAAATTTCATATCTGCCTTATACAACATTTTATTAGTTAGATATCCATTTGAGTAGGTTAAATTTTTGGGACAGAGAATGCAGTTATGCAGGCGTATGTTCACTTGGTGGAAGTACAACAAGATGTGTTGTGGACCTATTTTGGCTTTTGACATTTGAAAATTCTACGGACTGTAATTGACACGCGATTATGCTTCGCGGCTTGTTTACTCGTGGATAGTGATTTTGACAAGCAAGGATAGGGTTGATAAAAGGACGGACAGACTTTCTATATACAGTATTTGAGAAATATATTGGACGTGGGAGCAATTGAACCCACGACCTATTAAACGACCAATGTGCAAGTAAGACTACCTACTTTGTCATCGCCGCAAATAAGTCTTACGTAGAATTATATCAAAGTTACGTGATCAATATTCAAATGTTTTTTCTCACTTTCGATTTCATATTAACATGTAACGTATAGCGGTGAATAATAAAGTCAATGTTTGGATAATATTAAAAGCTAATAAGAGTCATCTAGGTGTGTTCGTTATGCTACAACAGGAATGTTTGTTTTTTTCTTCTTTTAATTCTTTAACGTGTGCATTAAAAATAGTTTTAACGGTTTAAAACGAGAATATTCATGATTTAGCAGAGTTTACTTTGATGTTTGGTAGACCCACCTTCTTCAGTTCCCCCCCGTGACCGCAGCTGCTTTAAAGCATCCATTACTTGAAATAAATTGCTAAGTTAATTATTATATTTCGCGTTTTAAACTCTTAAAAGTTTTCTTTAGATTTTCCTACATTAATAGACTGCAGCCTCTGAATTTGGATTTCAGTACAAAATTGATAAGGTTGGGTAGAGTTCCGCTTATATTTATATTAAGATTATATGTATAAAGAAAGACGTAGACTAACAGACATAACTTATGTATTTTTTATTTGTCGTACAAATGTCAATGTCATAACAGGTGGGAATAAATTTAAAACGAAAATAGTAAATTTTTTATATTTTAAATTATCTTATCTTAAATTATATTTGCATTAACTATAAACTAATATTATTTTATGATTTCATAACCTATATGAAGTTATAACCATTTCTCGAGCTATCTAAAGAGTCCTTTATTAAAATGATTGCGTACACGCAGACGTTAAGTTAATACTTATAAATATTAATAATAAATGAAAAACTCGTTTCCGAAGAGTCAACAATAAAGGATTAATTATGAGGATACACAAAAAGTATTGCGCAGTGCCAGCTAACCTAGATGATACATCGCAACTTGAATAATATCTTTACATGTGTAAACAGTCTCATCTGTGGCTACGTCATCCGTTTTTTTATGGTTCCGTACTCTGAATTTAGAATCGGAACTCTATAATTAGGTCTGACACCTCGGGGCTTTAACTGTTCAAGTTGATGATTTCGTTGTGCATTATTCAAAGGGAGACGAATACCAATATTCTTTTTTGTTTCCCTTTACCTAAAAACATACTCACAAGCTTTCATGAATGTAGAGCAGACAAGCATGAAGGATTCCACTTGATGGAGGGTGGCCTTCTTAAACAAGATGCGCCGTCGACCTATTTTGCTTTTGAACTTGAAATCCACAGACTGAAGCTGGACACCGAGCTTTTTCATCTGTGGACGATGGGTCGTGGCCCGGACGGAATATCTATTTTTATAAGTTCGCAGGCTCGTTTATCTAAGTTTTCTTCGTTTCCCTGTCTGGATAATCTTATTCATTCGTAAGTACCAAACTAAAAGTGATCGGATTTTTATGCTCTGTGCGAAATAATCGATCGTTTTTCTCAAGCAATTAGAACCTAGGATCTTTCGCGCTTAACGCAATGCAACTCATTTAAATAAAACACTTTAACGGTTTAAAACGCCATATATGAGTTAAACTTATTTGGAAATGATTTTTAACTAATATATCGCGTTTTAAACCGTTAAGGTGTTTTATTTAAATGTGTACTACTCGCGTAAACTATAGACAGTATGCAATGCAACTCGTTTAACCATTTAGCTACAGCGGTGGTCTAAGATAATATAGATGAACTTCTTCTTTTATTTTAGGTGCCCAAAATCTAGAACCAATTCTATGCACTACTTAAACAAATAAGGTATTTGTAGTGTATGTAGTAGCAGTCGTATTAAAAAAGACCTAATTGATTATGAACGATAGCGATATTAAGATTAGGTTCGCCTTAGATTAGCCGCTTGCGCATCCATAAGTTCGTCTCGAATTTTTACGAGTTTTCCCCGAAGGTCAAGTTACCGGTTTTATAACACCTGCTTTTTGATTCACTTAATAGCTAAAGGTTCTTTAGAAAAACTTAATGTTTCGGTTCTTTTTTTTTACTTTGAATATATGTAAATAGGATATATGTTCTTAAGAAAATGTTCATTATAATATAGATCGGAGCCAAGTGAAAATTTAGATAGCAATTCCTTAATTAATTATTATTTTTTTATGATAGAGGACGTCAGACAAGTATCGGGTTTACTTAATAAAAGGTGAAATAAATATATTATATATTTTGGCTTTGGAAATTCGGATATAAAATTAACTATTCCAAGCTGTTATTCTATATAGTCTGTGGCTTTCTGGCAATATCATAATATAGTCAAATTAGTATCAGGATACGCTGTTGATAAATTTGGTTCTAAGTTCTTAAGTCTTGTTTGTCTAATATTATTAGGTATTGTTAATAACCACGTGTCGTTAGTTTAATGACGGGTCCAATGTCATTTAAGAAAATAATTTATATTTATTTCGAAACGTGTTATGATTTGTTTTTTTTATTGTATATAGTCAGTGATATGTTAACACGAATAAATATATGAAAAATACGTTGAAAATTAAATTAAAAATCGAATGTAGATTAAACAAATAAATAAAAAAAAATCCTATAATAGATTTTTAATTTATATAATGCCATCATGTGCAATAAAATGTGAAAAATATTACGGTTTTCATACGTTCGAATCCGCATCGCAGCGTAAAATGGTATCCCTCCCCACTCTACCATTTGGCTGTTAAATTTTTGACTAGCTTTTATATTAGGCCGTTATAACGTTACATATTCCCGCGTAACGCAATCTTATTTCCATAGTCGTGTGAATTGAATTAGATCCGCGACGAAAATATCTGTGACAAGGCTTCGTGACTGTACATTATCTTAAGAGATTACATTTCGAAGATAAATTACCTCCATGCATTATTCATCGAGGGATGAGCATGATTTAAAAAGTCGTGCTAAATACTTTGGCATATGCCGACCACCTCGCATGGAAAATACGCTCATGAAATATACATGTATATTATATTTATACCGATTATAGAGAACTTTGTTTTGTATGTTAATTACTAAACACAATTTAATCGGTTCAATACGTGAATTATATTAATTAGCTTATTTGTTTTTTTATCTAAGTGTATGTGATTGATAAGTGAATTGTTTTATCGAAACGTTTGTCTGCAATGTACGCGAGTAGTACACATTTAAATAATATTTAACGGTTTAAAATTCGAAATATATTAGTTAAAATATTTGGTTAATAAGTTTAATTAACTAATATATTTCACGTTTTAAACAATTAAAGTATTTTATTTAAAAGTAAGGAGACATTTTGACTTCCATTATACGTTCAAACAGTTCGATAGAACTACTTTTATATTTAGTAAAACTAAATTTAATCCTTTAAAGTTATTCTCCTTTGACTTATGACTTAATTCTTAAAGATCTTTTTGAAGTTAAATAAGTAATAAATATTTTAAATAAGACACTACTAACGGTTCAATGCGAATTGTATAAATTAACTTATTTGTATTTTAACTATGGCCCGACTGCTTTGCTGCAGCCGTGGTCACGTCATATTATATTCTCCTTTGTATTTTATACACACACAGCAAACAAGAAGGATTAGATAATTATTATACAACAACTAAAACAACGGGTGAAACAAGTATTTTATATTAATTATGCAAATATCTTGAATGCGCCTGAGTCTTCAGAAATGTGTTATGTTTAAGAGCTAACGATCTCGCACATAAAAGTAACAATTAATATCTTGGCGTAAAAAGTATTTCAATGTTACCATACTTCGTTTCAAGATCCATATAAATTGTAGAAAACAAAAATTGTTTATTATATTAAAGCTAAGATAATATTAAAATACTGAGATATTCTTTAGGTGATTTAATATTATACTTATAATAAGTATTGGCTCTTAAACTATAATTATATTTGTTTTCTTCCATACGACATTTGAGAATTAATTCTGTGAAACAGAGAACATGTTTTTATTAGCGTTTTATAGTATCTGTTATTTCATTTCTTATTTCTTGTTATAGATATCAATATATAAGAAGAGATGTAATTTATATAACACGCTTGTGACATCATTTATCCGAGAATAGATGTTGATTAATATTTTTTACTCCTATAAATACATAGTATATAGTAGGCTAGATAAAACTTACAATAATCCTATTTAAAACACACGAGACCCAAAGAATATTTGTTTTTAGATTTTAGACCCAATGCCTGTCTAGTAAGTTTAATAAGAATACAGAGATTCAAGTAAAACACATTTTACAGTTTAAAACGTGAAAAGTATTAGTAATATCATCTATCTATAATAATATGTAAAGCTGAAGAATTTGTTTATTTGTTTAAACGCGCTAATCTTAGGAACTACGAGCTCGAATTCATTCAAGGCATACGCTGCAAAACGGTTCATGATACCTAAAAAATATGTACGGAAGAATGATTCCTCTTTAAATTATCTAAAAAAAAGTCCGCGACGTTATATGTATATTTTTTAAGATTAACTTGCAAGAACGACTGAAAGGGATGCGACCAACGTCGTGGGTACAGCTTTAGTTTATAAAAAAGGGGTTTGCAAAAACCGAATTCGGATGCCCAAAATAACGATTCTCGCGGACGAAGTCGCTGAAACAGATAGTTTTTAATATATTTTAACTACGGCCCGACTTTTCGGGTGCTTTATAGCCATGGGTGGACTAAAGATGGAGGGTGTCCACAATGCCAAAGTCAATATTCTCGTAGTAGGTATTTTTCAGAAACTAACTTACATAACTGATAAACTTGATATCCAGTAGATATTTAGAGTTGAACACACTTGTCATAAACCAAATAGTTTGTTCAATTTCAATTTGTTCGCCCTAATACAACATATGATATTATAATGAAATACATAAATAAATCGATTAACACATTGTAATACTTCGGAAGTACCATAAATAGCATTATCTGGTGTTAATTTAAGCAGCCTTGGTTCGATTTATTGCGTTCTAGGCCATATGACAAATATATTCGCAAAGCGTCACTCAAATATTTAAGTTTTGCGGGCTCCTTGGTCGATGGTAGCTATGTATGCTTAATAATCAAGTGGTCACCACCACATTGGACATGTTTCGAGTGATCTACACAATCAGAATTAAAATTATGAAAGTTATAAAAAATTACTTATTTATTATATTTAGACGTAACTACATTGAATAGCAATTTACTAAGAAAATATTGACAATTTGTTTAAATATATGTTTGTATAATTATTAACTACCAGACACAATACAATGTAATGTGACGGTGAAGATTGATGGCACGATAAAAAAATAACTCGTTACTCAAATAAAAGGTAAATCAGGTTTTTAAAGTTTTAGTGTTACACAAAAAGCAAGACAACAAACAATTTTTTTTTGTCATAGAGGAGGGGGAGGGTCACGGGTTCACTTGATAGAAGGTAAATTACCCCAGCATCAGAACAAGAATCGCTGTCGGCCTATTTTGGATAAAAGTCTTCAGCTTTAGAATACTAGAATAAATTAAAAATTCTGTTTACAGTTTACGCGAGTAGTACACATTTGAAAAAACACTGTAACGTTTTAAAACGCAATATATTAGTTAAACTTATTTGAAAATGATTTTTAACTCTGGCGACGTTTCGGATGCTTTGCAGGAGCCTTTTTTCAAATAAGTTTAACTAATATATCGCGTTTTAAACCGTTAAAGTGTTTTTTAAGAAATTAAAAATTACAATATCGGAATTAGTTGTTTCGAAAACAGTTTTAAGACGATATTTGATAATACGTATTGTAATTGCGAATATATTATAGATTTTCCAATTTGCGTCTTATGTGTTAAGGTTGATGACGTCATCTCTATTTTAGTTTACCTACAATATTTACGGCATAATAATTTGCGTTACTAAGGTCATGTTAGACGTATTAATTTCAAGATAAAAAAATATATTTTTATAATAGATAATTAACACCGCAGTGAATATAAAATAATGTTTACAACAGCAAATAACGAGTTTTTAATGTTATAAAACATTTGTTTATTATAAAACTCCAAGTGAAGTTGGACTTTTATATTTTGGTTTTTTAAGCAATTTTCGCATTGCACTTAACGAAAACCCCCAAGAACTAATATTCCCTATTTTTCCACATTTTCCACTTTCGCTCCTATCGGGTACAGCGTAATCTTATATAGATCAATACCTTCCTCAATAATTGTCCTAACCAACACAAAAAAAAATTCTAACGAGTAATGCCTGAGATTAACTATTAATATTATATAATGTTATATTTCAGGTTGCGATCACAACAGCCGTCCCCACCAATATTTTGGAACTGGACTTGACTCCCGAAGAAGCGCAGAAGTACTTAAACAGCCCACCCTTCACGGAACCCAAGTTGGCTGGAAGGACCGCTGTTCTACCTTTGGTAAGCTACCTTATTCTAGAAAGCAACACAGCTAGAAAAACAGTTAAAAAAATTTCCTTATAGTGATACGCATTTGACTAGAGAAGGTTACGCGAGTACTACACAGCCGTGGTCATGGCGGAATTGAAGAGCGAGGGATTAGGCGAGTGAGGGCTAGAGCGCTATCTGTTTCGTCGTAGTTGTTTTACAAAATACCTACACTAATATATTTTTTTAAATACAGTGAGGCTTTTAGATAGCGTTGATTTCTAAAGGCATTGCGTCTTTAAAAATAATTTAATCCAAACCGTTTCAGATCAAATTCAACGACCCGAGGTTTCGCTCAGCGGAGGCTGGGCCCACTCTAGGCCACTACTGGAAGAATGGACACGAAATTGAGAACCCCGACGACTATGTAGAGGAGGTCAGTATTTTATTATGTTAGTATATTAAACACTGTTTTGGGAGAATTTTTGAGTAGTTTATATGTATCTTTGCCCTAATAGCCTGAAAATAAAATTGATCAATATAGCTCTGTAATGAGTCATACTTTACAAAATAGCTTGCTTTTAGTTTGGTGAGTAAGCTTAATTCTGTTTACACAAGTACACATTTAAATAAAACACCTTTGAATAAATAAATTAGATACTTAATTACATTAGATAATAAATTAGATATTTTGCAGCAGTCAGGGTAACGAGGGGACTAAAGATGGAGGGTGTAACTAATGTAAAAGTCAAAAGAGTTTGGTTTTGACTGTCAAAGCGCCCTTCATTCGTAAACAAGTACATCCGCAACACTATTTCGCAGTTAAATATACTAATTATGACTCACAAGCTTATTAAATATTAATTTCCTATCAAGTCAAAGGTCGGATACACACTGACTCATCTTGATGTGATAATCATTTTTTGATTCAGAACCAATTATGGTGTGTCACGTTCGTATTTTTGAATATGTTTAGTTATTATTACTTCCTATATCTATTAAACACTATAATTTTACAAAGACAATGAAAAAACGAATGATGAAACACTTCTATTTGTTTTCATCATCAGTGTGTAATGTCTGCTTATCAGTAAGTTATACTAAAATATTTTAACGTGCTCGTTGGTTGAATCTGGTCGTGGGTTTGATTCTCACCAAGTGTAACATTTTTCTTAAACATGAAAAGGCCATCAAGTTAAATCGCGTTTCAGTGTCAGTCTGTTGTTTTTTGCGAAGGTCCAGAACCAAAATAAGTCGACAGCGCATGTAGTTAAGATGTTACATGGCGGGTATTTTACCGTTTATATAGTGATCTCAATGTTTGCCTGTCATTTTCCATAAAAAATAAAATATCGTAATTTGGCTATGAATCGCGTTATAAGGGTGTCAATAAAGAGTTAAATATTTAATTTAAAAAGCCCTTGAAACAGTCAAAATATTCGAGAGCCGATTGATTCTTAAAGAAGCAATTCATGCTACTTCTACAGACAAACTGTAAAAAATAAATAGAAAAGCGTTTTTTCAATAAACACATATTAAACTCTACCATATCCTCAGGTGTACGACGCTTCGCAATTCCACGGTCAAGACGGTTTGGGTGCTTATGCTTATGGCTATGAAACTCCGGAATCCTCCAAAGTAGAGAACAAAGTAAGATCTGGTGACGTCACAGGCTCATACACATACAGGGCTGGAAACACCAACGACTTGATTAAGGTTTGTACTTACGCAATACATGCCCAAAGCTATGCTTTAACAAAAAGACTGTGGAACTGAAAGAATTTCCAACGACAAATTTATTGATAGTTACTTTTTTACGAAAATTCAAAAGGATGGTTATTCAAATATAGACTGTTAACAGTATGGTAATTTGTATAAATTTAAACCTGTCAGGTTTTGTAATATATATTACATAGCCATATTTTTACTACCTAGATTTAGATACCTAGCACTTACCAATTTTTTTTAACACTTAATATATTTTGCAACTACTACACTCCAGGTTCGTTACTGGGCTGACAGCCAAGGCTTCCACCAAGAGGACAACATTCCCAAAGTAGTTCTAAAGCCAGTAGAAGAAGCGGAGGATGTCCGCCAAGCGCGTCTAGCCCACGAGAAGGCTTGGCAGGAGGCCGCAGCCGCCGCGAGAGTACAGCCCGACCCTCAGTATGTCTACAAGCAGCTACGGTATATGTGTTTGTAGTTAGAGCTTCGCTTTGGCTCTAATCTGGTGATGGTTTATTCAGACCCATCTTGGTTGGACAGAGCCTTGCCATCGATTTTTTTAACTTCGGTGTTAGGTAAAATACCACAGCTAGATATAAGATGGTCTTTTCCATTACTTTGTCATTGGATATTCGGAAAAAATGTTACATGAATTGTATAAGGCTTGTGCGGTCATTTTGGATTTTGTCGTCATGATTGAGGAATTGTTATTATCAATGTTCGCCATCACGAGTTGTGCGTTCCTCAACTGAATGGAGATAGTGCTTAGTCGGAGAACCTCAATCACGATGGCCGAACACTTGAGGAGTTTTGGGTGCTTGATGTTATTAACAATATAACTAGTTTAATCCTGGACGAGTATTAGTATTAATATGGAGAGGAAAGACGTGAGCGTGGCATTAATGATTTATCTATCCACAGATTAAAAAAAAAATTAATAGATTACAATGTAATACTAAATATAATTAAATAATATAAAGATGAATCTTATGTGATTCTTAGTTTTTTAAGATAGTGGAGTTAACATATTTAATACATAGATATACAATTTTGTAGATAAAGTATTTATTGGGTATGGTTTTTTCATAGTTAGTTTTATATTTTAATTTACTTACATTCTCCTAATCATTCGAACATTCTCATTTATTCGACTTGATATGTTAATATAAAGTCGAATAAATGATCTTTATATGTTTATATGTTATAGTAATAAGATTCATATAAAACTGCTCATAAAACAATAACCCTTAACTTCCAGAGGAGAATACAACCCACAAGTCGAATACCAGCCAGCTGCTTCAGAACAGCAAGGTGCCTTCTTAGCAGCACCAGGCCAAGCTGCCCAGGCCCGTGAAGCGAAGGCGTATTACGGTTCCCAGGGTCAGTACCAGGGTGGTCAAGTCTACCCCACACCGTACCCGGAGAGAATTGAAGAACCAGAACCCACTGTAAGATATATTTTTTTTGTTTTTGAGCAGACCATACCAACCATAATTAAAAGAGTTCGTGCATGGATTTTTAGTAAACAAACTCACAAAATACATGAAATCGTGATTTCCCCGCAAGGTCTACATTCAACTATAATAAAACTGGATACATCTCGAAGTGTATCCAAATTAAACTACCTAAAATTCACTTAGTAAAAACCAAACCCTAAATTAATAGAAATCATAAAAAAAGCAGATTACAATTCCTTAGGTTTGATATTGACGTAGTGATGGGGATGTAAAGTTAATGATAATAGGAGGAGAAGTCCCCACTCATACACTATCGCTGCAAAGAATTCGTCGAATAATAATATTTATAAAAAAGGGCCACTTTAAAAGTGATTTTGAATATTGAGTTCGTTAAATTCATGTATAGTCCTCTAGATGTTCTTCTATCCCTATGTCATTAACTTTACTCTATAAAAGATCACCACTGTGTGTCTATGGTTTGAAATCGGCCATATTTGTTGTGGTCTTAAAATACACTGTAGCTGGTGTTTACTTGACGGGTTCGATGGTCTAATGGTAACAATGTATGGCTAATAATCAACGGGTCGTGGTTCGATCCCCACCGGGTCCAACATGTTTCTAATTTATCTATTTATATTTTTTCTGAAACTGAACTGAAACATCATGTGTGGTAGGAATATTGAAATTCCGCCTGCGTTACGAACAGGTTTCAGTCTGTGGGTTTCCGAATATCCAAAGCCAAAATAGGACGACAGCGCATCTTGTGTAGATGTTATATGGCTGGGGCATTTCACCTCCCATCAAGTGAACTCCATGCCTGCATTCCATCATTAAATGTATTTTTACATCTGGTGCTTCTTTCAGGGCCCTCCTCGCGGATTCTTCTACGCTTTCAACTACCCAACGTCTATCCTGGTTGCCAAGAAGGATCTCCAGGGAGGAGCTGTTAACCCCGGTTACCCAGTAGACCAGGACACCGTCTCCGTTCAAGCTAAACACTATTAGATGAAACGATAATTTAGACGAAAAAGTATTAGAATGAAACAACTTTAACGCGTGACTATGTGAAGCAACCCCTTTGTCTGATTGGGAATAAATCCAGTTTAATTCCGTTAAAGTTGTTTCATTTTAATGGATGATTTCGTGAGTTTAATGAACAAGCTCTGAGTTACTTGCCTTAGGAGAACTGACTTTAAAGGTTTATTATAGTCTAATATCCGCTGGTTGACTTGAATATTTTATTAATATTATCCTGTGAATTATTAGGAACAACGTGATTGATAGCTGCTGGCGTGTGTGTTACAATTATTATTGTAACTTAATTATAATAATATTTTATTGGGAAGTCTTTTTAATACAGACCACATTCAATACAAGTTCATGATCACATTCAAGTTAAAAGAAGTGTAAACAGTTGTCATCTTTATTTTCTTTACATCTTCTTACAGCAGCAAACGGTTTTTGTGTACTTAATAACGCATTTAAGCAAAATTTTATTACAGTACGATTTATGACTAGCGTACAGCTCTTATACTACGTCCTTATAAAAACTATGCAGGTTAGCATATGTAGGGCGAAATCATATCGATAAATGTTGCCATTTTAGTTATGTAGGTAACGTCAAGGGCTATAATGCCGATTCAAGAAAGTAGGACAAAGAAAGTGTTACAATAATACAAGTGTAATATGTACAACTCAGATTTAATATTGACGCTACGGCTCGGTTCGAAAGTATAACAAATACATTTAATTTAAATAAACACTTTTAACGGTTTTAAACGCGAAATTTACTTACTTACACTTATTTGCAAATTAATTTATCTACAACCTGACGTTTTGCATGCTTTGCAGAAACCGTGGTCACGGGGGGACTAAAGATCGAGGTTATTGCTAATGACAAAGAAATAACTGGTACGCTAGCGCCATCTGTTCCATGGTAGATGGTATTTTACGAAACTGGCTGGACACAACTGACTAATGTTTAAAGGTTTAAGACGTTTCGAATTTAAAGCCGTTAAATGTGTATTATTTTAATGTGTACCACCCGCGTATACTACAGACTATGTATAAATGGAATTGCCATGCTTAGCACTTAGTATAATAATTATGTGAAATTCTTCTTATCATGAAAATTGAGGGGTCGCCAGTTCGATTTTACTGGCAATGAACATGGTTTTTCATAGTGGTGAAGTTAAACTTCTACAATCTTGTTATTTTAAATTAAAATAAGTTATACTCTTGAACCTAGCCTCTTATCTAGTTTAAAACGTGCCAGAGTAATGTATCAATAATATACGCAAATCTTATGCATGTGTTTTATTTTATTTATAACTGAAATAAATTAATACAGATATAAACCAACAGTTTTAATTTAATAACTGCGACATATACTTGTTAAAAACCATGAAGTTTTTTGTTAAAGAATCTTTGTATAATGATTTACAAACAGCTGTCTTTGTTAAATACATTACGTCGATTTTATTTTTTTGTAATTGAATATAAACAGAAAAAAGAAAAATACATCGGGTGTCGAAACCACGAACATTAACAGTAGACAAACTTTAAGCGTTAAAGATGTAGAATTAAAATTGAACTATATTCTTTACCAAACAGTTTTTTTACCAATTTATTTTAATAAAAGTATTTATCCACTCAAAAGAGACTATTAAGACAGTTTAAATATCTATTAGTGACCGATGATCTATAGTAACTTTTATTCGTAATATAAACAAAAACTTATTACTTAATTCAAATAAGACACTTATATTAAAACGCAAAATATATCCGTTTATTTTTAATTAGGTTTTTTGGCATTACATTCAACCTTAGTAATAATCACGTATATTTCGCGTTTTAAACCGTTAAAAGTGTTCTATTTTGTTGGTTATTGCTTGCATTAACTGCTTATAGTGGTTACACTTCAATGGGAAGATGCATTATTTGTGTATTGTACGGCAGAACTATTGGGTTTACATCAGTTTTGAGATTCAAGTCATTGATCACTGTTCTCAAATTTTGTGCATTTCCATGTTGAAACGGTAATCGTTGCCCAATTATTGATATAATACCTGCTATTCCACTAGCTATACCATTGTACGCCCAGGATATAGTGTCTGGTACGTTCACTTCTATCGGAAGCCAGGGTATGGAAGAAATAAAATCTCCAATGGAAAATCTTCCATTTGGTAGCATAACTATTGCTCGCTTTGGTTCTTCCGGTGCGTCTATGATTACTGAATCTTCGTTATCTCCATCTACCTTTTTGAGTCCGAGTTTTTTCTGCTGGTTATCCTTCGGTAGCAGGATGATGAGAGGTTTGGGTTGTGGTTGAGGCCTGGATTAAATAAGAGGGAAATTAACCACTTGCTAATTGTTTATATATTAAGGGTTCACCCAGACTCACGGCGAGAAAAGTGATAATGAAGAATTTCTCTATCGAGTTTAGTTGTCTTCAAATGGTTTTTTAGATCAGTAGTGAAAAATGAGAGTATGGATAAATTTTTCTCGCGAGGTCTCTTCGAAAATTCTTGTCGAGAGTCGTCGTGAGTCTGAATGGGCCTTAAGAAAATAGTTGCCCATTTGTATCATAACGAATCATATTTTGTACCTAAGGGATACGAATGCGACATATTAAACAATCGATTGTAAATACATTTGAATGATTTTGTTTACATAATTTAATAATTATTCAGTTTTTTTCTTACAAACAAACAAACAAAAATTACTTTATTGTCACCACAATGTTATATTGTTAATTGAAACAAGAACGAAACTGTAGCGAGAAAAGGCGGCCTTATCGGTAAAAAGCGATTTCTTCCAGGCAACCTTGAAGATGGAGATTTACAATAACAAGGGTAACACTACAGCTATAATAAGTTTATAAAATGCTAATGATAGTTTTTTCTTACATACATTTTACTTTTGTACTTCTTTTAATGTTAACTTATTACATTGTATGTAATCAATAGGATGTGTATATAATTGTACTGTCATAGTAAGTTTAAGCTACATATGAACGTAAGTTAATTACAGTTACGTTAATTACATTAATGTAATGTTCTACGAATTGTATTAATTGTATTCGACAATATTATTTATTTGTCTTTTTCTAGAAATGGATGTCTAGAAGAGATCGCTATATTAGGATAAGAGAGTTAGCTTACTGCATTTTAAAACTACTAAACCTCTTGTTCCTTTTTGTGAGCAAGATTAATTATTTTAATAAGTTGAACAAAATTTTTTTGTGATTAGTTAGTGAATGAATTCATTTAAGTTATAGTTATAGTAAGGAGTATTGAATAAACGCTGAATTATGTACAAATGAAAAAAGAAACAGAATAAATATGTACTTACATGATATATGGGTTAAATCGAAGTCCTTGTAGATCGAACATTTGCTGCATATTCAATTCCGGTTGCATGGGTCCCGGAAATGCTTGCACATGCATTGGCATGAGTTGCATATGCAATGGCATTGAAGCAACCATTTGAAAACACAGTAATATCGGAAACATATTGACTAATAACCGAGTGATTTTGATACAAATGATATTGCACTTAATTAGTTTTTGATTCTTTTAGTAATATTCCATTACATGTTATAAATTTCCATAAGGATTTTGAGTTACCTTTTAAAGTTCGTTTAGGATTATATATAATTTTTCAAATCTATGTTGTGATTATTGCATGTTTCAAAATAGTTACGCGAAAATTTTTCACCGATCCACACTCACTTTAATTCGTAATGCAACAAAAAAAAATACGAAATTGTGGTAAGTCAGTTTTTTTTTTAATTTTCACGATTTTTCTTTTTCGTGTCGTTAGTCTCTAGTTCAAAAAGTGTCAATTAGATTAGTAGAGATCCGTTTTCCGTGACGGTGAAAAGTGAACTCCGAAAAGGTGCGCAAACGCATCCACATTGTTATGCACAAGCTGATGTCAAGTGTCCTACTGACAGGATCTAACTTTGTATTTGCTCACTTTCTTTTCATTCATAAATTAATGTAATGTTTGACATATTAAAATTTGTCTTACATTGAGTCATTACAATCGTCGAAAAAAATTGTGCCTTTACGCCGCGGCCGAAGATGATAATTCTTTTGCAAAAAGTAGTCATTGCGCATAAACACATTCTAGGATTAAAAGTATACTTTAATCTAGGATTTTGTCTACATTAAACATGACAAACACCAATGTAGGGAAATGAAGGATATACATACGCCTTCTTGTTTACTATGATCTTTATATATGCATGATCGTAACTTGTTGACATGTGACAAATTACAGCTAATACAAATTGCGGCGATTAATTTTAAAAAATATTTTTGTTTGGTGAAAGTGGGAGTGGGGGAAATAGGAGGTGCAAGAAATTAGTATTAGTAAAGGCTCGTTGGCTAACTAAGCATTTTTAACGTAAGATTATTAAAAAATATCGTTTTATATTGTTGTCGTTCATGGATTCTTAGTTTTAGCCTAAGTCAGTAATTAAGCATAATGAGTATGTTTAAGCACGCTTTTCCACACACCTTATTAGTGGACTTTCAACAATTAAAAGGCAAGTTGTCAAAGAAGGCTAGTATGTCACACGTAGATGAGTAATTTCTATTCGTGTTTATAGAAGTGAGTATAATTAATAGTAGTATATATCTCTTAAAATAGATAAACGAAAAAAAGTAGAATATATGAATAAAATTACGATACATGATATTGCACATATGGTAAATATGGAAATATGAATTTGAAAATTTGCAGTCTTGCAGTTATTAAAATGAAATGTCTAAAATGTATATATTCTTATTTAAGAGTTAACTAAATTATGTTTAGTTGTCTTATAATCAATGTAAAACTTATATTCGCCGTTAAAATGTTGTTTTCTCGTTATTAAATGGTTCTAAAGAAATTTGTAATAAAACCATGTTTCCTTTTATGGGTGATGGACCCAGAAATGTCGGACACATTACTGTGCTCATTTGACTGATCGATTTTATTTACTAGTTAATTAGTGGTATGTGCCTTTCTCGATATGATTTATTGCTCCACCTGGGTTCGAACCCAACACCTCTCATGCTTATCGCGATGGAGTGGGTTGTAAAATAGTCTCATAGTGAAAATTGTACAAGGATGAAATCAAATATGATTGAAATCAAGGAAAATGTCAATTGTAACGGTATTCAGCACAGTTAGCAACGGAGCGAGTACCACAGTTTTACAGCAAGTGATTAACGAGCCTACACATTTATCTACGGTATTTAGTTCTTATGGTGCGACCACAACGGCGCGGCAAGCGATTTGCAAAAATCTCTTACACCGAACGGATCACGAGAAGACAAAGACGAATTAAAGTTTTTATAATAATTTACCTAATTCGTTAGGGTTTCTTTACTTAATGGCTGTTTAGAGCAGCAGTGAAATATCTATTTTTACGGCTCTGCTTCTTACCTTGAAGTAAAACTAATGCACGTTAAAGAATAAGAATGTAATAAGATAATGTCTGTTAAAAATTTAAGAAAACGCCACATATATATTTACCCAATAATGATTATATATTTAGTCTGTACTTAGAAAACATAAAGAAAACTCAATACTAATATTATAAAGCTAAAGAGTTTCTTTGTTTGAACCCGGTAATATCAGAAATCCTGGTTTTGAATTGGATAGACCATTGATCAAGTATGGCTTTAGGCTTTTTAATATTACGCTGTCACGTTTTAGTTTAGTTAGCCCATCATACGAAAGTAAAGAAAACTAAATAAAAAAAATAGTAGAAGTAAGTAAAAAAATATATATTTTTTAAATATGCTTATTTTAGGAATGACTTCGACAAATTTTTTTGTCTATTGCGCGATTTCTGTTTTAGTTGAGCGTTTTAGAAAAAGTTTCATCCGCTCGTGTTGTATCCTTACCTTTAGAGCCAATCTGCAGACATCGAGGCATCTATGTTAATAGTCGTGTTTATGCTTGTTAACAATAATGCTTTATCTATTTTGGTTTAGCCTTAATTGCACACGTTTAGATTATAACGAAACTAACCTCATAGTGACCGCCTCTGTGGCTTGATGGTTAAACATCGTGCCCAACTTTGCGTTAAGCATGAGTGGTGCGGAGTGCGAATCCCGGGAAAACAATAGATTATTTCGGTCGGGCTGAGCACGTCTGATCAACTACTTGCCTGTAAATAAAACCGACACAGAAATATTATGTTCGGCCCCACGCGGGAAGACGGGATTCCATAGTAATAATAACACCATACTCAAAGCATCAACAATCAAGGCGTATTTCTAGATAATTTTACTTGATACTCAAAAAATTACTTGAAAAAAGTTATTAATAAAACGTATAGTGTAACTGATTAGACTTACTGTACTGTTACACTACATACTTGTATATTGTATATGATACTAGATTATATTCTTTATTTAAATAAACATTTTTAACAGTTTAAAACGCAAAATATGTTTAAAAATCTATTTTAAATGTTTCGCTTATAAAAGTTTAGTTTTTGATTTAAATGTGTACTTCTCCCACAAGCTACACACAAAATTATTATTTAAAAAAGGCGCAATACGCCGACTTGTGCGTTCGAGTCTGCAAATATTATTATTTTCCTTAATTAGCTTGCGTAACCATTATACATATACATAATTGCATTATTCATTGTAATTTATCTTCTAGGCAAAATTTAATCATGTTCTAGTTTAAGACAAAAATAGACCTTCATATAAGTTGATTATGTAGTTTTTTGTTTAGGTTTTACATTACAATGTCATTATAAGTGATAGATAGCTATCACTAAAAAACTTGTTAAGGGCATTTAATGATACCTATTCTAGTAACACCAAAGCATACTTTTTATTGTTACATTTTTAACAAGGAACAAATGACGATCATTAACTAGCTTTTTCTTTAAGGCTATTTTATAATTGTATTGGAGATTTTTGTGTATTGTATTTATTTAAAAACTTTAGCGGTTTAAAACACAATATATTTTATTTAGACGTTTGAGAATTATTTTAAACTTCGTCTCCCAGTGACCACGGCTGCTGCAAAGCATCCGAAACGTCGGGCCGTAGGTAAAAATAATTCTCAAACAAGTTTAACTAATATATCGTGTTTTAAACGGTTAAAGTGTTTTATTTAAGTGTGTACTACTCGTGTAAACTACAGGGTGTATTGTATGCGTAGCTGGTGCTTTAATATTTCCTATAACTCTATTAGGTTGGTTTAATAATTGCTGTACGTATATATGTAATTCTATTTGCTATAGACAAACTGTTTATTTTCAACAAACCAAAGTTACGAAGTTATTAGTTCACAAGTGCGTTATTTATTATTTTATTTAGGCCGCAAACAACAGTAGATAAAAGGGTTTTTCGTTTAAAATAAACAATTACATATATTTACTTATGTATCGCAATTAAGAATATTTTGTGATAAAAATAAATATACCTATTTCACTACAATAATTTATTCCTTAAAACTATGGCAAGTAAAAATAAATAAATGCGAATCAACATTCATTATCACTAACACTTCACTGGGGCTTTCCATCATCTACCACCACGTCGATTTCCACCTCGTATGTCCCTGGCTTCGTCTGCGACGGCCTAACGACCACGCCGGGCACTCCCGGCATTCTCTCGTGATCAACTTCATTTTCAGCAGCATCAGCTATCGGTTCCTTATCAGTATAGTATCCAGAATCTGGTGGCAGGCGTACAGACATCATCCCTTGCATTCGCTGGACTATATACTCCAGAACAGGTCCGAATCGCGATAGACCTTCCGTCGCCAATAAAGACCGCTCCGGTTCACCCTGTCTCGGCTTCAATACGAACATATTGAAGTTCAGAGTTCTCCTGACGGGCTTTGCACCCGCAGATATGCAGGCTATAGCCAAAAAGGTAATTATGTAACGTGGGTACATGTTGCGTCCACCCGCCGCGGTGTATTCCCTCCGACTGCGCCCGCTGCGTTTTTGCTGACCATCTAAGCTAAGGTAACGGGTCTTCAGCAAAAAGATCATAATTGCCCATTCCAGTTGCCAGTAATTGCTGCACCTTTCGTTTGGAAAGCTATCTTAATTTGGGTGAGTCAAAGTAATTGCTGACCAGAGGAAACGGTCTGGCGGCGTGAGTTTTCGCTTTGATGCCCTTTCGTTTGACCAAGTTCTGTATTGTTATAGCCAGGTCAACGTATTCTGGTTGTTTGATACTGCGATGCACTTTTATTATTTGTATTGCGTCTTTACAAGAAAGTAGAGTATTTTTTCCAGCCTTGTTATATAATTGTTTACGATCAGTGATTGATCCGCAGATGTGGATAATGCAGCAACAAGGTCACGATAAATATGGTAATGGACGATATTTGTGAAGACAGGTTTGAAAACGGTTCATAGTGTTTGCAAATTGCTTTCCAGTTGAAGCTTAATTAATACATGGAGTTTGGAGAAACGCCGCACCGATTTTGCGAGAGTTTGAATATAGGACAAATATTGTGCAGTAAAATCTATGAAAGTTGGAAAAATCGACGACACGGGCGGGGTTTGAACCGGCATTTACAGCGGTTCGTGCCAGTTGAGCTATCGTGTCATACAGTGAACCAGCATTACACTTTGATATGGATGCTGATTCAAGTCCCGCCCGTGTCGTAAATTTTATGAAATGTGATAAAATTATAAATGTATATAATGCTACCAAGTGAAAACTTGGACTCAGTGAGGATTCAATCCACACACTTCATCGTTACCATTACACCAACGAGCCCATCAAATATTTTGATTTCTAAATAGACCCGACAGAAATGGAACTTGACCCACTTATTAAAACACAATGTTATACGAACGAGCCGGTTGAATCACCTAAGATATTCCAATCATAATAAAGATTACTATGCATTGCCTATTGATCAACTCAGTCTTTCAGACCTTATTCTTTAGATAATAAGGTACAAAATAGTTATGCATTTCTACAAGGAACTCGGGAAGGTGCCCGTTACCGACCATTTAAGGCTGTAGGAAGGTTTTATCGTAACGGTTGTCGTTTTATGCTTCAAGTCATCTTTACACAAGTATTGAGACGTTAAGTTTACATACTTCATATTAATAAACGTTCTATATTTGAAAAATGTGAACAAAAAACAATCTTTAGTAAGCATAAAGTTGAAGAGTTTGTATGTTTGAATGTTTGAACGCGCTAATCTTAGATACTACTAGATCGAGTTGAAAAAGTTATTTTGGTGTTATATAGGCCACTTTTCGAGGAAAGCTGCGATCAGTAGAAGCGAAGAAAATTCGGGAAAATTCATTCGTTGCGCACCATGCGATAACTGTTACTAAAAAACATCGGCGACAGTATTTGTCTATCATTTAATATAACTTGCAAGAACGACGGGACGCGGATGACGTCGTGGGGTATCATCAAGTACTATATAGTAATAAAAAAATACCCTTTACTTTTGACGGTTTAAAACGCGACATAAATTAGCTAAGCTTATTTTTTTTTCAAATTTTAACTGCGGCTCGAAGTTTTGGAAGCTTTGCAGCATGTCGTGGTCATGGGAGCGTTTATCACTATTCGTTCAATGGTTAGGGGAGATATCGAATAGACAAATAAAAATTTAAAAAAAGTCTTTATTTCGTCTTTATACATTAATTATAATAATAATTATTGCATTGTATAATACATATAGTAAAACACTATAATGTCATTGAGTTGATATTCTTCGAATATCCTTGAAAAAAGTATCTTTTCAGGGAAGTTCTTACTTTTTTTCATACCTAATAAATATAAGAATGACAAAACCAATTCTTAACTTTAGTAAGTTATATCTGATAACTGAAGATTTTCATTATAATTATAAATTAACAAATTCCTATAGTTTTGGTCTTTGCTGTGGCGAAGCTTGGGCATTGGTTTGCGGGTCATAGTCTTCTTTAGTTTCGTCTCTCGTTTGACCTAATTTTGGCGCCAGGTTCGATTGCGGCCCTGAAAAAATGACATATCTATACTAATATATAAAGCTAAAGAGTTTGTTTGTTTGTTTGTTTGGACGTGTTAATATTAGGAACTTCTGGTTTCAATTTAAAAACTATTTTCGTGTTGGTTTGACCATTTATTGAGGTGGAACATCGGAGAATGTGGAAAAAATTAGGAAAGTTATTCACCTCTGTGGGTTTCGATGTGTACGCTGCGAAAACGGTTCAAGATAGCTACCCAAAAAAATATGTATAAAATAATTATTTCTCTTTCAATAATCTAAACAAATTTCCGTATATGTTATACTTCTATCTTTTAAGATTAACTTGCAAAACGCGACCGACGTCGTGGATTTGCAACGACAAATATGGATACCTAAAATAATTATTCTACGCGGACAAAGTCACTGACTTAGCTAATGTCATATAAAATGTCTATATAACTTCCTTGATGGATTTGCGTGTTTGAGTAGACTTACCGCTTGGCTGTGGTGCTAAGGCCTGAGGCTGTCCAGGAAAAGCTATGAACTGGTTCAAGCCCATGGGAGGTCCCACCGCTGGGACTGGTCTGGAATTTCACAGACAGATGATTACTATAAAGTGTTTAGTTGGCTTAAGTTGAAAATTGTAAACACTGTGCTGATAATATAAATTTTCCTATGAAATTTTCGATTAATCGATTTGAACCTGGGCCCTCTTGGTTTCCTTTTGAGTTCACTAACATCAAGACCAATGGGGCAACTCTAGTAGTATGTAAGCGTAAACATAGTGAAGTGTCGATATTAATCAATATTGTATTACCTTAATATTTCCGAGGTCTTTTTATAAAACTTTTAAATAAAACACTTGAACAATTTAAAAAGCGATATATATAAGTTAAACTTATTTTAACTACGGCCTGTCGTGTCTCCCTGTGACAACGGCTGCTTGGTGTCGGAAACGTCGGAATGTAGTTAAAACAATTTTCAAATAACTAATATATCGCGTTTTAAACCGTTAAAGTGTTTTATTTAAACGTGTTCTACTTGCGTAAACTACAAAAAGTGTTTAGATACTACTTACTGATATCCATGGCTTTGATATGCGAAATCAAAAGGTCGCTGAAGGGGCGAAGCACCGAGCAGTATGTTAGGGTTGCCTTGGTATACTGGTCTTTGATATGTCGGCACCTGTGCTAAGACTTGTCCAGATGCATCCAAAAGGACTGGATTCTGATAACCTAGAAGAATTATAAATGGCATCCTCAGCGTTGCGTGCTGTTGCTCTAACCAATTGAGTTTATAACAATTATCTTGTTAAAAATAAATGGTGCACTTCGCATTATCCTCTTTTATGTTTTTTTTTTTTAACTATAAGATATTGTTCAGTTCAATTAAATTATAATTATTTTTGGTCCTTTCAATTATTTATATTAATTTGTAATAAATTAATTAATTAATACACATTTAAGTTAGTCACACTATTAAAATAAAATACTTTAAAAAAAACGGTTTAAAAAACGTAGCATAATATTAGTTAAGCATTGAGTTGCAGCACCAGTAGGCACGTCGGGCCGTATTAAAATTATTTTCAATTAGGTTCAACTGATATATATCGCATTTAAACCGTTAAAGTTTTATACAAATGTGTACTACTCGCGTAAACTACAGACAGTATTTGATCACAATTATTTTTTCAGATTATGTTTGCGAGAAAGAAAAGAACAAGTGTGGAACAAGATGGAATAGACAATTGGGCTTCCGTTCCGGGGAAGCTGGTAGAATTTAGTCTGTTTTAAAAATACCTGGATAAGCCGAGTTTCCTTGCGGTGCGGCGGCAACTATATACACAGGCTGGTATCCGCCAACTGTGCCCGGTCTATCAAGAACAAGGATATATAAGTTATCATCAATGGCTTGTGGATTCGATCCCATCCGGATCCAACATGTTTCCAATCAGTTGAATTTTTTTCTAAAAAAATGTTGGACTTCGTCTGGAAATCTGGATATTAAATGGGTAGGAATATCTGAATTACATCCAGATCACGAATAACCGTCCACAGATACAAGAGCCGCAATGCATAACTACTCACTGAATGCTCTGCGTACTCGAGATTGAGACAAATACACATGGGTTCGGAGTTACAGAAGAGAACATCAATGAACTACAGATGGAAAAATAATAAGTTTCTGTGAGCTAGCCGGAAGGTTTGGAGGGGGCACGGGGAGAGTTGGATGACCCAAGGAGGAAATGAGTGAAATGGTCGGCCGATAACGTGGAGTGATCACCCGTCCTACCACAGGAGTCCCCGATAAAAAAAAATTAGCTGAACCCTATGCTTGCCTGTCTTCCTTTATTCTAAACAAGAGACAATCTAAATACCCAAATCGAGAGACATACGACATAGGATGTATGATAGCAAGATAATGTGTCACTTATGTCAAGATTGGTTGTTTTTGCGGGGGAAGCTCCAGTAAAAGTTTTGCCTAGTATTAACTACATACTAATTCTAAGTTCAAATCCCAGTGTAACAGTGTCCCAGTGTATTTCATTACGATCGTGCAGGGCATAGGAATTTAATCAACAAGTCAATTTTGCGGTCAGCGAAACGGACACAGTTATGTGTCCGACCTATGCGCGCAGGGTAAGGAAGGGTTTCACATATTTTGCTATTTTGCTCTTTTTTTAATTAACTTCGAATAATAAAATTTGAAACGGTTGGTTGACGGTAATTTAAAACAATCTGTTTATGTTATTTTATACCTTATTCCCGGTACTGGCATATGTACTATGTACACCCTCTGTCCTGGAATCAATCCGGGAATATTGGGAGCTACTGGTGTCTGAAAATATACAACACAATAATTATTGATGTCACTAAATAGTTCTTAGTACATCCGAACTTGTCGTTATTATAGACTAAGTATTGTTCAAATGTATGCAAAAACTTTAAATAAACCATTCTTAACGGGTGCAAATGCGAAATATATTAGTTAAATAATGCGTGACCCGACGTTTTGGCCAAATCTCAACTTTGGGTCGTAGGTCGTGTCGGTCGTGTCTGTCGTGGTCACATGGTCCGACCGTGACTCGTATGAGATCAAATAAAATAGAACTTTTAATATATTTCGCGTTTTAATCCTTCAAGGTGTTTTATAATAATATTGTATACTGAATGAAAGCTTATATTACTTCGCAAATAAACAATACATAATGTTTTGGGTAATCTTAAGGACTTGAAGGAATAGTAAGATTTGTTTTCTTACAATACTTTCGCTTGTTCAAACCTCGGTTGTGTAAGAAAAACAATAATTGTCTCTTTCTATATCCGTCGTGATATACCTGTTGTGGTGGCTGCTGGGGTTGATCAGCTCCTGGTAACAACTCCACTTCACTGTCAGGGTCTAGCGTCTCCAATCTTGATAGTGTTTCATCATCCGTATTCACATTGCCTGAAAATATTCAATAACTTGTATAGCTCGTTGGTGTAATGTACGGCTAATAATCGATGGGTCGTGGGTTCGAACTCCACCGGGTTCAGAAATTTTCTAATTAATTATTATTTTTTCTGAAACATGGACTTCGTCTGGGTTTCAGAATAATAAATGGGTTTTAGAAACATCGAAATCTCTTCCGTATCACGGACCACTGTCTACTGATGAAAAAGACGTGAGACGCGATGAAACTAATCGCGTTTCGGTAGCCAAAGTTGGTCGACAACACATCTCGTTTAGATGTTATATGTCTGGGGTAGCTACCATCGTGTGCCATGCTTTTCTGCCTTCCTCTATCGTAAAATAATTATAATTATATCGTAATAAAACTTAAGTCTGAATATTATTACTTCCATGTACATTGTAAACAAACAATGCTTACCTTGCTTTTCTTGCGGCTGGCTGTAGTAGTGGGCTAATTCGGGGAGGACCTATATAGTATCTGAAAATGAATAATATATACAGATTTAATCTAGACATATTAAGTTCCTCGGGCCTCGAAACACCGTTCGAAGGAAAAAGTCGTTAATTGTGATTGCGTTTCGGGTTCAGGCCTTTATATGTGAGTCCAAAGCCAAAATAGTAACAGAACTCGTTAAGATGTGAACCATGGGGTTCACAGCTTGTCTGTATGACAGACATATAAAATAACATGACATAATTGAATAATAAGAATTTTTTTATTAATAATTTATCTACATCTTCTAAAACAAAACAAAAAGCAAACTTTATTTTTTTGCAAGATATTTGCACCCATTTTTTTAAATTAATTCTTATATTCGTCACAAAAGTGACTTTCTGATAATGATAAGTGTGACATTTCATTTAGTTTTGTGAAGTGTTTCTTGCTTAATAAAGTTGTGTCCTTACGTATTTAGATGTTGCATTTGCGCAGGCGCATAATATCCAGGTGGAACAGGCGGTGCTGCACTAACCGCAGCGCTGATAACAGCTATCAAGTACTGAAATTAAAAAAATCTTAATTTAAGAAATTTTTAGCTATTTTAGTGTGCTGACTAAGCCTTAAAAAAATTAAAAACCTATAATAGTGTTTTAAGTACTATCTCTAATAAGCGCGGCTAGTTAAAAAAATCTCTCCGAACAGTTTAAAACGTGTAATATATTGGATAGCTTATTTTTTGTTACTACTACAATCCCACGTTTCGGGTGCTTCGTAGCAGCCATCACAGGTCAAAAATAAGTTTATATATTTAGATTTTTAAACCGTTAAAATGGCTTTATTTTAAAGTCCCTTAATAACCTTTTAGCACACTAGTTCCATAGATACCAGTTAAAGAACCATAAGACAGATAATACTATATACTTAATGTTTAAAAGATTATATAATTTTTTAGACATAGCTCCCATTCTTCATTTAGGTCACGTAAATTCGCAATTAACTTAGTATTCCTTGTTTAAGCGTAATTTTATTTGTATATTTCACTAACAAACCTTCGAGACATCTCAATAGATTTCATAATCTAATTACAATTCAAGAAACTAACTATCCTTCAGCCGTGAGGTCAAAGGAAAATTATGTAAGTGTTAAATGTAGTGCGAAATTTTATAGAGCAGATCCTATATAGACTCGTTATTTGTGTGTAAAATATACATACTTTTATATCAAACTGATTATCTTTACTAATATTATAAAGGTAAAGAGTTTGTTTTCAGGAACCATGGTTGAATTAAATAAATATTTTGTGTTAGATAGACCATTTTATCGGGAAAGACTTTAGGCTATATAACATGAATGCAAACAATGAAAAATGTGGAAAATTATTCAACTATGGGGGCGATTCAAGAAATCGAAAAACTATAGTTCTAAGGTAAGTAATTCTTTTAACATAACTGTCTCACAAATTCTACAAATAGATATATTAAATTAGACATCCTAATTTGTACAGCTGTACGTAGATCAATGGTGCGCTGAATATCTAATGCATTACTAGGTCACTGGTTTCGACTGGACCCAACATGTTTGTTTTATTATTTTGCCGGTTATATCTGGTTAGTACTAGGAGATGGTATAAACAACAAAAATCCATAGGTAGAAAAGCCGTGTAATAAAATCGCGTTTCGCTTAATCTCCATACACCAAAATAGGTGACGGCGCGTTCTGATATTTATAGCTAAGGTTTAAAAAAAAACTTTAACGGTTTAAAATGCATATATTAGTTAAACTTATTGAAAATGATTTTTAACTTCGGCCCGACGTTTCTTATAGCTAAGGTTTTTCTCCTCCATCAAACTTATCTATTTTGTTCTATCACAACTTGCACACTGTCGCTTAGAATAGTTATTTTGGGCATCAAAATCTTTTCCTTCTCTTCATCTTTACATTTTTAAGCTATTGCTCACGAGGTCGGTCAATCCTGTCGTTCTAACAAGTTAATCTTTTATATAATTTTCTCCAATTTCCCGCTATTCTTTTATTATCCTATTAGTCGACCGATGTTTTATAGTCTATAACCTTCCTTGATAAATGCCTACTAACATAAAATTAATATTTTAATTCGAATCGCTAGTTCCTGAGATTAGTGCGTTCAGACAAAGAAACAAACTCTTCAGCTTTATATATTAGTATAGTTAAAAAATAAGCTAGTCTGTACTTACGTGTATGTGTAAATAGAAGTCCCTTAAGGCGATGCTACATGCATACCAGCCTCTCCTAGCCATTATCAGTCATATCTTAGTATCGGTGATACAATAAATTACCATTTGCATACTTACTTGTCGAATACGTAACTACGGAATGTATTTGCAATAATTAATTTGTTTTTCTCATTAATAGACGTGATCGCTTTATTTTGTTGACGTGAAGTAAACAATTCATTGAGTTGGTGTAGTAATTAAAGTCGATCTACGGATTGTAATATAATCCACAGTTTACGTTCGTATATCGGTTTAGTTACATAAAAGTATAGTAATAAGTAATAATACATATTTCCTCATTTAGACTTTTAAAAATGTATACTTATTATAGTGGTTTTCAGGTCTTTACAATTTAAATTAATAGTACAAATATTTTATCATAATAATAAAGATCATGTTCTGGAAAAAGTATTTATTCTGATCCATTGTCTGTTTTTGGCCCGTAATGGGCCTATATTACACACATCGCTTTAAGTGTCGCAAGTGTTTTTAGGCTTTCCTTGAACTCGGCCCATCTGACAAAGAGCATAATCGGTACGTTCAACTCGTGAATAACTTAGAATAGGCAGTTTATTGTTTAACATAATATGTTAAAAATATTTTCGGTAATAGCTTATATGAATAATTGAGTCCTGTAATGACAATATTTAAAAACCTTTCTTTTTCTTTGGCAGTACTAAAAATCTTTTGTAATTAATGGAAAGCTATTAATAGTTCTCTATTTTCAATTATAAATTAATATTGAGGATATAATTATAAACACAATAAAATTAATTTCATCATACATAACACTCTCTGACGTGTGCGTTGAATTCTTTTGTTTTGAAAAAAAAAACAAATAAAAACGCAACAACAAAAGTTGGTAAATTACAACAAAATACTCAAAATAATGGCCAAATATTGGGTTTATTTAAATCTACAAACTGTTTAAGGTTGTCATTAGATGTATCAAGTTGAAACTAATGACCTATTTAAGCATTGGAAACCGAAATGCGATTTAACTTTACGACTTATTAATCTGTGCACCTTCCTATCATCCATTAAAACTTATTTCCTTTTAGCTTTGACATCTTAGTAAGGCCATAATGATTCTATGGTCTATGGTCATAGACCATAGAGTTAGGGACGCAACGATGCGTATCTGGGATATGTCAAGACGAAATAATTGTAGAGGTACTACGGTTGCCTTGTCTTGATGCAATGATAAGTACAGTTGGTAAATTTAAGGAAATGCGCACACATCTATCTATCTGTACTATTATATAAAGCCGAAGAGTTTGTTTGTTTAAACATGCTAATCTCAGAAATTACTAGTTCGAATTCAAAAATTATTAACAATTATTTTCCCCTTTGTGAAGGCAGAAAAATTATTCATCTTTGTGGGGGTTTTCCTTGCATATGCTACAAAAACGGTTTAAAATACCTATAAATGATTCCTCTTTAAATTATCTAAATAAATGTATGCGATACTATATGTTTATCTTTAAACAATAACCTGCAATATAAATAAAAGCATACTAGTGGGTGCTGAAAACTAACACAAATAACTCAATCCTCACCAATCCCTAGCGCATGGTCTCTGAGTTTTGGTTGGTAGAAATAATGGTGACAAAATTTTTTTGAAGTTAATATAGCGGAAACAGGATAGGGCTCACACACAACAGCCAACAATAACCTATCATTGTATTTTAATCCCAATAATTAAGTTAGCCAAGAATAGAATCAGACTTTTTAATCAAATAATTACTAACTTGGATTAAAAAGATGACGCGTAAGATAGGACGATAGAAGTAGGAAGTTTGCATCTGATAAATTTAATCGTTTCTTTTCAACAATGCCGCGCTATTTTCCACTTGTGCACAAAGGTATTTCTGGTCTATGCAAAAGAAAAGTCGTGTTGATCTAATCACTAATGGTTTAAGTCTTCTTCCCTCAGTTGAAATTCCAATTCAAAACTTATTATTGCTTTTAAAAGTAAAATATATTTAACTATAGTAATATAAAAGTGAAGAGTTTGTTTATTTGTACGCGCTAAGGAGCAACTGGTTCAAATTGTTATATTATGTTTGTCAATTTATCGAACAAGGCCCTAGGCTATAAAACATCAGGTTGCAATCAATAGGAGCGAAGAGGACGAGGAATACACAGGGAAAATTATACATTTTCATTACGGTGCGTACGCTGTGATAACGGTTGAAGAAAACAAAAAATATGAAATTTTGAAAAAATGTCGAAGATATTGTACACACAACCGCTACAGTTTATAAAGCTGACGAGAACATTTTTACAAATAACTAAAAATAAATATGAGGCCAAAAAAATATTTCACGCGGACGAAGTCGCGGGCTCAGGTAACCACTAAATTGCGTGCACAATAATACACAAATAATTAATAATAAGATATGGTTTTTTTAACGGTAAAGCATATATTATAAACTTATTTGAAAATGATTTTTAACTTCGGCCCGACGTTTCGGATGCTTTGCAGCAGCCGTGGTCACGGGGAGACTTTTGGGTACCACCCAAACTAAGACAGTATTTAATTAACCAGTACGGGCTGGAATGTGTACTACTCGCGTAAAAGACAGTATTTAGATAAGATATGGTGCTTGTCACACTCAGCGTTGGTTTTCTGAGTTCGATCCCCGGTAGTGGAATAAATATATTTGTCTCGGTGTTGCGTGCTTTAGATAACATTATTTACAAGCTACTAGCCTCATCAAGCCTACTTCATGGAAGATTGAATACCCCAATCGTATAACAACCAAACACGATGCGCTCTCAACGTTCGAAAATCTACAGACTTCTTCATGTACAGTCGCTTTTGCCTCAGATGAAATTTCGATATTCCAATTCCCTTTGATTGTACAGATTTCTAGACAAAGTTTTGAACAAGTTGGGTGTTACAGAAAAAATATACATCGATTAAAAATGTAGGACCTGGTAGGGATCGAACCTATGACCTTTAAATAAAACACTTTAACGCTTTAAAACGCGATATACTAGTTAAACTTATTTGAAAATGATTTTTTTGGATGCCAAGCATCCGAAACGTCGGGCCGAAGTTAAAAATCATTTTCAAATAAGTTTAACGAATATATCGCGTTTTAAACCGTTAAAGTGTTTTATTTAAATGTGTACTACTCGCGTAAACTATAGACAGTATCGAACCTATGACCTGTTGATTTAGCCATACATTGCCACCATTAGATCAACGAACTCGTCACATTTATCTATAGATATAGAACCTACCCCTATTTCAACCTTTTTTTAAATTAATTATTCAGCCAGTATTTAAAATTAAATGGGTTTTTTAAATCCTTCTAATTCAAACATTGTTTATGATATAACACGGTAAACTCGTCTCCGTTGATCGTACGTAACGATAAATATTTTATTCGGTTAAAAAAAAACACTCCACTTACAAGTGTCGCGGGCATTTTCCTCACTCACTGTGCACAGAACAAGACAATAATGCGTGGCTGAGACTCGCTACATTCTTATATCAACAACACACTCGTGTCAAGCGTGACTCAAAACTCTCATACCTGAATATGTTTAAACTATTATTGAAAAAAATACTCAAATACTATAAGCATTTTAATATGGAAGTCTTTGTAGTTTACGCGAGTAGTACACATTTAAGTAAAACCATTTTTACGGCCTAATACGAATGAAAAAATGAAATGCATGCAGTTGATAGGTTATCAATTAAAATTTGCATTGTAAGCCGTTAGAAGCGTTTTTTCTAAAAGTCTTTTAAAGTTAAAGTATGGATATTAACAGAAAAACAGAAAATAAAAAAATTAAACAACAGAATTTCATTAATTACTTAATTATTATTTCTAGCACACGATTACTCATTTAAATAGAACAATTTTAACGGTTTGAAAAGTAAAATTAGTTAACTTGTTTTTCATGCCCTCACGTCGGTATGTAAAACGTTGAGTCTAATAAGTTCACTATTCATATTATATTTCTCGTTTTAAATTGATTAAACTATTTTATTTAAATACTTACTAATTTAAACTGACGATTTACAGCTAAGTATCTAAAACCGCACGCCTACTCCGAAACATTACCTATATAAATTATAAAGTTATCTCCTACTTCCTTCAAACAAGATTGCTGTTAGTCGTGGGGTTGTAGGTAGGTCTAAAAAAAGTTTTTTTTTTTCGTTGGCGTAACTTTAGCTTATCTGGTATTTAGCTTAAATCACTCAAGTTTAGTTATATTGTCCTTTAAAAGATAAATCATTATATCACAACATTGATTAATAGCCTGTAGGAAGATTGTGTTTTGGCGCGAAGCCAAGCGCTATCCATAAACAATAGATCATTATCGGAAACGCGGAAATTAATAAATCGATAAAAATAACATATTTGCATCTGTGGAGAAAAATATCACTCTTTTTATCTATTGTGCTGCAGTAAATCCCGAAATACTTGTACTCTCTTGCGATAATATTATTATAGTGTCTAAAGGTATAGACAGATTTTCAGTGCTCTATCTTTTTGTGTGGACTTATCACTTCGCCGTTCTATCGGTGTCCCCAATAGAAAATAATAACAAGTATTTGCTTCCTTCCAGGCGAGGATGGCGACATTGTGGTGGTAGGTTTGATTAGGGCTAGTGGTATATTTTTTTCTAAAATATTTTGCATTAAAAAAATGAATGATTGACTAAGTGCTTGATTCAAGTAGTTAAAAATCGTTTTTAAATTTTAAAACAATACGACACGGGCGGGACTTGCATTCACAGCGTTCCGTGCTTCAATAGACATTTAATTATTTATTTTTGACGATTATTATCATTCAGAACTATGTTATATTCTTCTGCTCTGGTCAATCGAAACTGTATTCAACTGAAACCACGTACTTTTCATGTTTTCCGTAGATTCGAACCTGCAACCTCTCGCTTAAGTGGGCTTAGCTATCATAATTAATTCTAAGCTATGTAATTACATTCTTGTGCTCTATACAAACAAAACTGCTAATTGTGTTTTCCCTGGACTCGAACCCACTTCTCACGCTTAAATAGCTAGACAATGGGTTTAGTAATTGAACCATGGAGCTACACAGTCATCGTGACAGTGGCTTAAACGCACTGTAGGTAACACGAATTGCACTTGTTGGTTTTCGTTTCGTTGTTTCGGACAAAACCCACAGATAGTCTTTCCTTGAAGCGCTTCGTTGACTCACAGACCGTTTACTCAGCGAGTCATTTCAAGCTTTGCCAGATTTTAATGCAGAGATTACTTTTATTAATGCCATTGAATAAAGACTTTTTCTAAAAAAACCTGTTTGAGCACTTTTAAAAACAAAACACTTTAAAGTTTTAAAACGCGTTATAAGTATATTAGTTAAACTTATTTTTTTTATATTTACTACGGCTCGAAGTTTCGGATGCTTTGCAGCAGCTGTGGTCACGGGAAGACTAAAGATAGAGTGTCTCTAACGTTAAAGTAAAAAATTGCTACGCTAGCGCCATCTGTTCCGTCGGGGTTTGCCTATTTAGCTAAAAAATTAAATTAATTTTCAAATAACTTTAACTAATATATATCTTGCTTTAAACCGTTAAAGTGTTTTATTTAAATGTTAACCTTCTACGAGATAAATTGAGCTGCGGCCGGCAATAGTTGTTTGACACTCCATATCTATCGCGTTTAACGGTCAAATAAACTACTAGGTAAAATAATGCCTGTCGAGTAATTTAAAAATAGAACGATCTGCTAATCCGCAAAATGGCGGACAAAGAGGTAACTTTTCAAAGGTTTAATTTAAATTTGGAACTGGCTGGCACATATAAGCTGTTTAGTATAAAAAGCGTTTGTTATTAGTGTACGTCAACTTCGTCATTGGTTTAAAGTTCAGATTTGTACTACTTGGATTTATTTTTCCGCGAGTTATTTGAGAAAAGTAGTATACATCTTGGCTGCAATTAGGCATTGATGGACTTACGTATGTGTGCCTCACCTTTGCCTCGGCTCACATTCACACGTTCGTCCATCAATGCTTCTCTTGCTGGCCGCTGCAACGATGTAGTATGTACAATTTAAAAAAAACCTTATCGTTTTTGTTGGAAAATAAATAATACGTACTCGATATAATCTAGTCAAAAAGACGCTGAAATTTATGTGTGGTTCATTTATACATTACCAGCAAGAATCTTAGTTAATTAAATATTTTTAATAACTATACCCTTATTAACATTTTAAGACTTTTGTTTATTTCATCGAACACTTTCAACCGTTTGAAACGCGATATACCTTACTTAGCTTTTTTTTACTACAGCCCGATATTTTAAAAACAATCGTGTGTCAACAATCAAAACTGTATTAAATAAACGTGTGCTACTCGATTAACCAAACAAAGTTAATAACCCTTTTTTATTTTATTGTACGTATTGAATCCAATTCTAATAGGTCGACAACGCATGTTATTAGATTTTAAAGAACTGGGCTATTTAGCCTTCTATGAAGTGACCCCATGCTTATCAGTGACGTAAGAGGACCCGGGATATAAAGGCATAGTAGTTTGATTAGACCTTCTTTTTCAAAGTCGGTTAAAAATTGTACATACAATGTATTATAAAGACTAACAGTGCGTAGTAGTTATTCAATGTTATGTTGATGTTGATATCTAATAACGAACATTTATAATTATATATTTCATCATTTCCCATTATTTTAATTTAATATTCGCGCGTGGATTAACAATTAGCTCGGTACAAATTAAAATGTTACTGCGCATCTAAAATCTTGTACTCACCTAAATACTGTCTGTAGTTTACGCGAGTAGTACGCATTGAAATAAAACACTTTAACGGTTTAAGACGCGATATATTTTAGTTAAACTTAAAAAATTAAAAAAAATTCAACATTAATATATCGCGTTTTAAACCGTTAAAGTGTTTTATGTAAACTTGTACTCACCTATCTAATAAACATACACTTAGCTAGTGGACATATGTATACAAAAATCAGATAGAATATTATAGGCTTTTTAAAATAAAAGCTTTAGAACAAAATTACCATCTTTATTAGAAATATATCAGTATTAGGTATGTATTCATAAAGCCGACATTTTGTAAATCTTACTATTCTCATAACTTCATTTTATATTATGACTATATTGGTGATAAATAAAATAATTAAATTCGAATATTAATTTTATTCAATAATTTAATTTTGTTTTACACAGGATTTAATCCCAATGGTAAGTATTAAAATTCAAATGGCACATATGTTGAAACATTTATTTTCTTTAATTAATTATGAAGTGTATAAAGACTTTCGCAAAGCTTAGAGTAGCTTCGCTTTCTAATCATTTCCTAATAACGACAAGAGAATAGCTTGAAGCGAAATATATTTTTATCTTATTATATACATATACATATACATATATTTCTAATTACTGTTAAAAAGTGTTTTTATATACTGTAACTGCCTTTTAAGACATTATATATGTATATAAATAGTTTTTATATCGCAGCATGCCGTCTCTGTTTCTCAAATACTTAGATCATATGTCTGAAAGAGTCAACTCTATAATATTTACGTTTTCTTAACGATCTTGTAAGACTTCTGATAGTGGTTGAGCTGGAAGTCAATTCCGAGGAGTGTGGGGTCCAAGCCAGCTATCGCTGTTGCTATGGGTCTTGCAATTGCAACTCCAGATGCTGCAACTGCTGTAGCCATGGGGCGAGATGCTGCTATACCGTTCTCACCAACTACAGCTAGACCTGGAATATTTTCAATTTTAACTTTAATTATTGCTTATTGCGGAGAGATGATTGTATGTAATGTAAACAACAAAAAAGTACTATTTTTATGAATGACACATGAAATAAAATTCTTAAAAAATACATTATAATTCTCGTTTAAAACAGGTAAAATTATGAAAAACTGCTATGTTCATGAAAATGATAAACCATACTGTAATAGGATTATTTTTAAGGTTGTAAAACACGATATATTAGTTAAACTTATTTGAAAATGATTTTCAACTTCGGCCCGACGTTTCGGATGCTTTGCAGCAGCCGTGGTCAGGGGGAGTCTCCCGTGTGTTTTTGTTAAGCGAGTAGTGATACTCGTAAAGTATTTAACATTAAATCAATAAAAAAATCAACGCACCAATTGGCTTAGCTTCTGAAACAGTACCCCTTTCAAGAACATCATCAACAACATCAGAATCATCATTGTCTGGGGCTGCAATACTTATCCCCTCTTCTCCCACCTTGAAAATAGATGATTTAAACTTATTTTATATTTTAAAGTAGAATTCGCATCGAAATTTCAATCTTAACTTTTATTCATTGAGGTTCAATATCCTATGCCTTGCAGCGCAGGAAATATAAAATAAATCATTTCATACAGCTTGGTGTAGTTTTTAAATCTCAAACCTTGGTGGAAATTTCCGTAATTCGAAAAAAACAACACTCTCAATCGATTAAAAATAAGATGAAATTAAATATAATATAATATTAAATTACAGTTCTTGCTTTAAGAGAAGAGTCAGCAAATAAGAAACAAAAGACTACCTACATCATCATCATAATTCTCGCCATATTTCCTTTGACCCAAGCCTGACTTCAAAGAACTAGCAGTTGTGGAAGTGCTGGTTGTTGATTCTTGCTTGTTCTTCTTGAACAAAACATTTACATCACCACCTATATCATCGATGATCTTAACGGTATTCGATGCTGTCTCTTCTAAAAGACCTAATTGAGTTTCAAATCTCTCCTTTTCTCTATCACTCAGATAGCCGAGCCTCTTTCCTAAATTGTATATTCTAAGTACCGTTGACGATAAAGACTTTAGTTGAGATAGGTTCGTCGCAAACATTTTCGCTTGAAGATTGTCATCGTTGCTTTTAAATACATTCTCATTCGTGATACTTTCTTCTGGAACAATTTTTTCGCTTAGAATCGAACCTCGTGTGTCCTTCCTTATTTCCAAGTACTGACCTTTTGCACCACCGTAAAATGGTAAGTATAGGGTGGAGTCGCTGAAAATTAATGATTAGTGTTATTTTTTTTGACTTTGGGTTAAAAAAGTCTTTAACATTAGTAAATATTACTTTACCTGTACTTAAATTAAATAATTTTGTTTAGGAAATATGTAATTTGTAGGTAAAGTTAGAGTCCTATCATCTGCTTTTATATAGTTTGAATCGTATAACTGTATTAATTATTTTGCGGAACTAGATTAGTACAAATGTTGCCACGAGCCGTAACGGATCTCATCATACGTTTTTTTATTATGAGCGCCTGAATAAAACATTATAGCAAAAGCTTCAAAAACAATACTTGTGTAATTTAAAATTGAGTTTAATTTTGACGTCAGGGAAATGAACTATTATTTAGGGGATTTAATAAAAAAACTTCCTAAATTATAAGCATTTATTGGTAAATATAACATTATTTTGCTAACGACAAAACAATTCTAAAGACAATTTTAAAGTGAGTCAAAATTATCTTCCGGAATTTTGTTAATTCGTCACTACTAAGAATTATCTTCGTATACATATAGTTCAGATAGTGCATGCGCTATCCCTCCAGGGCCAGCCACGGCAGTTGCTAGAGGTTTATGCACTACTGAACCTTTCTCTCCCCCTCTGATGAATACATATGAGATTGGATTGGCTATAGCTGAACCTTCGTTGCCACTGACCGCTCGAGCTTGAGGGTCAACGTATAAAACAAACTTGGATTCTCTAATTGGTTTTTCTATAAACTTCATTCCATTGTAATAATAGGTATCCTTGCTGTCGTGTCGTCCAAGGCTTACGGGTCCTTCTTCCGGGTCCGCGTATCTAGTTACAAATAATTATAAGTTAATACTGATGTAGTTAAACACTAAAAAGCGAATTCACGTTTGCTCATTAGGATGGTAGTAAACCACAGGTCCAGTTGCGACTAATTTTCCTTCTCTAATCGGTTGTTTTGAGCGTGGCACTGTACTGTCCTGCTGGATACGCGTTATAAGGGAATGCAAATCTACATCTGGGGATAGGGCTACGACTCTAGCTGCCGGTCCGGCTACCGCTAACCCACCTGGTTGTGTATAGGCCAGGCCACCTGGACCAACTATCGCCGTGCCTCCTCTACCCGCCGTTGCAACACCACCCGGGCCTGCTATGGCCACACCACCTTTTCTAACCCTTAGTTTGTTTATGAAGAACCCAGGACTCGGCGCAACAGGCTTTTTGTTACCAAACCAACCGAAATCACTAAATGGAAATCGCAAGTCACCAGACTCCTCGTCTTTTTGTTCTTCGATCTCTTCAACTATGTAAGGCTTTTTAGTTGTTTTCCTTGTATTTGTCGTTACTGGTTTAGTGACGTAGATCTTTTTCGCTTTTTTGTCTGAATCTACTTGTTGGGTGGAAGGGTTATTGTTAATTGTACGCTTCTTTAAAGCTCGCCCTTCTCTTGTGTGGTGTTCTTCTAGAGGATTTAAATTAGTTTCATCAGCGGGAATATTTTCAACATATACCTCTTCTGTGTTGTCAATATCTTCAACAGATTTCTGTTTCCTTGAACATACGTCAGCGCTTTGGCCATATTCAAATAAATTGTTCCAACCACCACCTTGACTTAGAGTTAGGAATGGATCTTTTATGATAAGTGGAAAATATTGTGCGAAGGGCCACTGAAGCTGAAAGTTTTGAAATGGAAAAGATGGCAAGGATGGAAGCGAAGGAAAATTGAAAATTGGTTGTCGTCTCGTTTGGTACATGTCATTCTGTGTTTGTTTGAGATCGTCATAACCGTCAATACGATTGTTATCCACATTATATGGAATAATTAAAACAGGAATATTCGTCATATAAGGAAACGGAGTGACATTAGGCCCCATATTCATTAGATTAGATCTAAACTTAGCTGCTCTAGAGTTCACATAACGCTGACTTTCTTCTTTATTTTGGACCATATTTGTTTCCTCTTTTGTATCAATATCAATATCAAGTTTACCGGAATCAATCGCATTTTTGATTTTCTCTAAAGTTTCTGCGGCAACTATAAAACTGCCTCCCTTAGGTGTTGAGATACGATATCTGTGAAGAATTGGCTTCTTAAGCGCATCGTTAACACCTTGAATTTTGTCAAGAATATTCCCAGTATTTCCTTCCTTTATTTCAATATCAGAGTCTTGTAAGATCTGATGGTCGGTCACTGTTTCATCTGTGTTTGTAACAGGTATCTCTACTTTTAAAGGCGACCTAGAAAATGGATTTCTTGAATTATATTTTGAGATTGTTTATAGCATTGGGTATAAGCTGAAGCTAATGTTAAAAGAATATAGCATACCTGAACCATATGTACTTCTTTGAGTTAGTTGGAATGTGCATATCCCGTTGGAAAGCAGTGAATATTATTTTTCCTTTGCGATTAGTAACAGCGATGACAGCTATCCACAGAACTACTTTAATTTACAATTTTTTTTTACGTATTTCGTCGCTCTAATTCTCTGTAACGCTCTAATATATTTTTTTAACTCGATAGCGTTATAATTAAAAATCACGACTTGAATAAGTCGATCAGCAGCACGTTTGTGGACACGGGTGCGAGACCCGCCCGCATCATTATTATTTTTTAACTATAATACATTTTAATAATTAACTTTAAAAAGTTTAAGGTGCATCTACTTTATATAAGCTTTTTATTATAATAGTCGTAAAATATATAAATGTCCATTTTATTACTAATATACATAACGCAATTTTTAATACAGATCCTACTATATTTAAATATAAGAAATCAGTTAAAAAATCGCGAAATTACTGTGTCCATTTTACTAATAGATATTATACATCCAAATATGATTATATATTGCGGGCGGGCCCCCCCCGCCTTAAACAATGGTAAATGTATTCAACGATTACAAGAGCTTTCTTATCGAGTAGTATAAGATAATTATTTTTAAATGTTTATTGTGTGGTCGATAGCTACTTCTATAAATGGACATATTTATGCATTCATACAAGGTATTTTATACTTTTCCTTATGAAATTAAAGACATTTCCTTACGATCGAAAAGTTAACAGTATTATATTAGACTACATTGAACTTTAGTAAAGTTGGTATTATTCCCCATTTAATAAACATATATACATATACAACGATATAAATAGGTTATGCCGATGATGTTCGGTCGTAAGAAGAATTATTGACAGAACAGCTTTCTCTGCAGTTCAGTTTGACTTTTTTTCTTTATTGATCGATGTTTTTATGTTTCTAGGAGATTAAAGCGCTAAATTACAAATATATTTATATATTATTATTATAGACCTTCCCGCAAGTGTAACTAAGTGCCAAAAAAAATACTAAGTTATAGTGCTTACTCATTATTGGACGGTCGCGATGATACATTGCTAAGGAGAAACGCTGTTGTTAACTGAAAAAAAAAATGGTAAAATAAACAAAAATGCACAAAATTTAGGCCTTTTAATATAATATAATTATGTATTTTTTTATTTCTCTGTTTCTCATATTTCTCTTTTACTTAAAAAAGTTGTTACAGAGAATTTACGTTATCCAAAGCAAGCAGAAACAGCAATAATACTATTAAAAACGGTCTAATTATACACAAGATACTTTTAACGCGTTGAAACACGTTAAAAGTATTTTATTAGTTAATAAAGTAGTCTAATGATTTATTTTTCGAATTAGGTACATTCCTATGTAGTAAATTTACAAAGTACAAATAGGCTAAGAAAGTTTTTAATTTTTTTTCTGTATGAATATGTTAGTATGAATTGATCGTTATAATTCTTCCCTTGCTAATAGAAAAACCAGACATACAAAATTATGTCGTGTTATGCAGTGAGTAATAAATATATTTGTGCCTAGCTGTGCCATTGTGCATTATTTTGGGCATCCAAATTAGTTTTTGCAAACCCCGTCATCTTTATAGACTTAAGCTGTTAGCCACGACGTCGATCGCGTCCATTCCCGTCTTTCTTACAAGTTAACCTTAAAAGATCGACTTAAAGCGTTGTGGACTTTTTTTTGATAATTAGAACGGAAACCATTCTTTCATACACATTTTTTAGCCATCTTAAACCGTTTTCGCGGCGTACGCATCTGAAACCCACAGAGATGAAAAAGTTCCCCGGTTTTGTTCATATTTGCCGCTGTATCTTCACTTCTATTAGTCACAGCGCGATGTTTTATAGCCTCTCTCGATAAATGTTCTAACTAACACAACATACAATAATTTTTCAATTCGACCCCGTAGTTTTGAAATTAGTGTGTTTAAACAAACAAACAAACTCTTCAGCTTTATATATTAGTATAGATACGGTTGTATTAGTGGCAAGCAAGTCGTAGAACACAAATGAAACTAGGAAAAAAAAACAACACATAAAGCGGACGTATATGGTAACTCTTAATTAAATATAACCGCAAAATTCGATGAGTAATCCTCTCATCAATAATTATACGAAGATAACTGTTACATGGTTATATCTGACCCCAAGTTCAGCTGACCGAGAGAAAGAAACGGTGCGTCCAAAAAAATTTAATAAGTGCTTCATAAAGACGAGAAAGGTAGTTGTGTTGGCGTTTTTGTATCGACCGTTATAAGACTCCTTGTTTATCGTCAATGATACTAAAGTAGATATTTATAGGCATCTAATTGTGTCCCTTTTGATTCTCTAATATATATAGGCCGCCTTGCACAAAATATTTTATTTTATTTAAATAAATTTAACTGTCTATGTTCCTATGTTTGTGCAATAAAGAGTTTATTATATTTTGTAACATTGTGAATATTTCAAACAAACTCTGTCTTTACTGTTAAAGACACGTCGGACGCGTCCCGTCGTTTTTGCAAGTTAATCTTAAAAGATAGACATGTATAGTCGCGGAATTTTTTAGTTACTTATATAGAATTACTTTCATACATATTATTTTGGTTTTCTCGAACTGTTGTAGGACACGGAAGGAAGCCCTTAAAAATCCCCATTTTCCCACATTCCTCCCTATTTCTTCGAAACTGTTGTTCTTGAGATTAGCTCATTCAAACAAACAAACTCTTCAGCTTTATATATAAATATAGAGTATAGATTTTATTTTTATTCTGTATGTTATGAATTGATAGTATTATTGAAGCCAATTCGAGATATATTTGTCGAGTAAAAACAGTAGGTGGCGAAGTCCTATATTACCTTTTATTTTTTGCTCTTCGCGTCCTGTCAGACTATAGTTCAGTGGAACAACTTTATAAGTCAAGGTCAGAGTAAATGTTAATTAAATATTTATGCACTAGATTTTTATCAGGTTTTAGGTACTCGTTAGAAAAGCTATTTAAGACTAAATATAATACACAACAAATTTTCTTCACTCGTGTTCCGCGGTCGAGTGTAGGCATACTATTTTATCAAAGCAAATTTAATTGTTTTTACTTAGTCATTTGTAAGTTCGAAGTACTACAGTATTGACATAGTTTAATATTACCAATATCAACCGATTAGTACAAACCCTAAATACTCGTCTCTATAGATATTTAATACGTTCTGAAGTTAGTTATTGGTTTTCTTTTAACTTATAAAACCCAATTAAATTAAAGTTTTCTTTATAGTAGTACACATTTAAATAAAACGGTTTAACGCAAAACGCAATATAGATTAATGAAACTTATTTGGATTTTACTTTAACTACCGCCCGACGTTTCGGATGCTTTGCAGCCGCCGTGGTCACGGGGAGACTAAATATGGAGGGTGTGTTTAATGTCAAAGTGAGAACTACGCTTACACCATCTGTTTCGTCGAAGTTGATATTTGGCGAAACTGGCCGGGTCCCGCAGAATTGACTAACGGTGTCTTCGGGTTTGCCGGTATGCCAAATTTTTAAAAGTTAGGATTCCAAAATCAAAAATAATTTGCAAATAAGTTTCACTAATACATATCGTGTTTTAAATCGTTTTAAGATATACATATAAGATACCTTTCTCGTCTTTATTTCAAATTTTATTTAAAAGCCTTTTATAAATATTCCACGACATAATTCTCACTTAATAACATGAACTGTACAGAGTCGCATGCGCATTTTAATGTCAATGTGAATCAATCTTCCGTGTGTAATTTGCGCGATGAATGTCAAAATATAATTGGTACTGACGTTAAGTATTTCAGCATTGCAGTTTTTATGCTTCGTTTAATTAATTGCTTCACGAATTAATATTTATAGCATCAAATATAAACCTAGGCAGGAAGCGATTTCCGTGGTACATGAAACATCATGCCATGCTTATAACATCTCACAATGCTGTCTGTAGGTTTACGCGAGTCGTACACAATTCTATAAAACACTTTGACAGTTTAAAACGTTATCCGTATTCTAAGTTCGACGTTATGCATTCCGAGAATAAAGCACATTTATCTTAACACAAACAACGGTGAATAATTTTTTTAATACAAAAAACTGTAGACTTTTAACGATTCAACAATCGAAAATGCATAGAACGTACTCGTGAAATATTGGTTTAACAATGTACCGTACAAGCACGTAACTGACCTGCAAAGATTAAGCTTACGCACTGTGCATATCGCTATTTTATTTTGACTACAAACAAAAATATATGCTCAATAAAGCCTATTTCTTTATCATTAAAGAGAAGAGACAAGCACTTGATGGAAGGTGAATGAACCATGGTCATATATTTTTTAAATGATAAATAATAATTTTAAACAAGAATGTCGCGTAACAAAATCACAATACTTGAGTTTAAAAATAAAAAAATAGCAGTGATATGGTAAAAGCCACTTGGAAAATGATAAATGAGGAGACTGGGCGGATTACACATAGATTAAGATTATAGATTACATGTCGATGGTAGACTAATCAGTTCAGACGTCGTGGTGGCTTCTACGTTTGAAAAGTTTTTTACCGACATTCCACTTCACCGCCGCTTCTTTTTTAGACGCCCACATGTTTAACAAAATGTACCAAATTTGTTTCTAATAGCATGTTCAACTTCAGCTATATAGATAGAAATCACATTATTAAAACTTTTAAACTACTTAAAGTAAAAAAATCGAAAGATATCTGGGGTGTATCAGTAATAGTTTTACAATCCGTAATTGACATTATTGGTTCGGAACTAGCTATTATATTTAATCGATGTGTTGATTGTGGTGTCTTCCCTAGTAAAATGAAATTAAGTAAAGTTATAGCATTTGGCTAAGGCGGGTAGCACTACTGATCCATCAAACTTTAGGCCCGTCTCTGTGTTGCCTGCTTTAAGTAAAATTTTTGAAAAAATCATGCTAGATCAGCTGATGCATTTTTTTAATAACAATAAGTTTATGCACAACAAACAATATGGTTTTACGAGTGGTCGATCTACAATTGACGCTATACTACAAAGATTAGTTAAAATAAATGTTTATATTCCCTAATGACGTTTAGAAAATAGTGATGTTATCAAACAAATTGTACCGCCTTTATTGTTAAGTTAATTGTGCAGTGAGTAAGCAAGACCGAGGTCAAATCAGAAAGACAATACTACTATATAATACTATAACTGGACTTAAGATATGTATCATGACCTCAAGAGGCAGATGAAAACGAGCAAAACACGACTAGAAAGTATATAGACGTTTAAGATTAAAATGAACAGCACGTAACAAAATAAATTCTAACAATTAAATAACGTTTTTAAATGGAAATCCTTAAATATTCCTAATAATTACGTATATTTTTAATAAGGCCCGGCCTTTCGGATGTCCTTCAGTAGCCATGGTCACGCGGGGAAGGCAACAATAATGTACTATTAGTGTAAAATACAGACAATACTTAAATTCTAGCATCAATTAAAGAAACTCCGTATGTTGAAACAACGAATCCTGCCAACCTAATTATAGGCGAAAGTGTGTCTTGCTGGGCTGATGTTAGGAGGCTGTATGTTTGTCAATGTTTTACGCAAAAAAAAATTGTCTTTAAAACCACTACGATCTACTATTGCTTTTTTATAGAAAGAGTCTTACAATATTTACAACAAGAGAACATACTGTTACCGGAACTAAATGTGTTGACTAGCATAGCATTTGTATTTAAGCGCCAGAGGGTCCGGGCTTGAATCTCGGAAAAACAATAAATTCTTCCAGTCAAAGAGAGCATAGAAATCTGATCAATCTACCTATCAATAGAGCCGATTAGTTCAACAGTCTTAAATATGTATTCGCCACACGGATAAAAGATTTTGTCTGATTTTTTGAAAACGTGTCCAAAATTCTACAGGTACGCGTCAAAATTTACAATTGGCCGTGGCAAAATGATGCGTAATTCAAAGTCAAGTTTACGTAGTACGCTGTTTTAACGGCTCGCTGTTGAATGTCAGTAATGTAAATAAACAACTAGTCGTGGGTTCGATAACCACCGGGTCGAACATGTTAGACTTCGTCTGGAAATGTGGATATTAAAGGCACGAACCACTGTCCACAGATAAAAAATCCAAGGGTTTCGGTTTCAGCCTGTAGATTTCCGAATATACAAAGCCAAAATAGATAGACTTACATGTTGTATGACTGGGGTATATCACATACCATCAAGTGATCATGTTTATCCTCCTCTGTGATAAAAAAGCATATCTCTCAGCATTACAATATAATTCTTAATTATAAAGAAACACATTTTTAATTATAGTTGAGGACATACAAGCATAGGTACACTTGATCGAAAGTGCCCCACCTATATGTTTAAACAAGATGCATTTATATACTGTCTATAGTTTACGCGAGAAGTGCACATAAAACACTAACCCTTTAAAACGCGATATTTTTGTTCCGCCCTTTTCCCCCGCCGGGGGGTCCCCCCCCCCCCGCCGCCCCCCAAACCACCCCAAAGGGGGGCGGGAGAAAGGAGAAAGTATCATTTCAAACAAGATGCATTTATTATCCAGATTTCCAAACGAAGTCCAACATGTTTTGGAAATAATATAAATTGAAAAATTAGAAACATGTCGGACCCGATGGGTATCGAATCCACGACCCGTTGATTTTTATCCATACATTGCTACCATTAGACCATCTAGCCCGTTGACCTTTTACAAAGGTCAGTGACCTGCGAGACAAAAAAGCCCGATGTATATAACGCGCTTAGTCATAAAATTTGTTAAGTATTTATTATGTGATTATAAAATGTTGTTTTATTATATTTGAACATCTGATCTTTTGGCATTCAACGTAATTGAGGGTTAGAAATAATGAAGTAATAAATATTTGAAAAAAACAACACTATATTGCCGTGATTTTAAAATGTGAAGGGTAACGAAAACATAAATTTAAATTTGTTTTGAATATGTTATAGAGCCCCATCAGAATCGGTTTAGCCGTTTAGTGAGACTATATTTACATGGATCTACATACAAAGTAAGTTTTTAAACTGAAACGATTGGTAACATTTATACATAACAAATTTACCAGTTTAAAACGAGCAATATTTAATTTATTTTTATTTAAATACAATACGACGTTTGGTTTGCTTTGTAATGTGTATTATTTAAATAACATAAATATGCTACAAAACGTATTAAATTTCGTAGCTAAGTTTGAAAAATAGGTGAAAAGGTTTTGGCTCACACCACACATACATATCCACCTCTGTAGCCGAATGATTAAACGTATTGCCTAGCAATGCGTTAAGCCCTGGGGGGCCTGGGGGGGAATTCCGGAAAAAAAAAAATTTTTCCGCCCGGGGGGGCCCCGGAAGCCGCACCCCCCCCCGCTTGTATAAAAAACCCCACCCCCGAAAGGAAAAAGAAAGGGGGGCGCCCCCCCCCCCCCCGGGGGGGGGGGGAAAAAACAACAAAATGATCCTAATAATATTACATTTTTACATCCGTTTTACAAATCGGATTTATTCTGCCTGACCGAAACAATTTGATTGTTACGCCGGGATTCGAACCCAGGGCCTCTAATTCTAACTGGGCGTTTAACCATGGAGTAACCATTTAAAGGTTGCTTTTTTTCTGGAGAATTTGATCTCAGCTTTTCCGCAGGAAAATCATTAGCTAAGTAAAAGCGGGTTAGCTCCGCATAATTTTCTTGAACTTTCTATCAGAAATAGGTTGCACATTGATGCTAATTAGACAATATTATGTGTGGTCAGGTCATTAATTTGTGAGAGTTGAAGAATTTCGCTAGTGATCTTAGTTATTTACTTTCGACTTTTATAAGAAAAAAAAACAACCCCGTTTTTGTTCTGATATCACATTTGGCAATTTTAATCTATATCTGTACTAATATACAAAGCTGAAGAGTTTACTTGTTTGTTTGTTTGTGCTAATCTCAAGAACTACTGGTTCGAATTAAATTGAATATAGTTATAGGCTATAAAAAATAGTTGATAAGGTAAAGATAAAGATAATAATATAAAATATATATAATAATAGTTGATAATAGGTTAAATTACATACGATAGTCTACTGGTGTCAATGTATTTTTAGTAATGAACGGGTCGTGGGTCGAACCCCACTGGGCCCAACATTCTAATCGACAAGGGTTTTGAGCAGCACAGATCGCTATAGTTGCCGATTCATGTCCCGGCGGTGTCATATATTTTTCAATCAAATTAGATAGTTTCTAATCAATTTAAAATTTATAATTCCGACCACTGTTAAGTCTTTGGATTTCCGAATGTCCAAAGCCATAATTGGTCGACAACATCTCCTTCAAATGTTAAGATGGCTTTTGGCAAGCGTATTCTTATCTATTTTCTACTGGCATAAAAATAAGTGGCGGGCTGTGTGCCCGCGACTCGAACCTAAGACATCTTCAAATTAAGCCACCTACGTTTGTAGCTTTAAGCAAACTTGCAGTGACATTTAGATTAACTATTTTTAGCGTGCTTCGTGTTTTCCCTTATTTATTCGTTTGTAGGTTGGGGCCGGCCAAATAAAGAAAATACAGGTTTTATCAAAACCACAAAAAGAGTCATTCGCTCAAGCAGGTGATCGACTTTCTACGAAGGTGAAGGTCAGTACTTGAATATACCCTAATTTTAAAGTTTACCTACAGTATAATTTAAACATAATTGATTGATTGAATTTGACGTAAAAAGATAAATTTAAATAAAACACTTTAACGGTTTAAATCGCGAATTAGTCTGTTGCAAAGAATTCGAAACGTCGGGCTGTAATTAAAATAATTTTCAAATAAGTTTAACTAATATATATCGCGTTTTAAACCGTTAAAGTGTTTTATTAAAATGTGTACCACTCGCGTAAACTACATACAGTATGAAAAGATAAAGTTCAAAGTTAGCTAATATTCTATTTGTTTTTTTTTTCTAGTTGAGAGAAACGCTACTAAATATACAGATGCGGGATGTATTCAAAAAACGGTTTAAAATTGAAATTTTTAAGATAAAAATCGATAGTAGATACGTAAAGTAAGGAATGTGTAAAAAAACTTTTTACACTCTAGGTGTGATTGTTAACACTATATTGCTAAATTAATATGAGATAGAGGATAGATTCGGCGTTTGATTGTTATAAATTCTGTTGGGTACTAATTAGGATCGTAAATTGACAATTTGGATTTTAGCGCGATGTTCATAATAAGGGTTCAATCAACTTTGATTTGATCTTTACTTTTTGTACCTGTTTTAATTGCTCCCAAAATGGCTATGTAAAACATGAATATTTGAATGAATAAAGAACATAAAAAATATTATATTTATGTTTAAGTTGCTACGTTAATTTAGTACACAGTTCGTGACCACAACTGCTGCGAAGGCTCCGAAACGTCGAGCCGTAGTTAAAATAATTTTTAAATAAGTTTAACTTATATATATCGCTTTTTAAACCGTTTAGGAGTTTTTTTATTTATTTAAAAGTGTACTACATGCTAAGGCGTAAACTAAAGCCGTTCAGTGTCTATAGGTCTCCTCCAATAGAACAGATAGTATTTGTCAACAACCACTAAATTAAGAAAACTAAGTATTACACAATTAGTTCACAAGTTGACCTATTTTGGCTTTGGACGTTCGGAAATCCACCGACCGAACACAGATTTACCATTGCACACATCTTTTCGACCCAGATGGTAATTTAATTAAATGTACAGAGGATCAAATAATAAAGAAAGAAGTGCATACTTATTTGAAACATAATAATTAAATCCTATCTGTAGTTTACCCGAATGGTACACACTTAAATAAAACGCTGTAACGGTTTAAAACGCGATATGTTGCAGCCGCCGTGGTCTCAACTTGACCACGACTGCTGCAAAGCGAAACATCGGGCCGTAGTTAAAATAATTTAACTAATATACATCACGTTTTAAACCGTTAAACTGTTTTATTTGAAAACGTTATAATTATGTACATTAGCACTATAGATAAAAGCTACTATTAAACAAAAATATCTAATGATGCAAAAAAAATGATTTAGGAGAACTACTAGCACTTAGTGCTTAAAAAATGTGATTGACATTAAACCAACCTTGACATTAAAATCTCAAATTAAATGTAGGTACTCTTATTTGTAATAGAGTCGTTACGAAGTCCTTTTCGTTACATTTTTATTTATATACGCGTTCTGCTTAGTAAGATCTTTTATTAGAATTAGCGTAACATAGCTAATAGTTTTAGGGGTGCTCCGCAAACAGACAGAAAAAAAGTAATTAGAAGTAGAATAAAGATATTAAAGAAGTTAAATGCAAGACCATGTAATAGTTATAAAAATAATGATCACTTTAGCGTTAAAATTGCTTTGGTTCATATAGATTTTTTTTTGTGTTTTTTTATGTAACTATTATTGATATTATGTCGACTTACCACGAAAACAAATAAATATTGCACCATTTTCGACGTGCGCGCGTCAACACTGTCCACTTTCAAGTTTCAAATTGGTCACTTCGCGACAGCTTTTTGCTAACTTTAAAGTCCCAACCACGCGTTCTCACCGCTGAGACGAAGAAATCTCGAATCGAGCACTTAGCACTTGACATTTTGTGTGTCGATCATATAGGTATTTAAATGGCATCATATTATGACATGACTAAATTTTAATTCGTATAATTTTCAGAAGGTAAACTCTGAGCTAATTTGTTCTATTTAGTACGTTCATCATATTGAATATAAATTTAATTGGAAAATTAAAGTATTAACAGTAGACAGGTATTAAGTTATAATGTCTAATTGTGTAACGTCAATATAATAACATAATAAATAATAATCACAGTAATATCTCTCTTTATAAAATATAGACATTCAGTATCTGAACCCTTAAAACAAAATACAGAAAACGTTATTTTCATGGTTTTAAAATGTAATCATAATTAAGATGAGAAGCGTACGTTCGAGTACCATTAGTAGGGCGTTGTGTTTCTCACCTTTATTGTGAAAGTTCGACTCACCTTATAATTTTTTTCCACTAGATGAAGCTTTGTTAGATTGTAAACTATATATTATAGACCAATTCAGTTGTTATTATTTTATCTGGCTTTTATTTGGGGTTATTCATATTAATTTCGCTTGTTACGACTTCCACACAAGTTCTCGCTTCTGGTTTTCGAATGAAAAATTCTCAGGCGCATATTACCACAGTACACCGAACGTTTTTTTTATAAGAGAGGAGACGACAACTAAGAGGTTCATTTGAAGGTATGTAAAATACCCTAGCTTATAGCACATCTAAACAAGATGCGCGGTCGACCTATTTTCACTTCGAATGTCGGAAATCAGACTCAAACCGAAACGTGATTAAACTTCTCGGCCTTTTCATCTGTGTACGGTGGAATGTTTCTGAAATTTCTTTCCTATCTTTTAAAAGCTTCCTTTACAAACATTATTGTGTCCATTTATTATTATACAGTTTAGTTCATTGGTCACTATCTATTTATGTTCGTATGTAGGTATTCTTGGTTTGAGTTTCCTTAGTAAAATGTAGTAAATGTTTTTAATTTTTTTTTTTGTAATTACTGAATACATGCTTTTGTTAAGAATTATTCAATTCTAATCATTAGTTTCTTAGATTAGCGAAATGAAAAAAAATTGGTAAAGACTGCTTACGTGTATAAATAACGCCTTGTCTCATTGCTAAGGCAAACATGTTTAATATAAAAGACGGTAATAGTAGACATTTTTTCATTCAAAATATATAAATAATTTTAAAGAGCCATACATTTTATTCAAAATGATTGCCAATGTAGATGATTTAAGAAATTCCTAGCAAGGATATAAAATTTACGATTGAAAATGGAGCAAGTTTTATTTATGATTGATCTGTAACTGGTTTTACATAATTCGTCCGCTAATTATCTTTGAAAACTTACATTTCTAGATACTTAAAAGTAACGTCGAGGTTCACGTTTCGGTATGAGCTTATAAGTACAATTTTAGTTGGCGATCAAGATAACTTATTGTACTTATAGATTGATAGACTTTATTTGAATCATTGAGAGAGGCATGGACGGGTATATTTGTGTGTATATCATTTTAGTTACAGTATAAAGCTTACTTGATAAAGTTAAGGCCGACGATTTTAAACTGTGTGACTAAAGGTTATAAAAGGCACATCTATATAATGATATTACTTTTATATAAATAAGAGTTTGTATGTTTGTTTCTTTGAATGCGCTAATCTCGGGAACTACTGGTTCAAATTGAAAAACTCTTTTTGTGTTGGTGAAAGCTCATAGGCTTTAAAACATCGTGCTGAAGAATGAGAAGTAGAGATTTGTGGGTTTCCCATATGTATGCTACGAAACTGGTTCAAGATACCCAAAAAATTTATGAAAGATTGATTCCTCTTTTAATGATAAAAAAATGCCTGTCTTTTAGGATTAACTAACAAAAACGACAGGATGTATTCAACGTCGTGGGTAGCTTAAATGTGTAAAGAGGAAAAGAAGGTTTGCAAAAACAAATTTGGATCCCTAATTATTATTCTATGCGGACGAAGTCGCTGACACAGCTAGTAGTATTATATAGTTAGCATCAAAGAAAGAAAAATAATACTTCTAATTCAAAATCGATTCTGCAAAATTTTACTTAAATACGTATGACAAGTAAGGATATTAACGGATTTCTTAAGATGGGCATAATCCGCTCTATAAAAGGAAAGCCGTTATAGGTGTTTCAACTTGAGATTTTATATTTATTATCCTACGAATTAGCATATTTATTATTTAAGACTTGTTTCTAACATACATTATGTCATAAATTAGAAAATCAATGTGAACCGTGAACAAATTTCCTTAAAATAACTTCATAAACACTTTATTAATTGTAACAGGAAATATATCTCTATATCTATAATCTTCTAATCTATAATCTTATTTAATTATTCGACTTCAATAAAAAGTTTTCAATATATATGAATTAAGCAAAACCAAAGGTAATTTTTGCTTTTTAACAAACTGAGCCCTTTATAAATCTGATTTAAACTAAAGAAAGATTTATACTTTAACATAAAAGTTTAAACCCAAGCTGGTACCTTCATTTTAAATTAAAGTCGCGATGTCAAAGTATAAAAAGCAAAATACTAAATTATTTATTTCAATAATATTAAAAAGTAATGAGTATCAAGAAACTGCATAAAAATACATATGACTATCGATTCTTAAAACCTAAAACCTTCCATAATTTATAATCTACACTGATAAAAGTATTTGCAACAAGTGACGACCGTCTCTGCTCTTACCATCTTTCCATGAATTCGTTTCGCACATCATCATATCCTCTTCAACCTTACCATCAGCTTCGATCTTTATATTCTGCCTCACTGCGTTTGGTGTACGCTTTGGATCCCCCGTACTGCTTAGACCTGGATCCGCTCTCTCCAACTTGATCTCCTGGTTGATATTAAATATATTCTGTGGAGTAACATCGTTTAAAGTGTTGTTATTTTTACGTCTCTCCAAACGTATATCGCTCTCTCTGTTGCTCACTGAACCTCTAAAATTAACTATTACTGTCGGTTTCACTACTGTTTGCGTCTCCCGATTGCCAATTTGGCTCTGACCGGACATCGAATTCGGAACAGGTTTTTGTTCTAGTTCTTCAGCCTCTTTTGTTTTCACTTTATTCTTTATAACTGGTCTGGGTCGTTTTGTTTTTTTCGGTTTTATGGTTGTCGTGTCACTATCTTCTGGTGCATTGATGTATAGCACTATTTCTTCTTTAGGCAATTCAGCAATTGTATCGTTTAGGTCTAAATTCTTTGGAAATCGGTATTTGAGAGTGGGCATTTCGAGTCTATCGTTTCGTCGTGGTACAAAATTGACGTCGTTCGGCTGCTGTAGGTCGTTTTCAAACGTAAACTTTTCGTAACTTTGTCCTAGGTTGTTTTCGTCGTCTGAGAATACTTCAGGTAATTGGGCCCTTATTCTGAGAGATTCTATGACGTCATGGAAAAGTGATCGTCTCTGTGGTACGGATGGTTCTCGATCTTTCGGCGGGTGAGCGCTGCATATCGTCATAACGTATACGACACAGATGAAGCACTGCATCTGGAAAATCAGTTCAAATTGATAAAAATAATAGTACTTTTATAAAACAATCGCTTTGATCGCCTGGAACTCTATTTTAATTAATTATTGCCTTAGAAAATTATTCTGTATATCAATCAACCTATGAGGTCAGTATTTACAATTTTATTCAGATTAAATTTTGATATTAATATAATTAATTATTTCAGTACAGATGACATAAGTTAATTTTATTAATATAATGTTATATGGGTGGTTAATAATATTATCAAATATAATGCAGTTATTAGTGGTAGAAAAGTAAGAATTGATACAAAGCACAATAAATGAAGTAAATGAGAAATTACCTTGAACAGGTGATATTTGTTGGAAAGTAATGGTCGTACTGAGTATGATCTGGGAGCCAAAGGGTTGATTGAACCGATGTGAACTAAGTCAGGTGTTCTCAATGAGCGTTACGTAACCATTCAAGGAAAATTTTAATCCGATAACAATAGTCAGATTGGTTTGCCAAGTCTTGTGTGTTCTTGGAATAAACTAGTATTACTTAGTGTTAAATTATATTTGTTTAACTTTTATGTTACTGTGTTGTTAAAATTATTTATTTATCCTTGCATTGTTTTGGGCAGTGAAATATATATTTTCAGATACATTTTATGCACCTTATAAAGAAAACTTTTTGAAGTTTACGCGAGTAGTACACATTTAAATAAAACACGACGACGAGTTTTGATAATATCTCTCGCAGCATTCGAAACGTGGATGAGTTTAACTAATATATGTCGTGTTTTAAGCCGTTAAAGTGTTTTATTTAAAAGAAAGCTACTGTTCTTGGAAAAAACAATAAAAGTAGGTATATTTTCTTCTTATCTATATGAAAGATACAGAAGTGATTCCAACATCGGTTATTATTTCGGACTATTTCTCGCATGTTTTTAATTGTTTAGTGAATTATTTGGAAATATAATTATGTCCGTCTCGTGTGTTGTTTTGACCATTTTTTAAATAAATGTGGCTTAAAGTTTAAACAGTACCGTCTACTGTATGACGGATATATTTGACGCGAATAAGTGAAGAAAAATATAATATTATGTAAAATTTACAAGTATTATTACGTTTGCGACACCTGACAATAAGTACCAACCTGTCTTGTCTAAGTCTGGAATGAAATTCATGCGGAACTTGAGTAGAAAATCTAGACTCTAATGTCTAGGCATACGGTAGACTTATTCAAGGTACTCGTAAGAAGTTTTTATGGACCTAGCAATAGCTGTGGCAATAAAATTCCCATTTAGCTCTGTATTGCGATTCCCGGTTGTGTATCGAACGATGTCCTTAATTGTATTTCCTAAAAAAGGACCATAAAAGAAACAGATTCAGAATTATGTCCGCCTCACGCCAATGTAGTAAATGATAGCCCGTTTCCCCCTCGTAGGACATGGGGCGAACACATTTCTGTGTCCGTTTCACTGATCAGTTCTTTTAATGGGCAAGTAGTTGATCAGACTTCTGTGCCCTGCCCTACCGAAACAATTGTTTTTTGTTTCCTGCTAGGCAATACGTTTAACCATTTGGCTACAGAGGCGATCGGCACGCCAATGTAGACATTATCATTAAATATAATGTACAATTACAAAAATTATTTATTGTCATAAAACAAGAAGGAGGCTCGTTAGTCTAATGGAGGCAGTGTATCGCTAATTATCAACGGGTCGTGGCTTCGATCCACACGGGGTTCGACATTTTTTAATTTTCAATTTATAATTTTTCTGAAACAAGTTGGACTTCATCTTGTTATTAAATCGGTGGTAGTAATATCGGAATTCCGTCCGCGTCACTACTCTACACCCTACTCATAAAAAAAGCCGTGAATTTAATCACTTGTCGGTTCCAGTCTGTCGATTTCCGAATATCCAAAGTCAAAATAGGTCGACAGCGCAAATTCGATCAAGTGAACCTAATGCTTGCCTACCCTCCTCTATTATTAAAACGCGTTGGAAATGAAAACACAGTAATAAAAGACATACATGACATCCGAAAGGTACTTATTTAAATGTAGATATATGATTGTATTAATCACTTCTGGAATGACTTAATAAATATAAATAAAATAATGAATAGCTGATTGAAAATAACGGGTTAAATACTGTCTGTAGTTTACGTGAGTAATACACATTTAAATAAAACACTTTAACGGTTTAAAACGCGAAATATATTGGTTAAACTTATTTGAATATATAACTACGGCCCGGCGTTTCGGATGATTTGCAGCAGCCGTGCTCTTCCCATGACGTGAAGACAATTTTCAAATAAGTTAACTAATATATAGTAAATAAGTATTTATTTAAATAACGGGTTAGCAAATAAAAAATATACACACAATATATTTATTTTTTACTTCGCTATTATCACAACACAATCGTTTATAAAATACATTAATTCCATATTACAACGCGTTATCGTAAGTCTTCATGATCTCAATAACTTTATCGTAAACAACTTCTTTCGCTTTCTGGCCCCACATGAAGTCCGCATGACTGAAAGTAGGTTCTGGAACCCTCACTTTGAACTTCGGACCACCTAGTTCCCTGTACAAGCGTTCAACGTCATTCAGATTTGCGAACGGATCCTGCGCTGAATAGTGAAGATACACTGGTGCTTTCAGCTGGTTGAGGTTGTAGTTTGGTGGTGTTCTTGAACCGTATACTATGAGGTTTATCACCTCACCATGGTCGTATCTTTGGAAGGTCTTCTCCACTATACTCTGACCGAAGTGGACGAGCTGCCGAGCCGATGAACCTGCCGGGGTGTGACCCAGTTTTACTGGAAACATTGTCTGTAAAAAAAATTTGGTTGGTGGTTGACTAAAAGACAAGTATACTTTGAATGTTGATTTAAAATATTTATCTTTAATTGTGTTTCTAAAAGGAAGATAAACAATTTATATTATATAATTAAGTTTAGAGTAAATATATAATAGCCGTCTCTGTAGCTAAGTGTGTTAAGTTCCTGGGTTCGAATAATAGGTTGTTTTCATCGAATTCAAACGATCGGTGAGACGGACATAGAAATGTGTCCGCCCCTTGCCCAATGGGGGCAGGGCGGATTTTACACAAAATATATATTAAGGAATTAAAACAAATTAACCGCTCTAAAACAATTGAAACTCGAACGCTAATAAATTTATTACATATTTCACGAGTGAAACAACAGTGTAACAAAAGTGTGTAAGTGTAAGTGTCGTGTGTATTTCTGACCAAGAGATAAAAACTATAAGTTGAATACTGTCTATGGTTTACGCGAGTAGTACCCATTTAAATAAAACACTTTAACTGTTTAAAACGCGATATATTAGTTAAACTTATTTGAAAGAGATTTTTCGAAAAGCATCCGAAACGTCGGGCCGAAGTTAAAAAAAGTTGTAGTGTAACTAATATATCGCGTTTTAAACCGTAAAAGTGTTGTATTTATACTAAATATGTTGTTTATACTAACTGCATTATGCTGCGGACCAGGATTCCATCCGGCGAAGAAGAAGACAAGACCACTGCACAAGGGTTGAAAAGGCTTTCCATCAGCACACACATTCATTCCCAGCCAGGTGAAAATGGGACTCCTAGGGAAAAGCTCCTTTAAGCCAAGGTCTCCCAAAAGTGCCTTAAAAGATATTAGTATTTAACTATATAGTATAGAATTGAAGCAATTTTATCTTAGTTAATTATGAGCTGTATTATGGCCAAACATTTACGCTTTGGAAAATCTAAATCAGTAAGTAAATTAGTTAGTAAATTAAGAATCTTTTAAATAAAACACTTTAACGGTTTAAAACGCGATATATTAGTTAAACTTATTTGAAAATGATTTTTAACTTCGGCCCGACGTTTCGGATGCTTTGCAGCACCGTTCATCGCGTTTTAAACCGTTAAAGTGTTTTATTTAAATGTGTACTACTCGCGTAAACTATAGACAGTATTTAAATTAAGAATCTATTCAGATTTAAAAATTACACAGCCTTTTGTTCTGCCTGATTTTTACCATGGGCAAGGCCATGTGAAAAACATCTAGTTCATCTCCTGTATCTATCTCCGCCAGGGTATCTTGAAAAGAATACCCAATAGATTTTTTTTAAGTTTATCCAATAACAACCTTATTTAGTCTATATTTCTTCCGCAATACTAGACCAAGACAGTTAACAAATTTTAGATACTATCAATTAATAACATCACAAATTCTTTCAACTAGTGTATACACAATCTTATTTTTATCTAGCTATTTATTCTTATTCTTCTACTTCTTTTCAGCACTTACTTCTAACTCTTTTCTATGCGGCGCCAACAAACCGAATAAAGGATTCTGGTTATGTGCCAGATATGCTACTGGAGCCAACGCGTGCATGGAGATGATCTTCCTATTATAATCTGGTCTAAGAGACCCCATAACAAAGAAAACGGTCGTCCCTTGCGACATGCCAAGGTAATGCAGGCGTGACTGTCCAGTTTGTGTTAAAATGAGGTCGATCATGGCTGGCAAGTCCATGTTGCCAATTTCATCCCAGGAGAAGTCCCAGAAGGTTCCTTTACCGTTGTTTGGGTTTAGAGTAAGATGTCGCCTAGAGTAGTAGGTTCCTCGCGCGTTACCTAACCAGACATCATAACCAGCCTCTGCTAGGATATAAGCTGTAGAGAGGAAATAGTGACAAAATGCTTTAAATTACATATTAGACTTTACCAAGAGTACTGTGCTGTATTGTACTGTACTATAAGTACTACGGTACGGTATGTTTGAAACATACTTATTCGCTAAGTCTAATCTATTAAATACTCTCTGTAGTATTTATCACTTTAACGGTTTAAAACGAAATATATATTTGTTAAAGTGATTTGGAGATTATTTTAACCACGACCCGACGTTTCGGATTCTTTGCAGATGTCGTGGTCACGGCGTGTATCGCGGCTTAAGCAGTTAAAGTGTTTTATTTAAATCTAATCTATTGAATCTAATCCGTGTTGTACATACAGACAGACAAATAAAATTCAACACTTTCTGTACCAAAACTACCGCCACAATTTTCTAAATAGTGAGTTCTTTAAGGAGGGTATGTCGCTTCGTTGCGTAACGCGTTACGATGTCAGTCTATCTAGCTTTCATTTTAATAAAAAAAATATGTATTTTTAAGTTGTATCTTCCGTCAACTTGAAACAGTGTGCGTTTTAGTATCTTGTGTTTTTTTTTAATTTAATGTCAATAAGATACTACACAATAGTATTGTATTATTTATCAAGCATTATCAATATTAATGTTCTGCTAATTATTATCAAAGATAATATTGTATAATATATTTATCGGAATTTATCTTACCTGCGTACGTGCCATTAAAAGCTACTTTTTCAATATAAACTATGAAAGTAAAAAATACTGCATTCGAAACGTCGGGTCGCAGTAAAAACAAATACCAAAACAAAGAAGTGTAACTTTTTCACATATTTTAACCACGAGCTGTTACCCACGACGTTGTCCACACCACATCGTTCTTGAGAGTTAAAATATAGACATCATTATTTTTTGGTCTCTTGAACCGTTTTTGCAGCACCCACAACGGAAACTTTCAAAGATGAATAATTTTTCCCTTTTTTTTATATTTCCCTCTCTTTCTTCGCTCCGCTCGCCGATACATAGTGCATAACATAAAAGTAATTTTTCAATTCGAACCAGTAGTTCCTGAGATCAGCGCGTTCAAACAAACAAACGCTTCGGCTTTATAGGTGTTATAGACCATAGATTTACCGTCTTTTTATAATAGAGGAGGACAGATAAGCATGGATTCACTTGATGGTACGTGATATAGCTCAGCCTATAGCATTTAAACAAGATGCGCTCTCGACCTATTTTGGCTTTGGATATTTGGAAATTTACAGACTGAAACCGAAACGCGATTAAGCTTCACGGCTTTTTCATCTGTGGACGGTGGTTCGTGACACGAACGAAATTTTGATATTCCTACCACCTACATTACCTAACGCAGTCCCTGGACCCATAAGAACGAAGTCAGCTGATGAACTGGTAATGCCATGCATCACGAGCGCCGCTGGGCGTTGTCCAGGGGTGTTATTCTGGTCTCGTCCGTGAGGAATGCGATGAAGAGTCAAGATGTAACCGTCTTGAGTAATTGCGTGGTGCTCTTCGTATGGGTAGCCATATTTCTTGACCAGGCCTCCCTGTTAAAACTTGCATGTTAGTCGTGAAAATAAATAAAATTGATAAACTTTCTTGCATTTGTCTTTTCAGTATTATTTTATGATAGGGGAAGCCAGCCAAGCACACGGTTCCCTTAATAGTAGGAGCAGTACCCTATAGCTTCATGTTGGACCCTTAAATGGTGTGAAGGAACCGTTTAAGTGTTAGTGTTCAAATTTCGGTAAAACAATGGATTGTCTATGTTGGACAGGGCTCATAAATCTGATCCGTACTTGCCTATTAAACTCAAACCATTTATTGCATAAGACAGAATACATAATTTAAATATAAGCTTAAATAAATAACATTTATAAAAAAAGAGAAAGAAGAAAAACAAACAAAAAATAGAAACTTGGACGAGTGCTTGTGAAATGGGGAAAAGCACTCGGCGTGTGCTTCACCACTCAGAGTAGAGGAGAAGCGTCGGTTTTCAGTGCCCCAAATTAACAATAACAACAACATCAATAATAATGATGAATGAAACAGCAATGTTTGCCCTATGCCGTATAGGGTAAATAAGTTTTCAATTTATTTTATTCAAACTCTAAAAAAAGGAAACCAATTTAATTACTAAAATTAATTTTGGTTGTGTCATACTTAGTTCAATATATAAATAAAAAAATGGCTTTAAAATTCGTAGATAAGTATTTATTTATAACACTACTAAAACAACTAAATCCCTAACTAACCTTATCCTTTAAAAGTATTCAAAATATCCTCATTAATTATTAGTATATGCACATATTTCTACAACTTCAAAGATGCATTTTGGAAGTCTCTTTCACTTAAATTTGTAAATGTTGTATACCATCCTTTTTAGTACTGGAGTACTTGCTTTGTAATACCGTGACAAATATAATATACTATAATGCTTAAGCACGGCTTACCACATCTAGGTTAGCATCTTCCACAATATTATCAGAAATCCTAGCTCCTAAATCTCTTGTTTCCAACTCATCTTTATTATCAGAAGTGGGATATCTCCCAAACACCAGAACAACACAACTGAACCACACGGAAATTCTCAACATCCCAGCTAGTGCACTGTCATTTGTTTTATTTTCTTTGATTACTTCGTGGCTTATAAATGAGAATTAACTGATAATATTTATTATCAAGGTAATCCGATAATTTTTTAACACGCAATGTCTTAATTTTGTAAACATTTGGAACTGTAATACCATACAAACAAATATGGAATATATAGCTTGGAAAGTAGTGGTACGGCGACGGACCAAGTCGCTTGGGCTGGTGGCTATGGGGTGTAGGGGCATTCCCTGAATAAGTTCTTCGTTTTGTACACATCGTTAACAGAAAGACATTCTTGGCATCAGCATCACATCTCCATCTAGACGTAATCTTTACTAATATTATAAAAATACTAAAGAGTTTGTTTGTTTGAACGCGCTAATCTCAGGATCTGGTTTGAATCGAAAAAATATTTTTGTGTTGGTTAAATCACTTCTTGAAGTTTTTAGAGTTCAGGCTATAGGACGAAGTAATAGTTTGCCCGACCTTACATTTCTCATTAGATTAACAAGGCAGCCTAATAATACGAGAATGTCAACAAATTTGTTTGTAGTTAAGGCAAATAGTAATTTATTTAAAACACTTTACAGGTTTAAAATGTTAAATTTATTAGTTATCTTATTTTAATACATTAATAAACATTTAAACTGAAACATTATAGACAAAAAATAAATGGTAATGCAAAATTAGTCTTAAAATTAATTTAATTTAATAAATTACAAAAACTTGAAACAGGGAAGTATAATTATAGTTTCAATATATAAATATTATTTCTAGTACACATATATCTCGAAATTCCTGTCGAACTAAGGTAAAACTTATATAACCTAGTATATATAGGCAATAAAAGGCAGTTTTACTGTATTTGTATTTTATTTGTTTGTGCAAAAAACTGTTTTATTTATATTTGAGCTAAATATAATACAACTATTATATTTCAGAAAGCGCCATCTGTTACGTATTTAACATTTCTTCATAGACCAAAACCGAAAAGTTCGTTTTCTTGGGATTACTTGTGACACAATTTTGTTAGTATCCTCTATACGCACGAGATGGCGTTGAAATTATATTTTATTTATATTTATTTAGTACATAAAGTATCGAATACCATTATCTAATATATATATATATATATATATATTATATATATGGTATTAGATATATATATACATATATTATGTACACAAAATAGCAGATGAAAGAGCACCAAGGTCGTTGCTGAACTCGCAATCAGCGTAAACGAAAGCCCGGGAGACCGAGGTCCCGCTGGTGGGATGGAGTTGCTAAGGACGTGGAAATCTTGGGCGTTCAAAACTTGAAACAGACAGCACGGGATAGATCGCAATGGCGACGACTAGAGAAGGCTAGGGCCCACAAGGGCCACTAATGACGATGATCAGTAAGAGCATAAGTTGTAGCTCCCACGTCTAAAAAATATTTCTTTATACTGTCATTAAATATTCCGCGAGTCCAATGCGTAATTAAAAATACATAATCGTAAATTCAGTGTGCATACCCGACAAAAGTTTCTTAATATAATTAAATTAATCTTATATGGGCGCCCTGTAATTCCAGTTACACAAAGAGAGACGCCACAATAATAGTGCAATTAAAACAGGACAACTGTTCATATAGTCTATGCTTATGACATTTAATCTGCAGCTGTCAAAAAATTATTCGCCCTTGTCACTTGAAGTCTGGAACGAGCACGCGTGAGTTTCATATTTTAATTAATATTATAAGATTTTTCTTTTTTAAAGTTCTGCTAAAAGTGCAATTAACAAAACACAAATACAACAACCATTCGACCGGAGGTATGTACTTAGAACATGAACCTACTTAGTCATATTATGCTTATTAAATTGTGTACCGGCGTTTTTTACCGTTTTTGATACAGATATTAAAATAATTATTAATTTTAGTGATTGATTAGAATCATACTTATTTGCGTTTTTTTGCGTTGTCATACGGAGAAAATTAAGTATAGCTCGAAAAGGTTTTAACAGTTTAAAACGTAAAAAACAAAATGTATTTATAGCAGACGTTAACCCGTGGTAAATATATTTGACCAATATACCGGCTTTAGAAATATGTCTAATGTTACTATAGTCTGTTTCTCGTTGTTATACTTGTCGTGTAAAACGATAACGCTATATATTAAGTTGCTGATTTGACTATTGTAGTACTGAGGGAGGGGTAAACACCGTGACGTCAGTTGTTATTGTAATGGCGGCACGTGGACAGAGTCGAATTAGAGAGTTGGTTTTGCGAAGGCATTCTAATTCGGGACGCGGCACAGTTCACACCTCTAAAATGAAACTGTCGGTTTACCACTGTTTTGATTCCATTTGATTAGAATTGTAAGCATTGCAAATAAAGTGAGGTTATAATCTACGTGGACATTATTATTTTGCGCCTGCGGAATGAACCCTGATGGCCAGGGCAAATCAAGATGGTCACGGGGCTACCGCTCAGCTATCGCGTTCGCCGCCATACTTTTTATTTGAACTTCTTTATAACACAGGACTGGCCTCGTACAAATCTTGTTGTTGTAGTTTTGACTTAAGTCATACAGACTAGTTTATACTCTTTCTACTGAATAATAAAAACTTAAGCTTACTTTTAGTTTTTACTAAATAAGCACTTAGGACCGAGGTTATAAGTCCATCAAAGGGCGAATACTTTATGAACCAAGGGACAAAGTTACGCTTCAATATATATTTTTTAAAAGGTCCTAAAAATGTATATCGAAACATATATTGGATAATATATTAAAATACTGACTACTAAGGAGCTTAGGACCTTTCGGATGCCCCAATGATCACATCATCTAAGAATTCGAAATGTCGGGCCATAGTTAAAATTAGCAAGTTCACTAATAAACGTTTTAAACCGTTAAGAGTAGTTTTTTTTTAATAAAAACTTTTTATGGTTGTCCAGTAAAATCTTTATGTTTGGTTGGGCTGACACAGTTTATCAGCTCAACCAAACATTAGGATTGTATTAGGTTTAAATTACTTCACATACAAATCTAGATAAACTTGTCCGTCCACTAAAACAAGCCAAGTCGTAAGCTTACAAAAAGCCTCGTCAGGCCAAAAGTTAGCGATCTTAACGGTTCATAACGAGTATATTACGAGAAAGATTCGGGAAAATAAAAGGCGTAAGTCCATCTCACTAACATTGGTCATTAGCAGATCCCGTGACCTCTACTTTTTGCTTCACGATAAGGCTCAGTACTCACTATGTCACTTAAGATAGAATACTAGATTAGTCAATAGCTAATATGAACTGAACGCAAAAAAAGATTATATGATATCAATGAAATGATAAAAATGAAATTTCATGAATGGAAGCTGGGATGCCAAACCTATATAACATCTAAACAAAGAACGCTATTAAATTCGCTATTATCAAAAAGCCCTATTTTGGAATTTGATTTTCGAAGGTTCACGGGCTGAAACCTAAACGCGATTAACTTCACGGCCTTTTCATCTCTGGACAGTGGCTCGATCCGGACGCAATTTCAATATCCAGATTTTCAGGCGGAATCTAACGTCCTTCTGAAAATTCATCACGTTAATATTTAATACTATAATTAACAGAGGAATATGTTTTTTTTAAATATGTAATTCAAAACTTAAAATTGAATAAAGCAAACAGGTAAACAAAAATTAATTAACTCTATATACGGGTGTAGTAAATATTTAAATAAATCACTTTTAACGGTTTAAAACACGAAATATATTAGTTAACTTACTTTAACTACGGTCTCCTTGACGACGGCTGCTAAAAGCATCCAAAACGTCGGGGCGTGAAGTTTGACATCGTTTTCAAATGGGAATTTAAGTTTTAAATAGCATAGGGGTTTATCATTATTAACATGTTCAGCCGACTTAAGCGAGAAAAATTCTTCGAGCAATCGACAAACTAACATCTCTTGATGATGCCGTCCGCTCTTGTACCTCTTCTCACTTACGTCGGCACGCACGAAACAGCACGAAAAACAATGATAGGCTGAACGATGGCCGTGAAAGCCTTATACAATTTATTAGTATAGGGGGTATTATGAAGGAATAAATTATGATACTTAGATAAAAAATTCATAAAATATGAATTGATAAACTTATCGAGATTTTAGCTAATAGTGTTATCCATTAAAAATGTGAAATGACGTGAAAACCCCACAGTTGAATAACGCAACGTACAGCTAATATTCCTATAGTGTTTCTGCGCCTTAATTTCACCCAGCGAAGTGGGGACGTGCTTGGAATCGTGAAACTGTGATTATTAAAACGCCACCAACGTATGCACCCTCTATAACCTTAATTATGATATACATAAGACTTAATATGGCTTAACAGGTTACAGACAAAGCAAGAGGAATAAACAAGTATGTTTGTGTGAGTGGTATTAGTGGTAATGTGTGAGAAGTAGGGGTAAATTGTAGTTCTAATTTCAAATAAGTTTCCTAACATTGGGACATGCTAACAATAATTATAATTTGATTTTTTGTTGATTTTGCTAATAATTATAATTGAAATAAAACACTTTAACGGTTTAAAACGCGATATATTAGTTAAACTTATTTGAAAATGATTTTTAACTTCGGCCCGACGTTTCGGATGCTTTTCAGCAGCCGTAGTCACGGGGAGACTAAAGATGGAGGATGTCTCTGACGTCAAAGTAAAAAATTGCTACGCTAGCGCCATCTGGTCCGTCGAAGTTGGTATTTGGCGAAACTGGCCAGGTTAAATGTAGGTTTGGAGGTAGATAATGGAGTCTTTTTTGTCACAGACACTTTGGACCTGGGGGTTAACTTGATGGAAGGAAATACCTACCCAAGATGAAAAAACTGTGAAGTTTAATCGCGTGTCGGTTTTAATCTGCTTTTCCGAATATCGAAAGCCAAAATAGGCCGACAACGCATCAAGTTTAGATTTTATATTGCTCGGTTTCAATTCACCTTCCATCAAGCAAACACCGTGTTGCCTGTCCTTCT